ATACGAGCGCGCACCTTTTTTCCCCTTTTTTAAGACTTTATTCCCTCTGTGGAGTCTTATAAGGAATATTAAGAACACTCGGGAACTGATGGGCACTTTTATGGTCTCTTGGTGAAGCTCAGCTGTACACTCTATCAGCTCGCTTTTCTGATTTCACAGTTTTATTTTCTCGTACAGGTTCTTTGCTAGATCCTGTTCACTCATCATCTGCAAATTATTTGAAAGAAAACCGTGGGTTTAGTGGTCACAAAATGCTGACTTCAATAAAGTTTTTCATTGTTAGTTAATATATTAAATTCCTGGCAAATATTGTGCGTCTATGAGCCCATACCTTTCGGCGAACTGGTGATAACGTCAAGGGACTGATTTCGCCCAGTTTTTGGAAGTTTCAGAGCGATTGACGATAGCGTATTTCACCTTTACTCCCGCACCGTACACACATATCTATGGCAAAGCTGCCTTCTCTTTACATTCTGAATGGGGGAAACTTCAGTTGGTTCACGGTTTGAACAATATATATATAGTGAGTGAAAGTTCTAAGCGGTATAAACAGACGTAAAGAAATGACCATGATCGAGAAACAGTGATCTATGTGCACGTACACTCCAAGTTTGAAATATCGCCGCTGGTCATGGAGAAGACAAGTAAGCAAACACACAAATCAAACTATTAGATCATTTTATATATTTCAGTTTAGTTTTCTAATTTGTTTTACACGTCAATGTTCGCTTTGCATCTAACTCTTTTTTCAAACTGACTATTTTCAGTGATGAGGTATCGAACGACTTGTCATTAAATTTGTTTCCACTGACTTATGATCAGTAAATTATATACTGTAAAGTACTACATGAAGTTGTGTCTATTTGCGATCAGGAACCGACTCAGTTTCCATGGCACTGATGCATTTTGATTCTTTAATCGTCAAGTTGCCCCATAATCTCCGAGCCAGATCTTACCGGCTTTGTCTTACATGGGAGATCTGGGTACAAGATTAGTTGCCTATGGCACACCTTTAATGGCACACCCATCTCGGAAAAACTCTTGGAAATGGGCAATACCATTAACGACGATGCCAGAGAGTAATACTTCGGAGAATTAAAGAGTTTTGTCTAGGCTATGCTATTAAATACAAATTACTGATAATAGTTTAGGTGTCAGATCATTGTGGGGACTCTTTATCTTAATAATGCTGATTTCTTTCGCTAACTCAGGGGTGACCGCCTATAGGATGAACTGGCCCATTTATTAATGGCTCTGCAACAAATTTTACGAAACATTTCTTTGGATTTACACACGGAGAACTATCCAGCTCCAGTAACACTATACTGGCTGGATTCCTGTTGAGTGACAGCACGTTTGCAGGCACAAACAGAGTCTGTTGTGGGCCAACTACAGGCCAATAACGACCTACATTAAATCCATTTACAAATGCCTGCCCCTTACTCCATCCAGGAAGTTGAAGAAAAGTGTCAAACGACCCATTTCCATTCGGAATCACACCATGATAAAACGTAGGAGTAAATGCGTTAGTTGAAAGGGGGATATGTTTCGTAGGAAAATTCTTGGCGACGTTTGAAGGCCCTGACACGACATTGTTCAAGTCTATGGGATATATTTGCCAGTTAAGGAGCGGAGTTTTTTGTAAAGTAACGTTTCCGAAAATTCCTTTAGGATCCACCATCCTTAGCCCTGCGTTTATCCTCCCTGTATTCTCAACCAGAATATCTAGCTGCAAATTTGTTCCAATGTGAAGGGTGGCACTTTTCTGTCCCGGCCGACGGAATAATGTTGCTTGGCGGATTTCCCCTACAAAAATAATTGCTCTGTCGCGGACTAAGCTAGTGAATTCCAAAGTGACAGTGGTGTTAGAGAACGCTTTTGGAATTTCCGTTCGATAGAGAACAAAGCCATAGTTCTGACCAATTTGTTCCATAGTTAAGGGGAAAGTTGAATTCACAGGACCATGGGCAGAAAGTTTTGGCACGGCGTCAAGGAACGTCGAAAGTGGGGTCATCTGAATCTTACCATAAGCAAACTTGGTCGTGTTTGGTGGAATCGGAATCTCTGGTATGTTCTCGTGATTGGAAATGGTCTTTCGTATGATGTGAAATTTATTTCCCACGTCACCCGCTTCCGTCAAAGGAGCATCATAATCATAGCTGGTCGGTATTGGTTTGTACAAGATTAAATTCAAATTTGCGCCACTCATAAATCCGAAGTTAGTACCACCCTCATACATGTAGAAATTGACAGACGCATTCATGGACAGGATCTTGTCGAGCGATTTAGCAACCACTGAAGCTGATTTTGTTTGATGCTTTTCACCCCAGTAGTCTATCCACCCAGTGTAAAACTCAGAATTTATCAGGGGTCCCTTTGGGGTAAATTTACGCATCACTGCAAAAGCCTCTTCTGGGTCAACCTCCGGTCCGAAATCCACAGTCGCATAAAGAGAGGGTATTGTACCACATGCAAAGAGGAATTGCCAGTGAGTGTCAACTGTAAAAAGAATAACATCATTGCCTAAATACTTGCGGAATAACTGCTCTAAATGTTTCATATAGTCATGGTCACACACCAAGGAGCTCCCATACTCATTCTCGACTTGTAATGATATGATGGGCCCTCCGTTTGCGTACAGCAGTGGCTTGATTTTGGGGAGTACTACAGACATCCACGAGTCCACTGCGTCAAGATAACGTCTGTCCTTTGATGACCTCAAAGTGATGGATGGATCTTTCAATAACCAAGCTGGAAATCCGCCAAAATCCCATTCAGCGCAAATGAAAGGCCCTGCCCTCACAATGACCAAAAGACCAACGCTGTTAGCGAGCTCGATAAAACTCACAAGATCTGCATCGCCTTCAAAATTGTAGTTTCCCTGGGTTGGTTCGTGAACATTCCAAGCGATGTAGGTCTGCACTGTGTTTAAACCACCTGCTTTCATTTTCATGAGCCTGTCTCTCCAATAGAAACGGGGCACTCTGAAGTAATGGAAGTCACCTGATATGTACCGGAAAGGTTCACCATCTTTTAAGAAACGATCGTTCTCGAAGTCAATAGTGAAAGATTTGGAATCAACCTTTTGTAATGCGCACAGTGAGGCCAAGAAGAAAACAAAGAGACTTCTCATAGCCATTGTTACACAGTTTTGAAACGACGGTTTGAAAATCATGAGATTTTTTGTGGGTTTGTAAATCTCGTGACAAACTCGTTGCACACTTAATGGAACTCACGCAAGTCACGCTCAAGATCAGAAGGACTTTAACTTAAAATACCAGCTAGAGGTTTAGGGATCGGACGGACCATTAGAAAACTTATGCGGGGGGTGGAGTACAAAAAAATTATTCGCACAATAGGGAACATTAAATGAAAAAAATTCATGCACGACAATTAATCCCAAAAAAAATTTTCATGCTATGGCCTAAAAAAAATTAATACAAGGAATTTGATAATGAAAAAAAATTCCTGCGGCTCGAAAATTCCCCTCCCCCCCCCATAAGTTTTCTAATGGTCAGTCCCTTTCCGACTTTCTGACTTGTCTGAAATGTCATCCGTCTCCTCCCCCTAACCCATGGGGGGGGAGAGTCTTCCTCCTCCGCGTCCCACACGGGTTAGGGGGCGGAGACGCCTTACATTTTAGACTAACTTTTTACCGTCCTTATGTTAGCCTCCCGTGCAGGCGTTTTTAGGGGGAGCTCATATTTCTCCCGTCCCCTAAAAACGCCTTGCTGGGAGGCTAGCCGGATTATGTTTCTCTTTAGCCTAGTAGTTATTCCTCATCAAATAGAAAGTTATAGCTTCTCCATTGATAAACTTTACAGCGGGGATCATTCTTTAGAGGGTACTGCCCCAACCGTGCACACGTTTCTGGCTGCAGAATGTAAATGTTAAACCCTATCCAATAGCAAACAAAACTATGAAAGACCATGTAATTCTTTTCGGTGTTAAGAGCTATCTGCGGCTATAGCCCAAACTTCTATTAAACCGGAAAATTTGTAAAGGAAGCAGGTACCGACTGTGAAAACCAACCTTCATCATGGGGGACGCGCCCACAACGTGCCTGGAAACTACGAACGAGTAAAAATCGCGGGGAAACGCGCGAGGGAAAAAAAATGGAAGATATTAAGATGCGCTCCAGCCGACTTTTTCTTTTTTCCCCACCAAGGAGGCGGGTCCCAGGCTACTGAAGAGACAAAATAAAAATATTTTCCGAATACGCACAAATGGTAATTTCTAAAACATGCAAAATGATGAGTCTCTTAATTGTGAATCAAAAAAGGACTGAGTTGAAAAGCTGGCGGGATTCACTGTGCAGCATGCACGCTTATAGTCATCACATTTGGCTGTTGGACGTTATCACATACTTTTAAAGCTTAAAAACAATCTAATGGGAAAATTTGACGGCTATACGCGTGCACTACAAATAAATCCACGTCCGATGGCCAGTCTCAGAGTAATTTGGTTAAGGTTAGTATAGGTAATAGCATGATTTGTAGTGATATTAGGGATAAATACCACGAGTGATATTTCGAAATTGTTATACGTAATTTCTCGAGATGTTAGGCAAGTGAAATTTGAGACAATTTTGAAATATCACTCGTGGTATTTATGCCAAATATCACGTCGAAATCATGCTTTATTTGTTTATACTACTACCGGCAAAGGGTTTGTAATTTTCACGTGTAGGTATTTCAAATTAAGCTGAAATACCACTACTCTAAGCCAATCAAATCGCAGAAATTTTTCATGTAGTAGTATAGGGGTTGTAATTACCACTGAAGCTCGAAGGGTAAATACTAGCCTTAAATTTTGGTTCTCTTCTCTTGGTAGTCCCTCCCTTTGTGCTTTAAGGTATGCAAACTTTGAGTGACGTACAAAAATATAATTTTAAATAGGTTAAACTGGCCAGAATAGTGTAGACTATAGCGAACTATAGCCAGCAAGTAGGGGCAATGTATAAAGGGTACAATTTAAAATGGGGTGCTTGAAGTTTTGTGAAGATAAATATTTTCTTTTTGTGGGAAGTGAAAATAAAGTAATTTTAAAATGCAAGTGCATAGTGCAGATGGGATCACAGCTGTTTTGTTATAATCAACTTCCCACCTATCTGCCCCCCAAATTTTCCTATTCCTAGTAGTTTCTGTGAGTGCAGCGTGTGACCAGTTAAACAACTTGTAACCCTGACGAATTTCAGCAGCGCTTCTATGGCTTCTTGGTCGGGTTGCAGTGAATCAGTTTGCTTTTGTGTTTCCAGGGGCTATTGACAAAATTATTTTTCGTGGACAACAAAAATGGAGCCCGATAGCAAGTTTGACAAATCGCGACGAAATATTTCGTGCCTTTCAACTTAATTTTACCATAGTGCAGGGAACAATGTTAAGCTGGGGGCTTTAAGAAAATTTCACAGCATGTTTGGAAATGTTAATTCCAGCACTTGATCTTACCAAACTAACATAAATATATGGCATTTTCCCTCCCCGTTGAGCCGCGGTAGATATATTCACGATAGCAGAATTTAGCGCAAAAACGTATTCTAGAAGGCTTTCAAGTTCAATTTGAATGTTACAACTCGAGTGTTTATGTGCTTTTTATGGAGATCTCCTCTTCACAACGAGCAAACAGCACTTTGGAGCTCAGCTAAGATACATTGTCTTCCGCAGGTGCAAGGAATAAATTGCTGATCTACAATTGTATGTTCAAAATATGTCAACTGGATTACCCCTAAAAGGACCATAAATTTTTGATGGAGCAGGTATCACGAGATATCTTGACTTGCACCAGATGATACCTTTATCAGCAGATAATGATATGCAAAAAACAGTGAATCATGAATATGATATTCACTTTTGTGAATATCATATTCATAATTTTCTGCTTTATTGTTGACACTCAATGTTCAAAAGGTCGCGTTCATAAGATAATCAACATCCTGGTATATTTTTACTGCTAAAATCGCACGCTTTTGTCCATTTTAGGAATATTCTGGACATGTTTTGCTGTGTACACTCATCATGTACAATAAATAGTAGGTTTAACCCTGTGGAGTCCAGCGATAAAAGTAAAAAATTATGTTAAAAACCGGAGCCACACCCTATAATCATTAAAATATGCTGAGGAAGTTTGTCAGACAGTCATACGCCTTTTGAATTGGAGACCATTATCTCGGGCGTACCTTGAGTAAAACTTGAGGCAATTTTCTTTGAAACTTTCAGTCCAATCTCGAGAACATCAAATGAATAGTTCTTTTGGAAGCTTAAATATACAGGATCTCCTGGGGAAATTTTACAACCCTTTTAACTAAGGGACAAGGAAAAACACATCTTAAGAACGTCCAATGTTTTCTCATCGATGAATAGCACTTGTCGAAAAGAAAAGAATAAAACAAATATAACATCCTACATATACATATAATCAGCTTCGGCATTGTCAGATTTCTCCTTAGCCACCAAAAAAGTAAACATTGTGGCCTTTAAATCTAGCCCCGGGTTGTCTAAAACTTTTATTCTCCTTTCGTTTTATTGTGATAACGAATTAAAGTCTTTTTTCCTCTCCCCCTGGATATCGGAAAGTGTGTCTTTCAATATATGTTTAAATGGAAAGACAGAAAATTTACATCCAATACCCAAGATGGTGTCAGGCGTTCTTCGTGGATTAATTAAGTCATTCACAGCCTCAACAAGGCTATTTTAAAGTAGACGTGCTTGCTCTGTGATGAGTCACAGCTAGCCTGAAGCTCGTTAAAATGCGTGAATTCCTTTTAAGGAGTTTTTTAGTGCTCAATATGAACAGTTCGGGGACAAAATCTATCATGCCGCGTACAAATTAATTCGCGGCAGGTGCTCGAAGGGTAAAAAGATTTTTCTCCAGGCACTAAGACAAAATAAGTCATCTTTCGTCCCTCAAAAAATGTTACCCATAGGAAAGGTCCAGGCGATACTGTTTATTAATTTTTTTTGAAGAAAAAGAATAATGACACACACAAATTGTTTTTACCCGTAAGTACTAGTGCCTTATTGGAAAGGAGCAGGTATTTTTGATTAGGCGCTGAGAAATGAATTCAACGTGACATAATTTTAGAGCTATCTAATCAGTACAGCCTAGCTGTTACTTCTTTGAATTTTTTTCGGAGCTATAGAATCCAAAATGCATAACAATGATTTTGTCGCGCCCATGAGACAAAAGATTTCCCTCAAACACAGGAAAGAGTGATATCCGATAAATGTGTCCACATAAACTCTGATCAATAATTCATGTTTATTCCCTTCAAACAATGATTTTTCTCATGGTGGTTTAGTACTCAAACGAAAAATTGGGAAAATAACAAGCGAGAATATTTCACCAAGAATAATGCATTTTCATTAATCAAAACTCTGATAGAGGAACGACAAAAGGAAATAAGAAAAAAAGAAAGATTTTTTTTTTCACGAAACACAATACGGGTAGTTGCAGTGAGCAATAAGTTACTTTGATTGGTTCTTGTAATTTTTTATTGTTCTATTGTCTAGCTGTCCAATCAGTAAGCGGCACTTCATGGGTCAGAACAAGTCAAAATATTATTCGCGGTTGTCAAGCTTTTACAGACTGGCCGTAATTTCTTCGGTGCAGGTGCAATTTGGGCCCTCACCAGTTCAGAATAGAATATGAGGCTATTATTTTTATTTTTTTGGACAGAGTTTTAGCCCTAAACGCATTAGCAAACTGATAAAGAGCCGTGAGGAGCCGAGCGGAAAGGAACATATCGGGCGCCGGCCGAATGTAAGCAACTCCCAATTTTGCGGTGGCGTTTTTTACTTCACTGTGCTAAGGTTGAAAACCACTTATTTATACGGTCACGTTGAGAAAACTAAGCCAAATCTTATGTGAATAATTAAACAATTCTTCTTCTCTTTTTTCTAGTTGTGTCGCTAGGATCAAGAATGGAGAATGGCATGATGAATGGAGACCACCATAACGGCCATGATCGATCTCGTTCTCCTTCGCCGGGACTGAGTCGGTCAAACTCGCGAAATGCGAGCTGTAAAGAAATTAACCGCACGTCGCTCCTACGAAGAAACCAAAGTTTAAGCGCCAAACAAATTCGCTTTTACAGAAATGGGGATCGGTTTTTTTGCGGGCTTAAACTAGCTGTGTCTCCCGAGCGGTACAAGGAGTTCGATGCTCTGCTGGCGGAGTTATCAAACAAGCTGGAACTTTCGACGGGGGCTGTACGTTTTGTATTCAACGCTGAAAATGGCAAGATGATTACAGACGTGAACGAGCTTCAGTACGGCTCTAGTTATGTTTGTTCTTCGTGTAATGTCTTCAAGGAGGTTGAGGGCGGATATGGGAGCATGAAGCCCTCTTGGTCGCTCGCGCATCACAAGAAAGAAAACGCGCCGACATCCTCACCATCTCATCAGATCGATGGAAGCCGGGATTTCATCAAACCGAAGTTGGTCACAGTTATGAAGAATGGAAAACCCCCACAAAAGAAAGTAACCATGCTACTCAATGCTAAAACAGCAGTTAGCTTGGAACAAGTTTTGGATCATCTGTCTTCAAAGGGAACACTTGGAAAGGTCGACAAACTACACACAGTCGATGGAAAACAGGTAAGCTTATTTGATTTTATTGTCGGCCATTTTTCGTTCTTTTGCTTGATCAGGCCATTGAACTGGCATCTGTGTTACCACATCCATTAATAATTTATCTTTAGTCTTGGATAGGTTGCCTTTGTTCGCCTTTACCTTGAGAAAAATATCTCTATCTCTTTGTTGTTGACAGATTTTAGTTGAATGGTTGGACGAATTTGTTCGTCAAGGTTTTACTCCGATCTATTGTGATAAGGCCATGGTGGGCTCGTGTCGAAACTATAAGCAACACGCGGCTCGCAATAATTTTCCTTGAGTCAAAGCTATAAACATGTTTCCCCTTTTTTCGAAAACGTTTCTGGCGTAATGGCGTTTATAATGAAATCATGTCCTGATGTCCATTTCAGCCGTAATGAACTGCGAATCCAGCGATGACACAGAAATGAATTTTAGCCGCGTGGAATTTTTGTTGGGTGAATGACTGTGTCTGTTTCGTGGATTATTTTTCGCCGCTTTTCTTTCTGGTTAATGGGAAGCTATACAACGTGTAGATATTTCCTTTCATTTTTCTCGTTAAATTTATTCCCCAGAGTATAGTTTGTTTGATTTCAAGCGCTTTTCAATTTTAGTCCGTGTGCCCGCCACGTGGATCAAGGCTTTCATTATTTATACCGTTCGTCTTGGTCGCTTTTAATAAACTTACCTTCTTTCTAAGGACGATTTTTCGACTGAGCAATTTTTCCAATTTATACAGTCATGGGTGGATTCACATTGAAGGGAAATAGCTGTCGCAAGAGCAAATATTTTCCGATTTGTTTTTGTTTTTCATGCGAGATTTCACAGCTCGCCTAAGGTAAAATTTTCACGGCAGGCGTCCTTTGTTCGCAGATCTGACGAATTTTGTAATAAGTCCACAAATGCGTTCTTGTGTGAAAGATCGACCCTTTGATGAAGTTTAGCCGATCAGTATTTTTCACTGGACTTTAGGATTACATTAAATTGCATGACAAATTTCATCCCCTGTCACATTGTACGAAAGCCAAGTGCTTTATTTGTTGACTTCCACACTACATTGGTCCAGATAAAAAGACTTGACATATAAATCAACTTCTTTCCTGTATTTCATTTATTTGTTTTCACATCTTCATACATTACAGCTTGTTGCGTTAGTTTTTTTTTCATCTCCACTTCAACAAGGGCCAATGTGAAAGTTTCATTTCTCTGATAAAAACAGACCTTTAAGTAATCATTTGGGAATTTTGTTTGCATTAGTTGTAAGTTGTAAATATTTATTCTTATTCAAAGAACAGAGGTTCTCCCATCATTATCCAAGAATCAGATTGTTTCAAACAAGAATACAGCTGTACTCTTCTCTTATATTATCTGTTCACCATCTTGTGAAAAATTACAAAATGCTTTGCTGGTGAAGAAACAAAAAAGCGCCTGTGAGCTTCTGCTTCATTGAAAAATAGTAATTTCCTTTGTATTTTCTATTTACATTTGACACCTATGAAATTAAGATGTGATTAAAAAATTCTGTGAAGGATTTGGTGAATTTTATCTTTAGTTCATTTTTTTCCTGGAATTTTGCTTATCAAGTGTAAGATTACAAAATTAATGAAGAAGCAAAGGCATTCTTTCTCAGAGAAGATGTAGATATTGTAGGAGACAAGTTCTACCACCTCTGGGTTGATTTCGTCGTGCATGTGATGCTCATCTTAGTGTGTTAAAATTTTTCAAACTTTTTCCTAAGTGAAATGTATGTTTAACCCATTCTGCTACAACAGGCAAATTGTAATCCAAGTAGATGTTAGAAATCATAGGATGTGATATAATAAACATCGCCCCTGGAAAATACAACGAACTATGTGCATTTGATTTATAGATGTTATTACTCATCAGATAATGAAACTATTTTGCACAGCATGGTAAGCAATAACACAAAGTTACATGAGCTACATATAAGTTGTTTCACTTGAAGATGACATTAAAAGACTGAAAGTTAAATTGGTCTGATGCCATATTTTGTTCTCTCACAGTAAAATCTGCCCATTGGCATTTATTTCAGTACAGTTTTTAATCAACAAGTGATCTTATTTAATTAAATGACTAATGTTCTGATATGCAGAGTAAGCTATTGACTATATTACATCTATACTCAAGACATGTTTGGCCTATTTTCCTTGCATGCATAAGCAACATTTGTCGACAATCCAACTCTTTAATCACCTGTTGTTTCAGTTCAGAGTACAGATTTTCAAAATACACAGAGTAACATTCCTGAAGGGAACTGGCTTGGGTTTAAAAACAGAAGTAGTCATACATTTGAGTTTTTATTATGTTTCACCATGGGAGTTAAACAAAAGAAGTTGAAAGTTTATAACAGTAGAGAGACTAGCCGCAGCATTTAATTGTATAGAGGATTGTTTGGATCTATTACATTGATCAATGGGAAGGAAGTGGATGTTAATTAAAGCTCCCAATTGCTCAATATTGCTTAATTTTCATATTTGTCATATATTTTAATATTATTTGTCATCAAGTTACTATGTTATGGTTCGTTGATCTGACTTATGATCAGTCCATTAACCCGTTTTTTCTGTAAATAAAAACTTTCAAATTATGTGAACTTTATTCGTTTTGTGCTGTACAATGTCCTGCTAACTTTTGAGTCTATGGATGGAATCCTATACTGTGACCATTTTAATGAAAGCTATTGAGCAGAAATTTCCTGTGGTGCTGTTTAATAAGCTGTACAAGATGGTTCCAATCTATGAGCCTGGGCAATAATCCTCTTAAAAGTGTGACCATTAACCTTAAAGACATTCAGTTGTGTCTTAAGCTTCCTTATTCTTCATCAGTGTTTTTTTAATTCTAGAATTTCACTTAATGCCACTCTAGGGGTGGAAGGGTTAATCGCATTTTCTCAGTGCATTTCGGTTTATGATGCATTTATGTTTTGGAGTGTAATAAATCTCATTTTATGAACATGCTTTATACAATAATCCTATTAAATAAAGTTTTTTCATTTTTATCCGTCATCCTTAATTTTGTTTAATTTTCAATAATTTTATTATCTTAAGTTATCTAACCATAAATTGTTTTCCTGTGAATTTGGTGTTAAACTGTCTCAGCAGTTCCGTTTTCCAGGTGATGTTTTGTTTTTTTGTTATTGTTGAATCACTTCCAAATGCATTCATTGTTTTCAGATCAGGGAGCTTCGACATCTGTTCAATGATGACACCATGTTTGTTGCCCTGCAAAGCCATGAAAAATTCCCAGAGGAAGGATTTGATGTTGATGTACAAAGTGAGTGGTGGATTTTTTTTTTGCTAAATGCCTTGAATCTTATTATCTTTTCTGGTGTGATCATTTGGGTAAAGGTATTAAAAAAATGGTATCATTTGATGAAACTGTAATCTTTGGATTTTGGAAACTCCCTGCTGTGAATGGAACAGTTTCTTTTGGGTTTTCTGACAGATCTGATGAAAACGACAATCTCGTGGAATACAAGTTGTAGACCCAAATAATTAGACTTTGTTACTGGAATGATTTGATAGCTTGCTTTTGAATTTTTTTTTTCTGAATTTTGGGGAAAATTGCCAAGAAAATGTCTCTTCTTAAAGGCCGGGTCTAAAGTACTGGTCACATTCAGAGTACAAGTCACTTGATAAATTCCCAAGCCACACAGATTCTCCTCAGTCTAATAGAGCATTTTGTGAAGAGATTAGGGCTAGGAGACTCTTTTTATGCCGTTTTTTATCTGTATAATGGTGACCTGTACACTGACGTGTGGAAAATGATCTGTATTTTAGATCCACAGATGTTAACCACCTAGTCATGTTCCTGATGTTCCTAAATTAGTATGTTAGGTTATTTAAGAAAAAGTTCAGTCCAATTTATTCTTTGGGGTTTAATGTGAACACTTTTGATTAGTGGTGTGGCTCTCGTGTAAGCGAGACAAAAATGAGCAAATTACTATTTAATAATGTGCCGAGAGACTGTGCGCGTGCTCTTGATTTATGATGACGAACTTCTGAACCTGTTATTGCCCTTGTCGATTGAAATCTCACACTTTTGAGAACCATGCTCAAAGCAGGCCAGGAAATAGGACCCATAATGTATAGGAATCCCGCACTCATTTTGAGCTCGCTTATACGATGGCAAACGGTAAACTTTTACTGGGCTAGTTTCCTCAGCCAAGTTTAATAATACTTGGTGCTTTTTTTCTGATCCCAGGGTTCTACCCTCGCCCTCGCTGGCGTTATGCACCTGTAACAGATACTTATTCCTATATTCCTGGCCTGCGTCCTGAGCCCCCTCCTCCAGAAAAGAAGTTTACAGTTCACTTGCACTGCATCTTAGCGGCATCCATGTCAAATTTGACATTGCCAAGGCCGCTACCAGTCAGGGCAAGATCAGTCTCACCCAGACCTTCCAGAAAATCTTTTTCACCTTCACCAAAATCGACGCAAAGATCGTCTGCAAGTTTCACTCCTCAAAGACCAAAAACTGCCCTGGGGGTTCCATCAGAGTTTTCTCGTAAAGCTCTCATGCCTCAAGCAAAAGAAAATGGTACTTTCAGACCAGCTAAGAAGAAGGCTGGTTCTGATAAACCTGTTCCTATCAGACCGAAAGCTGGCTCAGATACTCCTGTTGCAATACGAGGAAGATTGAGACCCCCAGAACCAAAAGTATTGCCATTGAATGACTCACAGAGGGAAGATCCTGAATCTGAAAATATCGAGGGTCGACATGGATATTATATTTATATTTACAATGAGAAGATAAGCAAAAGCCAAGGACTACAAGAAGGGAAACCAACTGCATCAGTTCGACCTATGATGTTCTCCAATGATGATCAGGGAGAAGATGTTGATCCTGTCAGCAAATTAGATCTAAAGCCCATGACATTAAACCTGTCACCTGTTGACTCACTTGAAACAATCACTGCTTAACCCTTTAAGTCCTAATGGTGACGAACATCAATTTTCTCCTAACGATATTCATACATTGTCAAGAGATTAGGTTATGAGAGTCAATGAAATGATCACCAAAGAGATAACGCCCTGATCTTTTATCAAATTCTCTCAACACACTCTTTAACAAAATGTATGGAGATCAGTTTGGAGAATTTGTATATGTATATTGGGGCTTAAAAGGTTGATTGTTGGTACATGTAGCTTTCATGACCTTACTTGACTAAGGTAGTCATAATTTCAAATTTTGATTAGAAAAAGTTCCAGATACACTTACTGATCTTAAAATTTTTATTGATTTAACAAATTCGTCTGTGGCTTCAGATAATTTCAAATTACATATTTTTTGTCCGTTGACTAACCACTTGGCCAATTATCATGACACCTGATTTTTCTCTAAAAGCACTTCTCTTAAATTGCCCCAGTTACTTTTAAACTCTCATCTACAGTTAAGTCTTCTTTATTTAACCCTCCAAAAAAGGCAGCAGATTTTTAGGTACAATAGCAGTGTTTTGTCGAGGTTGTGTTGTAGTTAAAATAGTAAGGGTAGACAGTTGCATGAGTTATAATAAAACTATTAGTGATAATGATACTAATAATCATAATAATTATAATCATAACCATTATAATGATATTGATGTTACCACAAAACTTATTATACCTGTTTCATGTCAAGGAAACAGGGATCAATATTATTCGAATTTTTATTACTCAAATGTGTGTGGATAATCATGTCTCCCATAAAAAATAAAAATTAATGTTCTCGTAAGAGAGTTTTATAGAAAGAGTTCTACAAATAGTAAACTGTTAATGTTGCTTTCTTTGCATCTTATTTATAGCTTTTTGTAGTTGTATTTATTTGTGCACTGCTTTGGTGAAAGCTTGAAAAGTATTTATCCATTCGTTTTACATGAGCTTGATGCTCTAGATTTATAAACACAATAAGCAGAGCTTTTAAAAGGCATACTTGTGCACATTCAAAATTGTTTATTCTTCTAAAACTAACACATCCTCTATATGTTATACTTGAGCTTTGTGCTTACAATAATATTGAACTATGCATTTTATCAGTAATATTATTTTATCCCCTATAAAATGAGGTCCAAAACCAAGAGATTGAAAACATTACTCAACAAATTAATGTGGATTAGCTTTTCATGTGAGAGTCATTTCTATTTTCGATAACATTTATGCATCAAATCATATTTCGTAGTGCAAATTTATTGTGATTCAAACATATCTTAGATCATGATTCTTGATAAAAGAACGAGTATTTTTGATAGCATTCAGTATTTTCGTTGAAATGTCCTGATCAACTTTTATTGCAACAGATGAAATTAACTTAATGCTGTGTTATAACAATAATTCTATTAAGTCTCTCTAATACAAGGTGATTAACAAATTAATATTACTAATATTAATAATAAATTATTGTCGCAAAGTAGCAGTTTATCGTTTAGAATAAAAAACGTAGAGTGAGGAATAACATGAGTAGTGTAAAAGTATTAATCCTTTCACTGACAACAAATGCATGGCATTATATCTCGCACAATTCTAAAAAATTGGCCATACCCACAAAAAAGTTATCATGCGATACAATTTTAGACAAATCAATTAAACTTCTTGGACTTTTGCATGTGATTAGTTTCATTTTTTAGGCTTCCATCGTTGGCCTAATAAGTGTCCTGTTGTGTCGTGTTGTGTCATAATGTGGTAGTTTAATTCCATAGTTTAAAGATGGAACAAAGAATATAGATTCACATATAGAGTGACAGAATTACAATGGCTGTATTACTGTTGTGTTTTATTAAAATTCTTAAGTGCATTTTTTAATACACTAGGAACTACTGTAGTTGCAACAAAACGCATCCTTGAGTTTCAGAAGTGTGCAGGAATAATATTTTAATTCACATAAGTGGTCACATAATACATTGTGTAACAGAACATAAGAAAAATAAGGATACCATTGGTTTTATTTTTGAAAAATGTTCCATGATTTGCATGTTCACACTGGGTATGTGTACTCAATTGATACTTGATCTGCCTAGTTGTGACATTTGCATTTCATTGAACATTGTATAGACATTTCATTAATAAATTAATATTATAGTCAATAAAAATTATAAGGGCAGAGGTAATTAAAGGGTTATATATAACAGGGTATATTCAATGCCAATAAAGGTTGTGTTTCAGTTAAGAGATATTTAAGATACATTTAAAAATGCTACTAAAATGGCAAGGAACTTAAAGTTCATGATATTCATATTATAATGTTATATTAGGCACAGTTATGTTACATCAACAATATACAACAATTCAGTTTGTTAGTGAATTAATATTTTTTAAGGGATAGTACTTTATCATGTGAAGGGTTGGAGAGAGGTTATGAGAGACTAGGGATTTTTTAACATGAATGTCAAAAACAATCAATGACAAGTCGCTACAATAATGTCCAAGGAGCACTTTTTAAGGTTTTATAAATATCAGAGAGTGGAAAATATTTTTGGAATAGCTGAAAGCACTAAGCAATTAAAGATGATGTTTTAATGAAACCTGAAAGAAAGATGAATGATGGCAGTGAAATATTTCTTACAAAATGGAACTGGAAAGATGTCATTTATTTTGTATTATTGCATTTTACAATGCAATGTTGTTTTAAAGACACAACTGCCATGTATGTGTGAGACTTTTATAATAAAAAATAAAAAGTGCAAAATCATGTGTAGTGGTTGCTTTCTTCTTAAGAAGCCCTTAAATGCACCTATGAACCCAAAACCAACTCATTATCAGCAAAACATATCCTCATACTTACTGTTTTGTACCTCTTAATGAGAAGGAGGAGGATAAAGGGAAAGCTTCCTTCATCTTTGAGAAAATTAATTCTTTAGAGGTAAGAGTTAGAAGATATATGATACCACCTAAAGATCTTTTTGTTTTCACAAAATGAATTTTTTAGGTTATAAGATTACTCCATATAGAGACCTCAAAAGGCCAAGTGGACTAAAACGGTCCTCCTCATTACGAACCCCACGTGGTCGACGAGACAGCGGCTCAAATGAATCAGGTAAAAAATGCCCTTTTGGTGTATAGAAAATTGAACATATACCACAGTCAAACTGTCAAAACAGAACACTTGAAATGTTTTAAGAGTGTTTGTTGTGTTATAACCAATCACAGCAAAGATCAGGACATTCCAGCAAGCAAGAAAACCACTAACTTTAAGCAACAATGTTAATTAGAAAGTTTGTGGTTTTCTGGTTTGCAGCTTGCAGTTTAGTTTTCTCATGCCTGATTGGCTTTTTTCTTCAACAGCAACATTCCAGAAATATTTCTGGTGTTTATGATTTTGTTGGTTTCACTGTTTTATGTAAAAATTAATAGTAAACAAATATTTAAATATTTCTCTTTCATCATGAAAACCTGAATAAAAGCAGTTATTACTTATGCTACAAAGCCAAATGAGTATTAAATCTAAATGCATTTTAATTTCATACTATCTTTTTTTAAAAAAGGAGCAGTATCTAAACCAAAGCAATCACAGTCATTCCCTATTTAAAACTTTGAATGAATATTTTAGTCGGTATAAGAAAAGACTTTATCCATTACGTAATTTGATGATGATAACAATGACAATAAAACACACAAGGTTCTGTTTTTTTATGTCATTTTTTCCAATTTGAAATAATTATAATTCTTTAAAGTACGTTTATTGGATAAAAACTGAATTTGTGCCCTCTTTACTAGGTTGGGTATTAAACAAAACCAATAAGAACAAGTACAAATTACCTCCTTTTTAAAAAATGTTCTCAGTGAGATAAAACCCCTAATGTTTTAGGCAAAACAATGTTAATAAAAAAATAACAAGAATTGCTATTTCAGGTGGCCATGGCCCTAGTCGTGATCGCCAAGTGCGGCGCTCTTCCTCAGGTAAAATGTTAACACAAATTTAAGGCATAAATGAATAAGTTCAAGCTCAAGTTCATCTTATTTTACACTAAAGTAAACTCTTGGAAGCAGTTGTTAAAAATTACATAAATGGAGAAGTTAAGAGACCATCCAAGATATTTTTAAGTTAAAATAACATTTTAATGTTGATTTGGTTTTAAAGCTCTGAACCTCTTTAATTTATACCAGGTGAGATAATTTTTGCATTTTAAACCATGTATATTTTTTTACTGTTCGGTGAACCAGTTTTTTTTCATGTTTTCTCTAAATACAACAATAATTATTCATCTAAAGTAATTAATCTTGATTTTGATTGACCTAACCATGATGTCTGCGAAATACACAGTTGTGTCAGATCAAAAACATGGTTGTTTCAACAGCGGCTAGGTGAAAACCCTCTTCCTAATTCTCTAAACCTGTGGGCAATAAAAGCCTTTGAATAAGTTTTTTAAAATATCTTTATGCAGTTAAGAGTGCTAGCAAGGATCGACGGACAAGTCCTGGACCTCCAGCCAACAGGGTATAGCAATCTATCTCAATATGTATTTATTGTTTATGATAATAAATATAATGATTATTCCTTATCTATCCAACTATACTACTTATTGCACAAAAAAGGCATAAAATAAGTACAAAATATCCCACATTACTGTGCAGCTGGGTTTTTTTATATCTTATAAAACCTGTTTGACAGGTCACTGCATACCTAGAGATTACTTTCTGATGGAAAGTTTTTTATTTCACCTTGATGTAGTAGTCCTTCGACTTACATAAGTACCAGCAATTCATATTTAAAATTATGAAGGGATAAAATTGTTTTTGTTTAGTTTTGTATACGAGTGAAAACAAACTAGTGCATTGTGAAAGATATTTTGCCCAAGAGGCGATTAGATGACATCATAAGATATCATTACCAAAGAAACTGGTTGAATTGCATTTCATATCTGAATTTCTGAAAGTGAAAGAGTAAGAGAATTGTACAGCAAAATAACTAATAACCTTCTTAAACATTTCTGTTGTCTTGTAGATGAATGGTCACAGCCCAAGAAGTAAGTTGGGATTGTTACTGCTGTAAATTCTTGTGAATGTCAAACATCTTCATGATGGCAAATTGCAAGGAAATACAGTTACTAGTCAATTTTTGCTTTGTAAAGTCTATATGTTTCTGTGCAACACTTGTATTGTAAATAAATATATGTTGGCAGTTACAAGGAGTCTTGAGAATTTTCTCAGTTAAAGCATAGGTTTAGAATGTTTTTCCCCTGGGATGTAATTAAAATTATCATAAAACCATTGGAGAACAAGCAAAATGAATGATATCCTTGTTTATTCCATGGAAAGAAGTTTCATTTATTACCTCTTATTTTCTGAATTGGACTGTCAAAGAAAATAATTCTTTAAAATTTTTGTATCTTGTATTAATTTTATTTTGTCTGCCTGTTGTTCTTGGAAAAGTTATTTTAATTTTCAACTTAAAAAATATCCATATGTATTCCTGTTTTAGTGTTATGCCATAAAAGTTGTTGAAGTATTTACTCACAGTATGTTTCCTTCTAACAGCAGCCAGTGCCAAGAGTCCCACAGGGTCTTCTGGCAGAAGGGTTGGTTTATTTTAGTTTTTTTCTTCTAGTTTGTTTAATGAAGCTCAGCATATTATTACTCTAAGTTTATGAGTGTGTTCCATTATACCAGCAATTGTGAAAATTTTGTTTGAAACAAAAGAGTGGTGTGTCTGCGGTGTCTCCAGAGTTGGTCCTCTTGAGCTGATCAGTCTTAAGCTAGGTTTTCCATTTTCAAAAATTAACACTTTGGTTTGGTTAGAAATTTTTATTTTGATTGATCAATGTCATTCCATTGTCCCTTAGTGTGTTCACCTAGTCTCTGACTTGTTGGTGTGGTGTCAATAGTCATAGAAATGTTGAAAATCCACCTTAAACTTTGTTTTGAAAATAGAAACTGTAAAATTTCTGAAAGTGGAGTCGATGCTTGAGAGCTCTGAAAATTATAATATTTTACCATTTGAGAGTCTGGCCAGAAACAATAGTTTCAGAGATGTGGTCATGGTATTGTTGATGTTTGAATAGGCCGGCTTCATTATTGTTTTTAAGAGAATCTGTATAGTCAGCTCAACGTTTTTCACAGCCTTAATTCTCTTTGGCATCCCGGAAGTTTTGATGTGAAAGAGGACACACTTAACCTTAGAGGTTGACTTTGCCCCCCCTCCTGAAAAAAAACATTTATCACAACTGTCACATTCCATTTTTTGCAGACTCCAAACAGTGGCCCTGTTCATCCTAATGATGAGTTGTAAGTTTCTACAAGTTATACAACACTTTTGGTTTAAGTCTCAGCTTTTGGCATCTTTTACTACTTTTCCATCCTTCAACTGATACTCCACTAGATTCCAGTCATCATCGACTAGAGTCCACTTGAGTTACTGGAAATCTAGTCCTGAAATACCTCATTCTTTAACCATAAACTGAGACAAGCTTGATATTTTTTAAGTCTCTCACGAATAGCAATCAGGAAGTGCTGTGAAATCTGTTTGTTTTTCCAGCGGAAATTAGTCATGTGCAGTGGACAACCCTCACATCCTTTTGAACAAGGATAAGAACTATTAAAGGAAGGTGTCTTAAATTGAAATGAAGTTGGTAAAAAATCAATCAAAATTTACAATGCTGACAAATTATTATGTCATTGAAAGAAGCATCTCTGTACAAAGACCCTGTTCCATCTTTATGACTGTAATCAGAAATGTTTGATCAGAAATTTTATCTTTAAACCTTTTTGTGGTCAAATGTCTTTCTCAGAGGTGTCTGCAATATTTGAAAAGTTTTTTGGACAGAAAAAAAAGTAAGGGATATCTGCCCACTGGATCTCATGTTTGATATTTTAAGCAAAAATAAATATTTGAAAATGTTTATTTAAAACAGGTATCCAGCTAATGTTTTTGAGAAGGACTCCCCGGACACAGGTGAGAATTATCTTCACAAGGATTTGAAATTTATTCAAGATCATACCTTGTTTGCAGGAATATAGACAGCGAGATGCCAGGAATATCCTCATAAATGAAAATAGTTTTGCTGCGAGAAAAATGTAACATTTATTTCTTATTTCACAAGAAAGGCAGAAGGAGTCCCCTGTGGGAAGTTTGGACAGGCTAGCTGTTTTGTTCCCTATAAAACCAATGCTTATTCTAAATCTATACAGTTTGCTCTTGTGTGTTTCCGTATTTCTTTAGAAATCTGAATTGTAGTTATTAGAGGTTAAACAATATATTTTGCCTGTCAAATGTGCAGAGTAAAAAGATAACAGATGTTAAACAATATGATCAACATGTAAAATCCATTCTAAAGACCGAGGTTGACCGGCCTGTCACACAGTTTAAAGTGCTAAATTTGAGTGCAATGTTACCTGTAAAAGTTAAGCTGCATAAAATTTAATCTTTTCTGTAATATCTTTTCCCATTTATTTAAAATTGATTAATGCACTTAATGGGAAAAAAAAAAAAGAATAAGCTAATTAAGGACCATTAAGTAACAGACAATGTCCTGTAGTTACTCGCCTTTCCAAATGAAACACACCCATACAAATGGCCTTGCTTGTAAAAGCTTTTGGGAGACATGCCATTGTTTACTTAGTGAACACTTGAAATGTTTTAAGAGTGTTTGTTGTGTTATAACCAATCACAGCAAAGATCAGGACATTCCAGCAAGCAAGAAAACCACTAACTTTAAGCAACAATGTTAATTAGAAAGTTTGTGGTTTTCTGGCTTGCAGCTTGCAATTTAGTTTTCTCATGCCTGGTTGGCTTTTTTCTTCAACAGCAACATTCCAGAAATATTATATTTCTGGTGTTCATGATTTTGTTGGTTTCACTGTTTTGTGTAAAAATTAATAGTAAACAAACATTTAAATATTTCTCTTTCATCGTTGAAACCTGAATAAAAGCAGTTATTACTTATGCTACGAAGCCAAATGAGTATTAAATCTAAATGTATTTTAATTTCATACTATCTTTTTTTTAAAAAAAGGAGCAGTATCTAAACCAAAGCAATCACAGTCATTCCCTATTTAAAACTTTGAATGAATATTTTAGTCGGTAGGTAATTTGATGATGATAACAATGACAGTAAAACACACAAGGTTCTGTTTTTTTATGTCATTTTTCCAATTTGAAATAATTATAATTCTTTAAAGTACAGTTATTGGATAAAAACTGAATTTATGCCCTCTTTACTAGGTTGGGTATTAAACAAAACCAATAAGAACAAGTACAAATTACCTCCTTTTTAAAAAATTTTCTCAGTGAGATAAAACCCCTAATGCTTTAGGCAAAATAATGTTAATAAAAAAGTAACAAGAATTGCTATTTCAGGTGGCCATGGCCCTAGTCGTGATCGCCAAGTGCGGCGCTCTTCCTCAGGTAAAATGTTAACACAAATTTAACTAATGAATAATTTCAAGCTCAAGTTCATCTTATCTCACACTAAACTAAATTTTTGGAAGCAGTTGTTAAAAATTACCTAAATGGAGAAGTTAAGGGACCATCCAAGATATTTCTAAGTTAAAATAACATTAAATGTTGATTTGGTTTTAAAGCTCTGAACCTCTTTTATTTATACCAGGTGAGATAATTTTTGCATTTTAAACCATGTATATTTTTTTACCGTTCGCTGAACCAGTATTTTTTCATGTTTTTTCTAAATACAACAATTCATCTAAAGTCATTAATCTTGACTTTGACTGACCTAACCATGATGTCTGCGAAATACACAGTTGTGTCAGATCAAAAACATGGTTGTTTAAACAGCGGCTAGGTTAAAACCCTCTTCTTAATTTTCTAAACCTGTGGGCAATAAAAGCCTTTGAATAAGTTTTTTAAATATCTTTATGCAGTTAAGAGTGCCAGCAAGGATCGACGGACAAGTCCTGGACCTCCAGCCAACAGGGTATAGCAATCTATCTCAATATGTATTTATTGTTTATGATAATAAATATAATGATTATTTCTTCTCTATCCAACTGTACTACTTATTGCACAAAAAAGGCATGAAATAAGTACAAAATATCCCACATTACGGTGCAGTTGGTTTTTTCATACCTTATAAAACCTGTTTGACAGGTCACTGCATACATAGAGATTACTTTCTGATGGAAAGTTTTTTATTTCAACTTGATGTAGTGGTCCTTCGACTTACAGAAGTACCAGCAATTCGTATTTAAATGTAGGAATAAAATTGTTTTTGTTTTGTTTTGTAAAAGAGTGAAAACAAACTAGTGCATTGTGAAAGATATTTTGCCCAAGAGGCGATTGGATGACATCATAAGATATCATTATCACAAAAACTGGTTGAACTGCATTTCATATCTGAATTTCTGAAAGTGAAAGAGTAAGAGAATTGTAGAGCAAAATAACTAATAATCATCTTAAACATTTCTGTTGTCTTGTAGATGAATGGTCACAGCCCAAGAAGTAAGTTGGGATTGTTACTGCTGTAAATTCTCTTGAATGTCAAACATCTTCATGGTAGCAAATTGCAAGGAAATACAGTTACTAGGGAGTTTTTGCTTTGCAAAGTCTATATGTTTCTGTGCAACACTTGTATTGTAAATAAATATATGTTAGCAGTTACGAGGAGTCTTGAGAATTTTCTCAGTTAAAGCATAGGTTTAGAATGTTATTCCCCTGGGATGTAATTGAAATTATCATAAAACCATTGGAGAACAAGCAAAATGAATGATATCCTTGTTTATTCCATGGAAAGAAAGTTTCATTTATTACCTTGTATTTTCTGAATTGGCCTGTCAAAGAAAATAATTCTTTAAAATTTTTGTATCTTGTATTAATTTTATTTTGTCTGCCTGTAGTTCTTGGAAAAGTTATTTTAATTTTCAACTTAAAAATATCCATATGTATTCCTGTTTTAGTGTTATGCCATAAAAGTTGTTGAAGTATTTACTCACAGTATGTTTCCTTCTAACAGCAGCCAGTGCCAAGAGTCCCACAGGGTCTTCCGGCAGAAGGGTTGGTTTATTTTAGTTTTTTTCTTCTAGTTTGTTTAATGAAGCTCAGCATATTATTATTCTAAGTTTATGAATGTGTTCCATTATGCCAGCAATTGTGGAAATTTTGGTTGAAACAAAAGAGTGGTGTGTCTGTGGTGTCTCCAGAATTGGTCCTCTTGAGCTGATCAGTCTAAGCTAGGTTTTCCATTTTCAAAAATTAATATTTCTAGTCTCACTTCACTGATAAAAATCGGTCAAAGTATACACAACGCTTTGGTTTGGTTAGAAATTTTATTTTGATGGAACAATGTCATTCCATTGCAATTGTCCCTTGGTGTGTTCAACTAGTGTCTGACTTATTGGTGTGGTGTCATAGAAATGTTGAAAATCCACCTTAAATGTCATTTTGAAAATCGAAACTGTAAAATTTCTGAAAGCGGAGTCAATGCTTGAGAGCTCTGAAAATGATAATATTTTACCATTTGACAGTCCAGCCAGAAACAATGGTTTCAGAGATGTGTTCATTGTATTGGTGATGTTTGAATAGGCCGGCTTCATTACTGTTTTTTAGAGAAACTGTATAGTTTGGTCAATGTTTTTCACAGCCTTAATTCTCTTTGGCAACCCGACAGTTTTGATGTAAAAGAGGACACACTTAACCTTAGAGGTTGATTTTGCCCCCCGCTCCCCCGCTTGAAAAAAAATATATCTCACAACTGTCACATTCCATTTTTTGCAGACTCCAAACAGTGGCCCTGTTCATCCTAATGATGAGTTGTAAGTTTCTACAAGTTATGCAACACTTTTGATTTAAGTCTCAGCTTTTGGCGTCTTTTACCACTTTTCCATCCTTCAACAGATACTCCGCTAGATTTCAGTCATCATCAACTAGAGTCCACTTGAGTTACTGGACGTCTAGTTCTAAAATACCGCATTCTTTAACCATAAACTGAGACAAGCTTGATATTTTTTAAGTCTCTCACAAATAGCAATCAGGAAGTGCTGTGGAATCTGTTTGTTTTTCCAGTAGAAATTAGTCATGTGCAGTGGACAACCCTCACATCCTTTTGAACAAGGATAAGAACTATTAAAGGAAGGTGTCTTAAATTCTACAAAAGCTTTTTTGGTTTACTTGTTCTGAAATCAAGTTGGTAAAAAATGAATTAAAATTAACAATGCTGACAAATTATTATGTAATTGAATGAAGCATCTCTGTACAAAGACCCTGTTCCATCTTTATGACTGTAATCAAAAATGTTTGATCGGAAATTTTATCTTTAAACCTTTTTGTGGTCAAATGTCTTTCTCGGAGGTGTCTGCAATATTTGAAAAGTTTTTTGGACAAAAAAAGTAAGAAATATCTGCCCACTGGATCTCATGTTTGATGTTTTAAGCAAAAATAAATATTTGAAAATGTTTATTTAAAACAGGTATCCAGCTAATGTTTTTGAGAAGGACTCCCCAGACACAGGTGAGAATTATATCTTCACAAGGATTTGAAAGTTATTCAAGATCATGCCTTGTTTGCAGGAATATAGACAGCCAGATACCAAGAATATCCTTATAAAATGAAAACTAGTTTTGCTGTGAGAAAAATGTAACATTTTTTTCTCATTTCACAAAAAAGGCACAAGGAGTCCCTTATGGGAAAAGTTTGGATAGGCTTGCTGTTTTGTTCCCTATAAAACCAATGCTTATTCTAAATCTATACAGTTTGCTCTTGTGTGTCTCAGTATTTCTTTAAAAATCTAAATTTTAGTAATTACAGGTTAAAAGATATATTTTGTCTGTCAAATGTGCAGAGTAAAAAGATAACAGATGTTAAACAATATGATCAACGTGTAAAATCCACTCTAAAGACCAAGGTTGACCGGCCTGTCACACAGTTTAAAGTGCTAAATTTGAGTGCAATGTTACCTGTAAAAGTTAAGCTGCATAAAATTTAATCTTTTCTGTAATATCTTTTCCCATTTATTTAAAATTTATTAATGCACTTAATGGGAAAAAAAAAGAATAAGCTTATTAAGGACCATTAAGTAACAGACAATGTCCTGTAGTTACTCGCCTTTCCAAATGAAACACACCCATACAAATGGCCTTGCTTGTAAAAGCTTTTGGGAGACATGCCATTGTTTACTTAGACAAATTTTCATACATTACACAGCTTGGCGGAAGGGAGCTCCGAAGAAGGTCATTAGGAGACCTAAAGCAAAGGTCACCCCTCCAACAAGTGACAAGTTTTATTCCACAGTGTGGCTTAGTGACTATGATTCAGAGCCGGAAAAAAAATTAGAATTAATAGCAAGTACGGGGACTACTTCATGTGATAGCCATGTAAACACGCCGTTTAGTAGCCGGCCCACTTCACCATTTAGCAGTCAATTATCCTCCCCAATCAGTAGTCGACCAAATACGCCTTCAGTTTTCTCAAAGTTTGAAGATGAGGATTCGGGCTTACATTCTGAAAATGATAAATCATACGAGGACGTTGTTGGTCCTAGAAAAAAATTGCACCGCACATTAAGTTTGCCAGATGCAGAACTCAACAATCTCTGTGCAGAAGACTTGCAGGAAAGATTTTCAACACTTCAATTAGAACAAGAAAACCGAGAACTGAAAAAATTAACTGCTGAGTTACAAGAGGCATTAGAAAAGTTAGAGGAAAGAGTTAATTCTTTGCAGAATGTTGAAAATGACAGCTTAGATGAGGCTGCTTCATTTTCTTTGACATGTAACTCAGGTTCACATTTACTTGAGAACCACAGCCATGTTTTTTTGCAACCTGACGAGTTACCTCAGACACTGAAGAAAAGATCTAAAAGTGACATTGAATTAAATGCGAGAAGAAGGCAAAAAAGAGATAGCAGTACATGTTGTGTAAGCTAGCCGAAAAAATAACAGCTATTTATGAACAATTTCCTGTTGATAACTCCCAATATACTTTTGCATCGATAAAAAATAAATATTTAGTATGTCCTTTCTTGAGTGAATAAGCCGAAATGTAATTTTTTACAAAATTTAATTTTTTCTGAACATTATTTTTATAAGCTAAAGTTAGCAGTTCTAAGTGACAAAACACTGACAATGTTTTTACTGTAATGCCCTGACAGCTGAACGAATTAAGAAACTCTTATCACCTGATCGGCACCCTTCAATCCCTGACTGCTGTGTATTGTTTGATAACAAGCATGGAGACCAAAGTGAATGGAAGCTTGTAAAGGAATTTCTTACTGGATCACACTTACATTAAATCAGATGCAGTGCAATCCCACACAATTGGCTTTTTATGTCAAGAAATACAATTTAATCTGATCAGTCCACTTTGCTTAAATGTTGAATCATGATCAGCAGTCATCCAAGTTTGTTCCAAACAAGTGTCAATTAGAATCAAAAGATGTTAAGTACAACCTTTAGAGAACAATGCATTTTGAAAATGCTGAAACATTTGTTTAGTACTCTTTGTTAAATCTAATAAAATAATATTATTAAATCATGACTTAAAAATCATTAATTGCCATGAAGTTGGATTAAGTCTTTAAATTGTGTTTTAGTTTCGCATCTTTGTCTTGTTTTCCTCTTTAGACGGAAAATTAAAAAAACTGAATAGACATTGTTTATATCAAAATATTTTTAAAATTAGCAAGGATTTTCTCCTCAAAAAGAAATGTCTAAAAATGAAAGCAGGAAGTATGATAAACATCTAAACTGTTAAACTAAGTCTGAGTTAGAGCATAAGTAGCACTAGATTCTAAAAGATAAATTCCAAAACCCTTTGAACTGTAAGTAATGATTAAAATCAGCTTTAAACTAAAAGAGGACCGTTCTTGTGTCTGTTAATGCATACATACTTGTGTACTCAACCTGTAAATAATTTATTTTAACAATAAAATACACATTAAAGGCCGATACAGTAATTTTGTTTATTTTGGGCAATTATTTTACTTATAGTAGCTTTTGAAATTTGCAAGTCTTTCAGTATAAATATGTTTTTTCTGTGTGACAGGCCAACCTATTCTTTAGTATGGAAATATAAATTTTATGATTTTTTTCTTTACTAATGCTTTATTGGTAATGTGTTACAGTTCTATGCTTGCAATAAATAGATTTTAACTTCACATTCTAACCTTATTAAATACATCAACCTAGATTTAAGAACAAGATTCTTGAGACATTTATATTCATCTCAAAAACTTAATGTGAGCTGAAAACCAAGATAAGTGCAAAGTGATTGTTGTTAGGGTAGCAAAAGTGTTATTAAAAGAACCACCAAAATATTACAATTTGGGCTGTCACACATTAAAGACATGGCAGTTATTGCACACAAAGGTTGCTGAAGGATTCTTCAGGGGTTTTTATTTTAACTCAGTCCTCAAAAATAAGGGAAGGGTTTTCAATTTTCAATTTTTATGGAACATTTTTTATGTTTGTTTGTTTGTTTGTTTTTTTTTTGCGAGGATTTTGGAAATAGGGTACTTCCAAACTCCATTTGAAAAGGGTGACTGGTTAAAACTCCATTTTCCTTCTTGCAAGTATTTGTTTTCACTTTTTCCACAAGTGCCACTATAAGAACATACTTTTTACGAGCTCTGAGTTTACAAGACTGAAGTGGAATTTTTTGGCCCAATGACTTTTCCCCAAACTCTGTTTCACTGAATTTGGGCAACGATAAGTGAGATAAAAAGGAAGAATGGGATGCATGTTAGTTCAATGGAACAACATATACACTGAAGTTTGTGTGTCATGTTGGGTATTCTGTGCATATTAGGTTCCCTGTTAAAAGAACATCACTATTACTATTTTTTCAAGCTTGATTTTTTTACCAGATTTTTTTTGAATAAAGCCATCACCCCATAAGTACCATGCATGTCTACCCTAATGGACCTGTGTTTTGTGCCTTCTGTTACTTGCTCATCCAACTGCATTTTCCTTACCTCCTTCCTCTTTTCTTTTGAAATCTATTTTTCCTTTGATGAACTTTTTCTCGCTCAGCTTTCTTATTATGATTATTAATGATTATCTGATTATCATTTCATCCATCATTATTGCTCTAACTTCCCTTTCTATTTGCAAGGAGCTGTCCTAAGCAATTGTTTTCAATTATAGAGAACAAAATTGGGTAAAAAGAAAGATCACATTAGTGAGTTTTTATTGGGCCAGTTTTGAATCACATAAAAGTATGCCTGAGGCTACACAAGTCCCACCCTCTCCCCCTAGGTTTAGCTTCTAGTGGGATTGAAATGTAATTTTTGACCTCAGTCTCCCCTCCCCCATGAGGATTTAGTTTCCTAAGCAAACCATGGGACGGGTGTTATGAAGGATCTGTGAATCGACAGGGTAACAAGACTTTGTATTTTGGAGGCGGTGTAGGATGGCTAAGGATGAACTCATTAATACATCATCATGAGTGTTAACATGAGAAGTCAAGGATGTATTTTTTTTTACCAGTTGTCCAACAGGTACCTGTAATAAGCCACTGAAATTGGTAACAGAAACCTGTAATACCTGCGTTTTTTCTTGTACAACCTGTTGACGTCTTATAAACCTAATTACTTAGATCTTCCTGCAACTTATGAAGACAAAAACACATTGAAGGTTTTGCTGTAAGTTTTCATGATATCCTTGGTAACCTCAATTCTTACTAGTTTCTCCCTGAAATATTATTGAAGTTTTTAAGACAATAGTGTATTAGTTGTGTGGTATAAAACTGGTCCAATAGATCCACTAGTGTCAGATTATCAAAATGTGTTTTTGTCTTCATGATTTATTGCCCACAATAAATTGGAAACATGTAAACTGAAACACTAAACTTTTATGTCATGTGCTTCTTCTTCCTCTGCAGAACAAATTGAAACCGGAATGGATCCATCATTTGAATAACTGCTAGGAGCTCCTTGCTAAATGCTTGTGGAATCAGACACCTGATTCACTGAACTAACTCGTCAAAACAAACTGCAATATGAAACATTAATAATATTATATAAACACTCGTAGATAACTTCTTTCCTTGTTTCACGCCTTGTTGCATGCTTCTATCATTACGCTTTGCCCAGTTAAAGTTGAGCAAGTTTTAGCTGTTTAAAGTAGGAATAAACTTTGTTATTCACGTGGAAGAAACGTTTTAAAAATTGATCTATTGCATAAATGTAGGGCTGTATCTTAGTTGAAACAAGCAAAAGCTGTTGTCATAACTAGTGTATAAGCTATGATAATCTATAAATTTAGCCATTTAGTTGAATGCTTTAAAGGCTTGTCATGTGTAGCTATAGTATACTACCTAGAGATAGAAAACTGAATGAAAAAGACAACAAGAAGATAAAATAATCTAGAAAAAGTTAAACTGATATTCATCACCTAAGGTATAAGTGTAAGGCTAAAGTATTTTAATTTTACATGGAGCAGATTTGTTTGTATAATTTCATTCTAAAGATCCGAGTTTCTGTTTCTTGATTTGGCCAAGAATTTTTGATCACTTGACAAGTCAGGTGTTCAGCTGATTCAATAGAATTTTCAACAGTGTAAAATTTCAAATTTCTTTGGTCTGTTACTAGTGCTGATATTAATTTTTTTAAACAAGAAAAAGGAACAGTTATTTGAATTTAATCAATACTGCAATAAATTTCACTGTAAAGCATAGCCCTGAAAATACTTTTAACCTTAGCTTAAGTCATTAAGAGATTTGATTTAATTTGCCTTGGGCCAAACACCAATGTACTTAGAATATTAATTATTTCCTTTGAATTTATGGGCGGTTTTGTTGAAACCCTTTCAACCTGCCTCATATGTGTGATCTCTCTCTCTTTTCGCCAGTAGTGAAATAAACGGAGATTATTCCTCCACCATGTGTGTCCTCTTAACTCATTAATAAATCTGACTTTCCTTCCAAAAACACTGATGGGGAAATTTGTATGAATTGAGTTCGTGATAAATCTGTTTAGTGATGGGTGTTAACTGACAATGTTATTAAAACTTATCAACAACTGGTGAAGGGTCATTTTGGCTTCAAATTAATCCTCCTTTCCTTTATAGTGATAAACAAAACACTCTTTCATTCCTCTGGTGGAACTGCTGTTGCTAGGTGTTAAATTTAAAGTCCTTCTTTAATTTGCAACATGTGTCCAGCTTTTATAAATCATGCATAACAAAATCATAATGTTAACTAAGTAAAATTAAATAAATTGACAAAGGCATGTATTGATGAAAAATAATGCTATTCTAAAAAGGTACATTTTGATTACTGGAAAGATAAAATGAAGTCCCTGATCTCTTAAAAACCTCTGTGTTGATCAGTATGACTAGCCACTCCTAAAGAACACATAATATATTGCTTTACTTAAAACTACCCTCTGTTGACTTCAGCAGTTTTATTGATAATATGAAAGCTAAATTTACATCAGTGTACTTTTTTTTTGAGATATCATGGTTTTCACCTCTTTTGCAAGAGGCTTGCCTTGTGATCACTTTGTAACTGAGGTCTTGTCCACAAAATTATCAGCTTCAAATGCAAAATACAAAGCAAAGTATTGTTGTTTCTTTGGTCACCAGTCTTTCTCTGTTTGTAATGACACAGAAGCCTCAATTATTTACATTGTCTACATTGCTACCATGAATTTTGTTTCCTTTTTTGACTAACATTTGGTCATCCTGTCTGTTCAACACAGATCTCACTAAGTTTGTGATATAGTCTACTTCCCTAGCTGATTATTAATCAAAAAAAAATTTTTCCATGTTGAATTTTTCAGAGTTTTTATAGCTTACATTTTGAAAAGTAGTTTATTCTAAAAATCTTATACCACAAATAGAATTGAAAAAAAACTCTTTATTAAAATCAAAGCGAAATATCTTGGGTCAACGGAAAATTAATTGTCTGGCACGTTCAATTCAACCTGTAATTTAACCTCTAGACTTCTGTAATATTTTTCTTTTTTACACTGTGAATGTTTCAGCTGAATTTTGTAGGAACTAAAAGCAGCTGAAAATGTATTGACTCTAACAGAACACCTCATTTTAATATTTCTGACAGATTTTAATTTGGAGAAAAATCATTTTAAGTGTTGACCACATAAAAGCATTTTAAATGAAAGTGATTATTCAAGAAAAGGAATCTTTGTTAGTTTCCTGCGTAGCAGGTGTTACTAAAACCTCTTTACTACAAGCATTTTCATTGGCCAATTTTGTATTCCTTCCTATGGTTAAATGGCTTCCTACAGCTTGTAATAAAACTATCCCTTATCTTGGGACTAGAGTAGGAAATTTGAACTATTTTACATTGAATCTGATAGCTCTTTCATAGCAATTTTCTTAATAGATGAAGCAATATTGCATTTTTTTTCTTTTTCACCCCTATGTGCTTTTAATCACCCAGGTGTAATGTAGGTCTTCTTAGGATTAAGTCCAAATATAAAACAATAAATAAAGCTTGGAGACAGACAATATTCTAGTCAGAACTGTGGCATTTCCATAAAGGCCTCAGTAATACAAATTTAAATTTCAATATACAGGAAAAGTTAAAATCATTAAAAAGAAGAAAGAAAGATTTTTATCACTTTAAATTTTTAAAACTAGAAAGGCCTTTAGGTTATAAGTTTCTTTTGTGTCTCAGCTATTGACAATTCATTAAAATTCAGAGTTCCTTAAGAGCCTTGAGCTGTTAGTATATTTAAAATTGATCTTAGTTTTTGTGCTCTTCGGTCTCGAAAATAATAGAAAGTCCTTGCCTCTAGGTATTGCTTTTATGAGTAAACATTTCCTTTTATGTTGTGTTTTGTGGTGTAATTCTGGTACCATTGACTCCTTAACATTATTACACTTACCAAAGCTTTTTAAAAATTTATGTGTGGAAGATTTATTTTTATTTTACCCAACGTATTACATTTTTTTGCAACTCCCACTTTTAGAGTAATTTATGCCCTTTTTGACAGGGTAAATCCTTAGTATGTTATTGAAAAAGAAAAAAAAGTTTAGGGATTTCAAAATTATTTTTACTATTAAGAATTTTTTTAAAATTGTTATTCACGTAATGATTTTAAATGTTTTTATTTCCAGTTAAAGATCCAAAGAAAATAAAGCGTGAGAGGATATCAGTGCATGGGTTTTACAGAATAGGAAAAGTTATTGGAGATGGAAACTTTGCTGTAGTTAGAGAATGTAAAAATAGGTATGTGTCTCTTCCATCTGTCATATCTATCATCATTGGTTAGACAGGTCTTAAGCCCTACATTGCTATGATATTAAGGAGCCATGTTTGCCAATATTTTTTTCCAATACTGTCCAACAATGACTGTCTTAGAACTACCGTGTTAGAACATTGTTGTCAAGTCCAAAGAAAAATCTAGTTTTTTAACAACAGTTTAATTTGTTTGTACTCTTACTGTGTTGTTTTCATTCTTTTGTAGGAAAACAAATAAAGAATATGCTCTTAAGATTATTAGCAAAGCTAAAGTTAAAGGAAAGGTTTGTGAAACATTGTTTGCGCAATAAAAAGAAAGATAGTTAAGTTTAACCCTCGGTGAAGAAATGAGAAATGTAATCAACATGTCACGAGCATGGGACAAAGAAAGAATCTGAGTCCCCAAGAGGAATTGAACCTATGATCTTCCATACACCGGTCAGATGCTCTAACCACTGAGGTTCGAAGGACTCGTGGTGAGCTGGGCCATATACAAGGTTCATGTATGACATGCATCCTGTGTAGTGCAAGGATCAACAATGTCGAAATCGTCATGTGTGTGATAAATAAAAAAAGATGGTAAATTTTAAGCTCAGTGAAGAAAAGAGAAATGATGTGATCAATATGTCATGGGCATGAGATGGGACAAAGAAAAAAAAAAGAGACTCAGATTTTTTCTTTCCTTTGTAGCTCAGTGGTTAGAGCATCCGACCGATATTCGGAAGGTCATAGGGTCAATTCCTATCGGGTACTCAGCGTTTTTTTTGTCCCATGCTTGTGGCATGTTGATAACGTCATTTCTCATTATTTGTGCATTTGGTCGAAACCTAACAGTGACAGATTCAGGCTTTCAAGAGGGTTGGGGCCGTGGCCTCGAAAATAGGTTTTCTCATCCCTTCAGGCTTTTAAGTTTGGCCTAAAAATAAGATGGGAGCCTGGGTTCCCTGTGCCCCTACCCTAGATCCACCAATTTGATATTTTCCTGCTATCTGAAAAATTAAAAAGATATTTAACAGTTCTGTCATATCAATCAGTTGTGTTCTCTTCTTCTGTAGGAACACATGGTAGAAAATGAGATCAGTATATTAAGAAGAGTGAAACATAAGAATATTGTAGAGCTTATAGAAGAATATGAGACACCCAAAGAAATTTTCCTGGTTATGGAACTAGTTAAGGTGAGAATAACTTTCTGAATTTGACTGAAGGTTAAATAAATCTACCTTTATTCTGGTTTTTATTGTTCCTTGCCACAGGTGAAAATTTAGGCTTTTGACTGTGTTGATTGAGAGAGGGGGTGGGGGGGGGGGGGGTTTTGGACGGGGAATTTTGGAACTAAGGGAAAGAGGGGGGAAAAAAGAAGGGACGTGATTTTTGTCCTATTTACTTTTGGGGAGAGGAGCTGGGGGCTAACCACTTGGGCCCCAAGAGTATAACGGACGAAAACTACGCTGTTTATGGAGATTATTCCTCCACCATGTGTGTCCTCTTAACTCATTAATAAATCTGACTTTCCTTCCAAAAACACTGATGGGGAAATTTGTATGAATTGAGTTCGTGATAAATCTGTTTAGTGATGGGTGTTAACTGACAATGTTATTAAAACTTATCAACAACTGGTGAAGGGTCATTTTGGCTTCAAATTAATCCTCCTTTCCTTTATAGTGATAAACAAAACACTCTTTCATTCCTCTGGTGGAACTGCTGTTGCTAGGTGTTAAATTTAAAGTCCTTCTTTAATTTGCAACATGTGTCCAGCTTTTATAAATCATGCATAACAAAATCATAATGTTAACTAAGTAAAATTAAATAAATTGACAAAGGCATGTATTGATGAAAAATAATGCTATTCTAAAAAGGTACATTTTGATTACTGGAAAGATAAAATGAAGTCCCTGATCTCTTAAAAACCTCTGTGTTGATCAGTATGACTAGCCACTCCTAAAGAACACATAATATGCTTTACTTAAAACTACCCTCTGTTGACTTCAGCAGTTTTATTGATAATATGAAAGCTAAATTTACATCAGTGTACTTTTTTTTTGAGATATCATGGTTTTCACCTCTTTTGCAAGAGGCTTGCCTTGTGATCACTTTGTAACTGAGGTCTTGTCCACAAAATTATCAGCTTCAAATGCAAAATACAAAGCAAAGTATTGTTGTTTCTTTGGTCACCAGTCTTTCTCTGTTTGTAATGACACAGAAGCCTCAATTATTTACATTGTCTACATTGCTACCATGAATTTTGTTTCCTTTTTTGACTAACATTTGGTCATCCTGTCTGTTCAACACAGATCTCACTAAGTTTGTGATATAGTCTACTTCCCTAGCTGATTATTAATCAAAAAAAAATTTTTCCATGTTGAATTTTTCAGAGTTTTTATAGCTTACATTTTGAAAAGTAGTTTATTCTAAAAATCTTATACCACAAATAGAATTGAAAAAAAACTCTTTATTAAAATCAAAGCGAAATATCTTGGGTCAACGGAAAATTAATTGTCTGGCACGTTCAATTCAACCTGTAATTTAACCTCTAGACTTCTGTAATATTTTTCTTTTTTACACTGTGAATGTTTCAGCTGAATTTTGTAGGAACTAAAAGCAGCTGAAAATGTATTGACTCTAACAGAACACCTCATTTTAATATTTCTGACAGATTTTAATTTGGAGAAAAATCATTTTAAGTGTTGACCACATAAAAGCATTTTAAATGAAAGTGATTATTCAAGAAAAGGAATCTTTGTTAGTTTCCTGCGTAGCAGGTGTTACTAAAACCTCTTTACTACAAGCATTTTCATTGGCCAATTTTGTATTCCTTCCTATGGTTAAATGGCTTCCTGCAGCTTGTAATAAAACTATCCCTTATCTTGGAACTAGAGTAGGAAATTTGAACTATTTTGCATTGAATCTGATAGCTCTTTCATAGCAATTTTCTTAATAGATGAAGCAATATTGCATTTTTTTCTTTTTCACCCCTATGTGCTTTTAATCACCCAGGTGTAATGTAGGTCTTCTTAGGATTAAGTCCAAATATAAAACAATAAATAAAGCTTGGAGACAGACAATATTGTAGTCAGAACTGTGGCATTTCCATAAAGGCCTCAATAATACAAATTTAAATTTCAATATACAGGAAAAGTTAAAATCATGAAAAAGAAGAAAGAAAGATTTTTATCACTTTAAATTTTTAAAACTAGAAAGGCCTTTAGGTTATAAGTTTCTTTTGTGTCTCAGCTATTGACACTTCATTAAAATTCAGAGTTCCTTAAGAGCCTTGAGCTGTTAGTATATTTAAAATTGATCTTAGTTTTTGTGCTCTTCGGTCTCGAAAATAATAGAAAGTCCTTGCCTCTAGGTATTGCTTTTATGAGTAAACATTTCCTTTTATGTTGTGTTTTGTGGTGTAATTCTGGTACCATTGACTCCTTAACATTATTACACTTACCAAGCTTTTTAAAAATTTATGTGTGGAAGATTTATTTTTATTTTACCCAATGTATTACATTTTTTTGCAACTCCCACTTTTAGAGTAATTTATGCCCTTTTTGACAGGGTAAATCCTTAGTATGTTATTGAAAAAGAAAAAAAAGTTTAGGGATTTCAAAATTATTTTTACTATTAAGAATTTTTTTAAAATTGTTATTCACGTAATGATTTTAAATGTTTTTATTTCCAGTTAAAGATCCAAAGAAAATAAAGCGTGAGAGGATATCAGTGCATGGGTTTTACAGAATAGGAAAAGTTATTGGAGATGGAAACTTTGCTGTAGTTAGAGAATGTAAAAATAGGTATGTGTCTCTTCCATCTGTCATATCTATCATCATTGGTTAGACAGGTCTTAAGCCCTACATTGCTATGATATTAAGGAGCCATGTTTGCCATTATTTTTTTCCAATACTGTCCAACAATGACTGTCTTAGAACTACCGTGTTAGAACATTGTTGTCAAGTCCAAAGAAAAATCTAGTTTTTTAACAACAGTTTAATTTGTTTGTACTCTTACAGTGTTGTTTTCATTCTTTTGTAGGAAAACAAATAAAGAATATGCCCTTAAGATTATTAGCAAAGCTAAAGTTAAAGGAAAGGTTTGTGAAACATTGTTTGCGCAATAAAAAGAAAGATAGTTAAGTTTAACCCTCGGTGAAGAAGTGAGAAATGTAATCAACATATCACAAGCATGGGACAAAGAAAACTTCTGAGTCCCCATCAGGAATTGAACCTAAGATCTTCCATACACCAGTCAGATACTCTAAGCACTGAGGTATGAAGGACTTGTAGTGAGCTGGGCCATATACAAGGTTCATGTATGACGTGTGTCCTGCGTACTGCAAGGATCAACAATGTCGAAATCGTCATGTGTGTGATAAATAAAGAAAGATGGTAAATTTTAAGCTCAGTGAAGAAAAGAGAAATGGTGTGATCAACAAGTCATGAGCATGGGGTGGGAAAGAGACAAAAAAAGACTCAGTGGTTAGAGCATTCGACTGGTATAGGAAGGTCATAGGGTAAATTCCTGTGCTTGTGACATGTTGATCACATCATTTCTCATTGTTGGTGCATTTGGTCGAAACCTATCAGTGACAGATTCAGGCTTTCAAGTGAGTTGGGCCCTGGCTTCGAAAATAAGTTTTCTCATCCCTTCAGGCTTTTAAGTTTGGCCTAAAAATAAGGTGGGAGCCTGGGTTCCCTGTGCCCCTCCCTGAGATCCACCAGTTTCTTATTTGCCTGCTATCTGAAAAATTAAAAAGACATTTAACAATTCTGTTATATCAATCAGTTGTGTTATCTTCTTCTGTAGGAACATATGGTAGAAAATGAGATCAGTATATTAAGAAGAGTGAAACATAAGAATATTGTAGAGCTTATAGAAGAATATGAGACACCCAAAGAAATTTTCTTGGTTATGGAATTAGTTAAGGTGAGAACAACTTACTGAATTTGAATAAAGGTAAAGTAAATCTACCCTTATTTTTGTTTTTATTGTTCCTTGCCACAGGTGAAAATTTAGGCTTTTGATTGTGTTGATTGAGAGAGGAGGTGGGGGGGTTGTGTTTTGACAGGGAAATTTTGTGTCTCAGGTAAGAAGGGGCAAAACAGCTAGGAAGTGCTTTTTGTTCTATTTTCCTTTTGTGAAAGTAGCTGAAGGCTTAACCCTTTAGGCCCTAAGAGTGATCAGCATCAAATTTCTCCTAATAATATCAATGCTTTGTAAAACAGAGTGGTCATGAGAATTACGGACATGATCACACCAGATGAATTTTCTTGATATTTTATCAACTTCTCCCCACCACTTCTGTAGGAAAGGAATTACCATTCTTAGAAGCCTACGTTTATTACATCATAATTGCGGGCGACAACAGGAGCCCACAATCCAGATCTCCAAGTTTTTATTACACTTGCATTGGATGTTTGTAGCCAGCATTTGTTTAGACTTCCACTAAGAATGAATGGAATGCAAAGAATGCAATTTGATCACACGTCTTTAGACTTTCTATCACTCGTAATCTGATAACTCGTGTTTTGACTATCTTTCATGTGAAACTTATGCAAAGCATAGTGATGGAGCAAAAGCGTTTTGACCTTCGATAGTTGTCACCCGCACTCAGCATCCTTTAGTTATTACTAGTATTATTAGTAGAATATTATTTAGTTTATCATTCTTTCTGCATTTTCTTCTTTTCAGGGTGGAGACCTGTTTGAGGCCATTGTACGAGCAACTAAATACACAGAAAAGGATGCAAGTCACATGATCAGGGACTTGGCATCTGCACTTCATTACTTACACTCTATGAACATTGTTCACAGGGATATTAAACCAGAAAATTTATTAGTAAGTATGGCAGTTGATCCTTCAAAAATTAATTATTAATTCTCCTGGGTGCATAATCTACAGTCATCCCAGCAAACAAACACTTTGTCCAGTGGTCATTCAACAGTACTCTTCATTCTATTATGGTTTGGCCTCATTAGACCATTTTACAGTTGTAGGCTTAGTACTTTCAATTTAAATGCGAGGCTGAGGTTGATCATGTTTCGATGAAACCTCTTTACAGTGTAGTTTTTTCTCATTATGGAAATTGTGCTCGAAAAATACTAGTCAGCATAAGACCAACAAGTTTTACATAAACAAGTGAAGCAGAAAGGGATAATTGTATCAAAACAAGGTTAACTCCAGCTTCGTTTCCATCTATAACTGTTAAATGGTCAATTAAGAGAGAGACGAGAATGTTTCTTAATAACAAATTCCTCTATTTCTTGTCTTGCGCTGTAGGTTGTAAATTATTCAGATAATAGAAAATCTTTAAAGCTAGCAGACTTTGGTTTGGCAACAGAGGTGAACAGTCCGATGTTTCTTGTTTGTGGAACACCAACGTATGTTGCACCAGAGATTCTGGATGAAACGGGGTACGTTCCTTGGCTTGGCCTGTTGTTGCCATCTTTGTTTATATGTATACTTTATTTTAATATCCATACATTGGATTGTGCAAGAATTTTGAGCCCTAGCCTTGGTTGTTCAAACATGGGATAGCACTATCCAACAGATAAAGATCACTATCTGCCAAATAAGTATTAGGAGAACCAATTCACTGCTTTTTTCACTGGATAGAAATTTATTCAGGGAATAGTATATAATCCACTGGTACTTTAGGTACTTTTAGGGCTTCATGTACTGTAAGAGTCATATCCTGTGCTCTGAGAAGAGATAAATGCTCTAATAATGAGAATCATGTCTCTTATAAGGATGGTGATTATATTTTGCCTTAACACTGTTTTTGTATGTTTTTCATGTCTTTTTTAATTTGGTATTGTTGTTGTTATTATTTGTTGTTGTTATGAGAGTTAATTTTTTTGTTTGTAGGTATGGTCTAACGGTTGATATCTGGGCAGCTGGAGTAATAACATACATTCTCCTTTGCGGATTCCCTCCGTTTAGAAGGTTTGACTAAACAAAGTATCATTCACCATTTTGATACTCTTATTATCAAAATAGGTTTTCTTCATCAAGGTGTTGTGTTCAATTTTGTGCTGATATCATCATTTTTCATTTCAGTCCTGATCAAGATGAACTTTTCGACTTAATCCTTGCTGGGGAATTTGAATACCTATCACCATTTTGGGATGACATTTCAGATTCTGCAAAGGTACACAACTCTCTACTTTTTCCACTTATTTGCTCTCATTCCCTCTGCAGAACTGATAACAACTTTTCATTGTTTTGAATAGCAGTATAGTGCCTCGAAACCATGCACAAGCCCTTCCTGAAGAACCTCTCTCCCGTCAGAGAAATTTGATGCTTATACTTAAAGCAACTGGCTTACTTACAGTAAATGAGATTGAAATTTTCTCAAAACGAATGACAGTTTTACAGGCAATTGTCCAACTAACTCTTAATCTTGAGAAATGCAACTGGTAATGTGTTTTGCTTAATTAAATAAGCTCCCCCCTGAACATGCTTGAAAAAAATAAGCCCTCAGGTGGCTAAATAGAGGATTATGGTATTTTTTTGTCTTTTAGGATCTTATAAACCAGATGCTCATTGTGGATGACAATAAAAGATTCTCTGCTCTTGAAGTATTGAATCACTCTTGGATAAAGGTATAATAACATTTCTTTTTTCTTGGTTTTTAAAATAAGCCCTTTCCTTGATTAATTCAAGTCCCATTTTTTATTTACAATGTGTGTTTATATTTTTTTCCCCACAGGGACACACTACTGGTGACAAGGATATTCATCAAAATCTTAGAGTGGAAATCACGAAAAATTTTGATCCACGTAGGAGGCTGAGAGGAGCTGCCATTGCTGTGCAAACGGTAAATTATCTCTCCAAGGAAACTCAACTTAATTCAAAGAAGCACTCTCTTCAAAGAGAAAATCAACAACTTGACACAAAGAAAGTTGTTTTCTCAGATGAAGTTCTCAACTTGTCTGCTGAAAATATTGCTTCTCACAATTTACAGCATGGGTCAGACAGCAAACTAAATTTTTCTGAAAATTTGCGGCATAACCTGGAAAATTTGTTGGTTGGGCATTTGCCTCTGCGGCATGTAAGCAGTCCAGAAATTAACGCTCCAACCGGTCAGGAACACTTCTCTGAATTAGTGCTAAATGCTGTTAGTGAAGAAAGTGTTCTACCATACCAGCATGGCTTTTCACGTTCGGATGTTAAACGCAAACCTATTTTGAGGCAAACACACGGTGGGTCATTGCAAGAAAACATTCCTCAGATTGATAATATTGACACAGGTAGGAAAAGAAAAAGATCTCTTGGTGCAAGGGTGGAATCTAAAGATGGAACTCCTATTAACAGTTTTCATGTACCAGAAATAACTGAAAATGATGAGGTCAACCTGCAACAGTTTGTTGAACGGGATGTTGTCCTTAAGCCTGTCTTAATAGATGAGGACAATAGCCATGCTCATGCTGGCCAAACTACTGGACTTGCAAGCCAGCATGCTTCTCATAAAAAAACTAGTTGTAGTCATAGTGACATAACTGAGGAACTCAGAAGAATTAAAATGAGCTTTAGAGAAGGGGAAAATGTTGCTGTTGAAGTTTAGTTTGATGTGACATATAAATCAGCTATAACAATAATATTACAAAAGAAGTCAAGAATATTTTTTCTTTAAACATTATTTTCGCAGAGCTGCTAGAAAGTTTAGAGACTTAACTACATCAATTTCGTAACGCAGGAAAAATAGTTAATTATTATTTTGGTTGAATAATACATAATGTTCTTACAGATGATTAATTTGTTAAGGTGTCTGGCACCATAAATGTCAAAACCACTCTATAGGAATAAAATTGGTAGTGAAAAGTGATGATAAAAGTTAATGGTAACATTAAGGTGCACAGTATCTGTAATTAGAAAATTTGGCGATAACCTAGTAAGAAATGTGTATAAAATTTGTGATCTTGGGAGATACTGTAGGCAGGCTGATAACTCCTTACCTGAAAAGGAACTAGACAAAGTAGAAAAAAATTGCCTTAAATGAAGGGATTGAAGCTTAAAACAACCAAGGAAAGTTGCTGTAAAAAAGTTTAATGTCTTTCAATGCTGATCAAGTTTTTTTGAGAATAACAGGATTGAATTTGTATTATATGGGCTTTTCCCCATGCAACATTTTGCCTAGCAGTAAGCAGTAAATGTGAGCAAGTAAAATATTTGATATTTTCGAATGAAGTAAATGATTGAGAGATTCTTTTCAAAGAAACAAAGTATTTCACAGGTATTTTATATTGGAATGCAAAATAATAATTATTATTTTATTGTTAAGAATAATGTAAATATTAAGATTTGTTTTCCTCATTGTTAATGGTGGATAAGAGACTAGGGCCTATCTTCAGAAAGAAGGCCTGTAAAATTTATTGATGTGGTAGGATTTAAAAACTATAATAGGTATTAAATGAATTTTTTCATTATTTTAATGATATTGACATACAAGTTACAATACACTGATTTATTTGTAGCATGATTGCAAGAATTTAATTAATTAATGATGGTTCTTGTAAATTTATTTAGACAAGAGCAAATTGACATAATAATAATAGTCTGTTCATTCATTTAATAGAAAATAATATTAAAGAAATGCTTTTTTAAAATTTAATGAAGTTGTTTTTTTATTCTTTCTGTCTAACTACATAACTTTTATTCTAAACAGCACAATGGTTTACCCATGTCAGGTCTTGTCTTTCTTCCATTCTGAGGTGTTGGGGTTTCTTCTGTTGCCATCGTGTTTTTTGCTGTTACTATTGTCAGAATTATGGTGTATGGTTCTTTACTGTGGGTGTGACCCAATCTTTTTCTTGAAAATAAACTAACAGACAAATTTATTTATCATATGCTTATTTCGGTAAAATGCTGTGTTGGAAAGGTTTGTTAGTTGCAGTGCAATATTAACCATTCACTGGGATTCATCTTTGTCAAGTATTAGGCATCAAATGCATGTTGTTGAAAAGGTTCGTTATTTTTCATACACCCAAAGTAACGGATGTCTTACTTGTTTTATTGTACAGAAAAGCAGGGAAAAAGGAATCCCCAAGTCCATGGGTCCAGCCCATGGGGACCGAAGAGGAAGGAAAGCTCTAAGCCCACTATCAAGGAACTTTATAAAAAAAGATTTTCATAGTGCACGGGAAAATCTTAATATGGACATGGAAGAACTAAATAGTAACTCGGCCACAAAAAAGCGTCCCTCCGTTAGAACCCCTGCTAATTATGTTCCTGTTTGGAGGAGGCCCTTGAGCGGTGGGAAGACCACTGGTGGGTCCCCAAATCAGAGTCCACGGAGAAGGCCAGTGAGGAGTGAGAATGCTGCATCTATTGGACAAGATAAATGTAAAGTTATCAGACAACCACCCATGAGGTTTAGGCTGTGATATCAATGGTGCCATAAAACTTGTTAACTCACACTTGTTTGTCCTGGGGCTGTTGTTGTTGGCTGGTCTTTGGTGAAAATACGATATTGTAATGCCGTATGGTTTTTGTTTTCGGCTATGGTTTGAAAAGTCTATGTGTTTCATCAAGACTACAGGACGTGATAAACTTAAAACATTTTAGAATTAAAGATTGTAAAAAATAATATACTGTGCATATTAATAAAAAATTAGATTCTAAAGTAAAATCTAAGTATAAGTAACTTAAGTGTTTTAAACAAAGGGATCTTAACNTTTTTCATACACCCAAAGTAACGGATGTCTTACTTGTTTTATTGTACAGAAAAGCAGGGAAAAAGGAATCCCCAAGTCCATGGGTCCAGCCCATGGGGACCGAAGAGGAAGGAAAGCTCTAAGCCCACTATCAAGGAACTTTATAAAAAAAGATTTTCATAGTGCACGGGAAAATCTTAATATGGACATGGAAGAACTAAATAGTAACTCGGCCACAAAAAAGCGTCCCTCCGTAAGAACCCCTGCTAATTATGTTCCTGTTTGGAGGAGGCCCTTGAGCGGTGGGAAGACCCCTGGTGGGTCCCCAAATCAGAGTCCATGGAGAAGGCCAGTGAGGAGTGAGAATGCTGCATCTATTGGACAAGATAAATGTAAAGTTATCAGACAACCACCCATGAGGTTTAGGCTGTGATGTCAATGGCGCCATAAAACTTGTGAACTCACACTTTTTTGTCCTGGGGCTGTTGTTGTTGGCTGGTCTTTGGTGAAAATACGATATTGTAATGCTGTATGGTCTTTGTTTTCGGCTATGGTTTGAAAAGTCTATGTGTTTCATCAAGACTACAGGACGTGATAAACTTAAAACATTTTAGAATTAAAGATTGTAAAAAATAATATACTGTGCATATTAATAAAAAATTAGATTCTAAAGTAAAATCTAAGTATAAGTAACTTAAGTGTTTTAAACAAAAGGATCTTAACAACATTTAAAGGATAAAAGAGAACTAAACATTTCATACATTTTAGTTATTAAGTGAGTTAATATAAATTTTCTTTTTCCTTCTCTAAGGAGTATATTTTATAACAAATTGATATATAATAATTATTACATTGTTGTAATCCTTTTTTATGTTTGTCAGATTAAGTATAAGTATTTTTTGAAAAAATAAATGACGACAAAGAAAAGTGACTCTTGCTCTTAATTAATGAAGTTATTTTCTGATTAATATGATTATGGCTAGAGTTCCTTGACTAGGAATCTGGTGCAATGAATTTGTAAAATATTATCATCATTTATTTCTTGTTTGCTCGTTTTAGGGACAACTGTAAACAATATTAATTTATTATTATGATATACAAAACACAGTTAAATAACCTTGAAAAGTTAGTGACAGTTTAACCAACATTCTTTTCTGGGATGATAGAGTATAAAAATGTAAATTTCACAATAAACGTAAGGGATCATTTTGTTCATACCGTTGTTTTTCACCAGATTAAGGATTAAATTTTCATTCTAAAAATAAACCTTGTTTAAAGCCTTAAAATAAGGTAAACAGCTAAGAGAAAAAGTGATTTTAACAAATAATCATTAAAAAATAAAGGGAGAGGGAGTGGACATATTTTTCTTCTCTTAATTGTAACCTCTAAAATTGTATTAATGCTATTATTTGCTTATACTACTACACGCAAAAGGTTTGTAATTTTCACATGTTGGTATTTCAAATTAAGCTGAAATACCACTGCTCTAATCCAATCAGATTGCAGAAATTTCTCATGTGTAGTATAAATGCTATTAATAGTGTTATAAATTTTTCAACAACGGGCCCAAGTTGTTCAAAAGGTGGATAGCGCTATCCAGCGGATAAATCTCTATCCAGTGGATAGTGCAATTGGTTTCCCTAATACTTGTCCTCTGGATTGTGATTTATCTGGTGGATAGCGCTATCCAGCTTTTCAACAACTGGGGCCTGAACTGAAAATATTCTGAAGGTTAAAACCCAACGAAAGGAGCATGTATGTGGAGCCAGTGAGTATAAATACTTTGACAGTTCATTAATTTTTTTAGTAAATTTATTTTTATTTTTTTGTTAAGGTAAGTTTATATCTTAAATTTTGTTTTGTAACTGTTTTAATTAAAATGTGTAATATATAAGGACCTTTCATAAATGTTGCACTTTTCTTAATTTTTCCAAGGTGTTTAAATAATTTTTCAAATAATTTTGATCTACAAAACATGCAGTTAAATTTGCTTCTATGTTGTTCTTCTTTCTAAAGTGCTAAAGTTGAAAAGTAAAATTTAAAACTGTAACTTTAATGTCAATATTGAAGGATTATTTGGAATTGGTTATTGTGATTTGAAGTCCATTATTGGTCTGACTAATTTTTTTACCTGCTTAAATTTTTTGCTCCTTGTGGGGAGAGCTCGCAACAATGTAATAACTGACAACTGGTTTGCTATTTTTTAGGTAAAAGCCTTGGAAAAACTTAGCAAGTCCCTTCAAGATGGTCGTAAACTTGCAGTTGCAGAAAGCTACCAGGATCTTTCAGCTGCAGCTGAAGAGGATCATGTTGTCAAACATAGACACACAGATAAACATTCATCACGCTTAAAACAACGTCCAAAGAGTTTGAATTTTGAGATTTTCTTTGACGAATTTGAAGAGGGAGAAAACAAAACTGATGATGAAAAGATAGGCCATACAAGTGGAGAGTATAACAAAGAGAACGGCCAAATCCTCAACTTTGAAATGATGTCCAAGTCATTGCCGACAGAAGAAAAGGAGTAATCTTTTATTCTGTACCAGTGGAGAAGGAACAAAAGGATCCTTAGTACATTGAACTCTCTAAGACCTACAATACTGAGTCCATTTTTAAGAGGTGGGAGCAAAGAGAGTCTACGAATTGAAAAAAAAAAAGGGGACAAACTAACTCTAGGTGTGTGTTGTAGGAAGGTACCCATCTCATAGTCCGAGGTGTCCAGTTAGAGAGAGCCTTCCATATACCCATAGCCTTCCATATACCCGTATTTACTCAATTAAACACTGCAGATGGAAGTAAAATTACCAGTAAAGATAATATTTACTACTGATTTTCCAAAACTGGTTAGTGATTTAAGAAATGTGATTTTGATAAAAAGAAAATGTGGCCTTTGAATAAAAGACACATCAGAAACTCTGAAAATGTAACTAACACTGTGGTGTTTAATAATTAGGGAGCTTTAGCAATGACAACAGCAACATCAAGGAGAACGTCAAAAAAGCAATAAGGTTTTTTTTTAGCAAAACAACAACCTTTTTTGCACATTTCTTCACCATTATGGCACAATTACGACTTGAAAAAGCTTAATTTCATTTTTTATAGAGGACGTAAACAAGCAATGACAAATTTTTCTTTCTCTTTCTAAACTTGAATGCGGTCTCTTAGAAATCAATTTCAGCGAAATTTGTCTACATTTGACATTTTCAGCAAACTGGAATAAATGTGACAAATTCATCTTGAAAGTGACGTTTTCGCTGCTGTCACCGTCATCGATGCCAAAGCTCTGTATTACGGTACCCTTTGAACCTTGGTATCAATATACAAATTTTCCAGATAGACTAATCTCCATACTGTTAGTTGAGAGAACTTGTTAAAAGATCAAGAATTTTACCTTTCTTGACCATTTTACTAATTCTAGTAAGCTTGACTCCTGATTATGTTTTTTGCTATTGTTGGGAGAAACTTGATGTTGGTCACTCTTGGGTCTTGAAGTTTTAAGATTGGCTGTATTCACGATCCAAGTAGCAAGCAACAAATTAAAAAGTCAGAATGATTATAAATTTCATGTACAGCACATTACCTATGTGTCCATAGCAGTTTTCAAAAAACTGGTAAAATCAGAAAAAAAATGAGGAAAGAAGATTGTTAAAGTTTGGTGCATTTTGTCTGGCCTAGAACTGCCAGAAACTTGAAACATTCCGTTTTCTTACCGGCAGCTGCACAAAATACAGTTGCTGTGTTGTGTACAGGAATGGGTTTATGTTAAAACCTCCTCTTTTAATAATTTATAGGACCTATGGGACCTATGTCACAAAAATGCAACATAGGACCCTCTGAAAATGACATAAAAAGATCTAGGTTTGCAATTAAATGACCAAAGAGAAACAGAGAGAATATTTATTTATAGGTGTAAATACTTCAGATTTGTAAGTATTTGAAAATATTAGTTTTTGTTGAGGTGTTAGATATTTTTGTACAGGAGAATGTATTATGAATAGGTTTAAAATAATGTTAACAGAAATGGAAACATTTGGAAGTAGGAGTATCTGTATGAACATCTGGGTGAGTGTAGATCTGGATATTTTACATTGTTGATAGTGACAATCTGTGCTGAAGGTATTGGCAGAATAAAAGCAAATTGTATATCATCAGTCAATGGCAATTAATAATAATAATAATAATAATAAATGCATTCTTAACTGGTATTTGGTGGCCAAACTGGTCAACTAAGTCATTGTGGGTCAAAAACTGTGAAGTTATTGGATGATCCATCTTTTTTCACAGCAAAATATGTTGCTGTATTTATATTGTTAGTCAAATAATTATTGTCAATTTTAAATTCAGTTTAGTTCTGTGTTTAGTGCAACAATAACATTTGTAGGGTGTGCAGAACGTGTGGACTAAGGGCCTGTTTATTTGCGGTGAACCAGCCCAGTTGGTGGCCCACTTAACCAGGCTAGCTCGGTTCATGCCTGGTTTCCTCATAACATTTTTGTTGTATTTATATGAGAAGGTTGGCTGGCCAAGATCTCAGGAAGTGGGCCATCCCGCCTCCTCAAAAAAACACAGTGAAAACATAAAGAAGAAATGAGGCATGAGCTGGGCCAGCTAGCTCAGCTTACTGGGCTGGCTAACATCATATAAACATGCTCTTAAGCCAGCAGTTACTGCCACAGCTTGTAGAAATGTTAGTAACTGTCGACAACAGTCCTATTCGGGATTACAATCACCAAGATAAGTATAACAGAAGTCAGCTGGTTCTTTAAGTCCAGGAACCTGTTGTTGTTTGAACATCCAATAGCTGGGCATACAATTTGGACTACTAGTATTTTCTCAAATACATTTTTTTCCCAAGTACTGTAACTTACACAGATAAATCAGTGAAGGATATGGAGAATTCCAGATCTCTGAAAAAAGACTTTTTTGCCATAATTATTTATTTGTCAAAAGATATGTGTCTTGTCATATTTACACTCTACAAAGGCAAAACAAGAAAACTAGATAAGTGAAAAAACAACCAGTACAAAGCAATGGAACCACTTCTGCACAAGGTACAACATGTTGTGATATCATCAAAATATATCAGTGCTGTATATTAATATTGTTGCGGACGGGTTCTTAGTGTTGTTGTTCTTGGTGTTGTAGACTATCACCAAATTAATGATGTAATGCAAAAGATTGAAAAGACACTCAATAATACCCACACCACAAAACAAAAGCAAACAAACAATGGTTTCCACCACACTAAGAAACAGCATGGGTGAGGACTGCATGACAAAAGCCTTAGCCAGTTTGTGTAGGAGGTCGGCATACTATAGGTTTTCATAATGCAGATTTTAATTATACAACCCACTTACTCAACACAAATGACAAGTTGGGAATGTATGTAGTCTACCTAGGGAATTTACCATTTGCATGGGAAACCTGGAAAGTGGTTGAAAAATAAAATGGTTCGTGCCATTTTTTGGGGGGAGCTTCAGAAAACATAGGCTTTGCTTTGTGGTGATGTAAGTTTTCTACTCTTTTTAGTCTGTTCAGCTGATTTAGATATGCATTGTAGTGGGTCATTCTCCGACTTCATCAAATTTTATAGGTTTGTGTTTAATGCAGAAGATTTCCACCCAGGTGTTTTGTGCAAATGGTAAGCACCCCTTGTCTTCAACAAGTTCACCAGTGGTATTTATTATTTGATGTTAGGATGAGAATGTCCTAGCTTTTGTTTATGTTTGATCTGACATTTCAGGTTATGTAGAGTCCATTTTGTTAGCCTTGCCTTGAGACATAAATTAATATATTAAATAATATTGCTGTAGAGACTATTCAATGTTATGAGTATGAATGCTGCAAAAGCAGAGCAAGAGTGATTACATTACGATTGATGAATATGGAATGGATTAAAGGTTAATGATTTACTACTACTGTGTACATTTTTTGTTCAGAAGACAATACTGTAAAATTGCGAAAATAAGCCCCCCAAATTGGTAACGCAAAAAAACGCTCCGTTACATCGCCCCTCCAAATACAAGCCCCCCAGGGGCCTGTACTCGGAAATTGCCCTCAAATACAAAGTAAAACAAAGCAAATGGTACATTTCCTTTCCACTACAAGCTACCCCAATCCATTTTTGAACCAAATTTCCCTCCATACATAAGCCCCTCCAAAAATAAGCCCCTCATTCTCAAAAATATAAGCCCTGGGGCTTATTTTTGGAATTTTATGGTAGCTTCCTAGAAGTAACTTTTCCTTTTTAAATTAAAGTAATGGTCACACCGGAGAAACAAATGAATTAACACAATAAACTAGACAACAAACATTTTATTGATCAAGGATAGTTTCTGTCCTTGCAACACATCTGAAAAAAAGTTCCACACAAAAAATATTGCACTCAGGTAATGACACCATTTTTATGTTAATATCTTAGATGCACACAAACCTACACCTTACGCTGGTAATAAATTCTTCCAACCATATCTTACTGTTGCCATTGCAGTAAGATGAACATTTAAGTAACCAAAAATAAATTGCCTAAAAAAAGTAGTATGGAAATAAATATATGGAAAGACAATAAATATATTAATTATGCTGCCATGGCACACAAACATTTTTGTTGGACATGCAGTAGCTAGGGGGACTAAAAGGGCCCTACTTTAAAAATTTACTTGCAAAATAGTCAACTTGAATGCTGGATAGCTTTAACTGTGAAAATGTTTATTTGAGCACCAGGTAGAGCATATTTCTACATATAGGATTGACTTAGGAAATAAGGCGACAAATAAATTTTTGTACAATTTGTATTGTAATCTTCAGGGTTTGACTGTTTTTGGTGTCATGCCAGTTTCTTCTTGTGTTCCCAAAGATAAGCAACCAGACATCTGTAGCTTTCAAACTAAGAAAAACCTTGAACTGAAATACAATGACGAACTTTATGCCTTTACTAGAGGTAAAAAATAGATTAGATCCCCCCTCGAGTCTGTGTTATTTTATTTGGTTACTATTCTTTTGTGAATCTAACTAATAAAAAAGACAGTCTAGTCAAAGACTTTTTTACTGAGAACAGTACCAGAATTCTCTTGATATGGCACTGAGTCATGTAAAAACCCTATTAACTTGCAAAGGCTTGAAAAGACTGCAGCATCTGGCTGAATGGTTTACGCAATGCACTGCAACAGGTATAAATAAGCAGTCATTACACATTATCTTTGAGTCTTTTCACTTTACCAATCCAATTCGACTGGATACTGTCCATTTAAACATGCCGTACAGTGACCTTCCTTTTTACCAGCAGAGCTTGGTATCCCAGACTGTACTGCCGTCAGGAGTCCCTCTAAGGTTAAGTAGATTAGACTATCTGCTCCAAGCTGCTTTGCTAGTTCATCAGCACTCATCTTGTTTGCAATCAACTCTTCCCTTGTTGGGATGTTGATTCCCATATAGCAAGGGTGTTTTAATGGGGGTGATGCAACTCGTATGTGGACCTAACCATGAGCAAAACAAAAAAGATAATAACACAACTGAAAACATTCTGGCCACAGTTGTTTAAAAGGTGGAGAATGCAGATCTTTATAAGTTTCTGGGAGACTGCCCACCTATCCCTCCCCTAAGCCAACATTAACACTTACTTCTGACTTAGGGCAAAATGTTGGCTTAGGGGAGGGGTAGGTGGGCAGTTTTCCAGAAACATATAATGATCCGAGAATGCTATCCACTGGATGACTCACTATCCAGTGGATGATGGAATTTGGTAATCCTGTACCTATCCGAACAATAGTGATTCATCTGATGGATAAAGCTATTCTGCATTTCACAACCAGGGCCTGCTCAACAAAATTATTAATTTGGCTGGAATCAGGACCATCAGTAAAGGCCACATTATTTATATTTTTCCAAGTTGGGGGTGTAGAGCTAAGTGACGTGAAGCCCTGATGTAACAATCCTGTGTTATAATGAAAACCAATGTAAAAGGACTGCCATTCTTTACCTCGGAATAAAATTTGAGAAGCAGGGCTTATATCCTTGTTCTCAGCCCCACAAGCTCAATGAGTTAATGGAAATGCATTGTAATTTCCCTTCAACCAGACTGGCAAACCAACAATGGCGTTTTTAACATGCCAATCGTGGTGCGTAATCAAATCCTGGTACACAGGTGGAAGCCCAGAACAAGATTTTATTTTGCAGAGGGGTTTAATCACAAGTCTAGTTTTGTCTGAGGTACAGGCTACCCACTTAAATTTACAATTTGGCACTTGGTTTTATCCGGGTACAACTCCCGAGACCTATTTAATCGCTCACCTCCTTGGCTCCTGCCTGTTTCAACAGCTTGACAATAGGACCCATTGTATTTCCTCGCACAATGGAATCGTCAATCAGAACAACCCTCTTTCCCTTAAAATTCATTGAAAGTGGTCCAAATTTCCTGGCCACACCCAGCTTCCTAAGCCTATTGCTGGGTTGAATGAATGTCCGTCCAACGTAACGGTTCTTGGTGAGCACCTCAACGTATGGAATGCCAGTATGTAATGAGTAACCTAAAGCTGCTGGAGTAGCAGACTCTGGGACTGTGCTCACAAGCTCGGCTTCTACTGGTGCTTCAATGGCTAACTGTTTACCACATCGTTGTCTCACACTATACACCATCTGTCCCTCAAACATGCTGTCAGGCCGAGCAAAGTACACATACTCAAAGATACAGAATGACATAGGTTTTTCTGGATTAGGCAGAGAAACAATCCTCATGGATCTAAAACCTTTTGTGGTTAACTCAACAATTTCTCCTGGCTTTACTTCCCTGCACATGGAGGCTCCAAATGAATGAAAGCCACAAGACTCAGAGGATACAACCCAGCCCAGGGTGCTATCATCAATACAATCACTGTCATATCCAGAGTGGACTACTTCTCCACCAAGCCGTGACAGTTCAGGGCTGTCATTCAAGTTTCTTAGTTTCCCAATACACAAAGGCCGGTTGCCATGGGGATCCCTGACAGCATAGATACAGTCCTGTGTCATGATCACTAGCGAATACGATAACTGCGTCAGCTGCATCATCTGATAAATTCTTCCAGGCCAGTTGGCACCATCTGGTTCCCCACATGGTGGGGTCGCCGTCAACAACTGTGTAATAACTTCACTGTCACTGCCTGTGGACAGACCAGTTCCTTGCATAAGAACTTTTTTCCTTAATGCCTTTGCATTTACAAGTTCACCATTATGTCCAACTGCCATGTGACCATGTATGGTGTCAACAACAAAAGGCTGACAGTTGACAAGTTCTGAGGCACCTGCTGTTGAGTACCGCGTATGTCCAATCCCCATGTGTCCAGGCAGGGATTTGATATGCTGCTCTTGGAATATATGGTTTACTAAACCCATCCCCTTGTGCTGGTGAAATTGTTTGCCATCATTGGTGACTATTCCTGCACTTTCTTGGCCTCTGCAAAGCAAAGAAACCACATTTTGTACATTGTAATTCAATTTTATATTTGAGTTAAATTTTTCTTCCCTCTGTTTGAAACTCATTATCATACATTACCATGCCCCAAAACAAAGAATATAAAAATTTGCACAAAGGATTAAATTGAACCAACATGAATAACAAGAAGAAAAAAAATCAAAAAAGCAGTTTTAGTCAGGTGATGTACTTAAAATTATTAAATGGCGCACATAAATGTGCAAGGATTTCTGAATCACGTACGTTTCAAAGGTCCATGGTCAACTGACACCTCAATTCCCATTTAACATCCAGTGATGCTAATTTTTTACTACTTTGATAACAGATAGCCACTTTAAAACTACAATAAGCTAGCTGGACAGATTCACCAGGTATAAAGTTGTCAAATTTATTTCATTATTCATTCAAAATATTTCTCTGTTTCGATTGGCAAAAATCCCATGCATAATTCATCATAACCAGCTATTTTCAACCAAATTTGGAAGAATTTTGTGATATGTGAAAAAGACCTGCTGGGGACAAGGTTGAGTTGTTTTGATAGTGGGCACAAAATGCCAGAACATTTCACCCTTTTCAAGAGGAAGAAATAGGCAAGCTATTGGCTAAAAACATAGCAGGGACAGCAAGAAGACAACTTGACGGACGCATCTGCTATTTGGAGAATATTTGCAGAACTTAATAACTTTTTATCTCCTAAACATGCTGATAAACCTGCACTATCAAAGATGAACTTAACATTGATGGAGGAAAGCATCTTTTAGCTTGTTTTTTAACTAGGAATTATTTTGAATTGAATAATAAAACAATAATTATTAAATCTGGAGGTAGTTATCTGCCTCGGCCGTATAACACCCTCCTCAATCTCCATAATTCTTCAGATGATACGAAAGCCGAATTTAATAATTGTAAGATATTTCTGGTCTGACAGTTTCTTGCAGCTGTTATCTGTCATATGCTCTTTTTACTCTGGTCAAAAAGGAAAAAATATAACATTTATTAATTCTCTGTCATTCCATGCTAATGTGCAAAGCTAGACCCACCTCATCCCATCCTCAACTATCTTTCCTCCTGGACCAAGTCCTGAACAATGTGTAGTTCCAGAAAATATCCATACTCCCCCCACAGAAGGGATTGGAAATTCCTGGGGGGGAGGGGTGGGGGTTCTCAAAGGTCCAAAAATTTAAGTAAATGTATGAAGCTTAACTGGAATTTCCAGAGAGGTGAGGGAGTCTAAGGAAAAATCCCTTCTGTGGGGGAGGTATGGATAATTTTTGGAACCACACATTCACATTCACAATCACTTAACCCTTTGAGTCCCTACGTGGATATTGGAGCTAAAGGATTAATTAATTAATGAATACCATTCTCTCTGTTCTTAATTACAGGAAAAGGAACTATTTCATAAGGAAACCGAAATGTTTGTGGAATACAAAGGACCATAGAATTCATAACCCGGCAGAAAAAGCTACAAAAACAAATTTTAACTTTAACAATATTAAATAGTACCCAAGACAACACTATTTCGTACTTAACCGGACTGATGGTTCATACAGACGCTGAACACTGAATCAGTTGTGTTAATTAGCATTTAACGATTTGAGAAAATATTAGGAACTGACGTCCAAAATTTAACACTTACCGATGCTGAAGGGAAACTAAGCCAAGGGAGATTATACTGGCCACATCAACTTCTTCTGAAGGAACGCCATCAGCTCTAATGCACGCGAAAACACCACAAGCATGTGTTAACCCTGACTCGTCGGACATTATGAAATCTTTTGATCTCTCCCGAAGCCGTGTCTTTTAGAGTGTTTCACCGCCGTTTGAAAGTTATCACCGAAAATAATTGATGAAGTACATAAGAAAAATACCATACGCTTTCTCAAAACGAATCAGTTACACTTAGTCCTTGACCAAAAAACTCTCTATCCAGTATCGCAAATCTTGGCCATGCTTTCGAAGTTCTTTCCAACTTCCTGCGGGAACGTTGGCGGGAAACCAATTGAATTCTGTTGTCTGATTGGTAGCAATAGAACCACGTGTTCTCTTGTATAAATTAGAATTGTCACACGTGCAGCTCGCAGTCGTGTGGAAAGTGGGGTGATCGAGGATTCGACTACGTGAAGTTATTTTTTCATGCGAAATATTTTCTCCAATGGCAGCCGAACAAAAACCATCATCAGGTAGGAAAAGACCAATTGAATATTCTTTTTTCAAAACTTGTTGTTGAAGTAGCATCGCAGTTATTTGTGATAAGAGGACTGTCAAAGTGGCGTGCACGTGGAAACCATTAGTAACACATTCGTCGCTTTTCTTCTTTGAGGTCGGACAAGACAATCTCCTGTTCAACGACAAATGTACTTGAACTTTCCTTCCAAAACTTTCTTTTCTATTTCTCAGTCACTAAAGATTTTCGCCGCCATTCACTCTAGGTCACGATAACCAAGCACATGCATCCGAGGAAAACACACTTGACTGATTGCATAATCTGCTAGGACCAAACTTACTGTCTTATTCCACCGAGTTTGCTTTAATTTTTGAAATGATTTTCTTACAGCAGTTTCTTTCATGGTGGGGGATAATGTTGCACCCTCTCCTTGTATCATGCCTCGTAGCCCAGAGACCCCCACCCCTACCCCCCTGCTTTTCCCACCACCGATCCCCTGTGGATTGGTTCAACAATCTGCATATTCAACCACAACAACAGATTTAAGAGTAGAAGATATTCTTTTTTAAAAGTCAAATAGTTTTTTCAAATACTGCTTTCCTTCTACACTTCAACAAAAACTATATCCAGTGATCATAGTGTTAAATTGGTTATCACCAGTGACTTTCATTTTCATCTTGTAGCTGGCTTGAAGTTTCACATATAAGAATTTTGTGAAGAAATTCAAAGCAAACCAGTTGAGAGCACCCCTCTCCCCAGTGTGTGCAAATTTTCCACTCCCAAATAGTTTTAGCTTTCATCCTTCTGGCATAACACAGGCCCTCTTGTGGGTGGGTGGGAGGGGGGGGGTATGGATGTTCTTCGTCTGAATTTTGAATTTTGTTTCAGGTTTTGAGGAATAAGCCATGTCCCTGTCAGTGTTGTACTATTGTATGTCCCAGGGGGGCTTCTCTGGATTTCAAAAGACAGGGATGATCGAATGGAGNCATAGTGTTAAATTGGTTATCACCAGTGACTTTCATTTTCATCTTGTAGCTGGCTTGAAGTTTCACATATAAGAATTTTGTGAAGAAATTCAAAGCAAACCAGTTGAGAGCACCCCTCTCCCCAGTGTGTGCAAATTTTCCACTCCCAAATAGTTTTAGCTTTCATCCTTCTGGCATAACACAGGCCCTCTTGTGGGTGGGTGGGAGGGGGGGGGTATGTATGTTCTTCGTCTGAATTTTGAATTTTGTTTCAGGTTTTGAGGAATAAGCCATGTCCCTGTCAGTGTTGTACTATTGTATGTCCCAGGGGGGCTTCTCTGGATTTCAAAAGACAGGGATGATCGAATGGAGGCAAAAATCAAAACCCAAAAAAATCCCTAGGGCTTCAAACAAACCCCCAAAAATCCCTGGACCAAAACTTAACCCCCAAAAAGTTCATGCCGAATTTCCAAGCCATAAAAATTTCCAGAAAGCATTAAATTATTGAGCATGAAAAATAGAAACATTAGCAATGGAATGTTTGTGTTTGATTATTTATCTCACCATCTAGAGTAAGAACCTTTTTTGCATTTGGTGGTCATTTTATACACAATGACTGATTTCAGTCTGAATTGCCAAGGCAAGATATTGCAATTCAATGAGACTGGCACATTTTCTTTTTATGGTAATATAATTTACCTGATTTGTCTACCTAAGTATTTTTACAGTATTTGTTATTTTACTATTGCAGAAATCAAGATTGGAGAGCAGCTGAATGAAGGTAAAACCAAGAAAATTTTTGCCTTACCAGACTCGCCAGATGGCAACCATGTTCTTTTGAGGTCAAAGGATAAGATCACTGCTTTTGACAGCACCAGGAAGAATGACCTTGAAGGCAAGGCAAAATTCAGCAATGCCACAACCACCGCAGTCTTTCAACTGCTAAATACCTGCGGCATCAAGACCCACTTTGTGAAAAAGCATGATGAAGAATCTTTTATTGGAATCCGCTGTGATATGATACCCCTGGAGGTGGTAACTCGTCGCATAGCAACAGGGTCATTCTTAAAGAGGTACCCTGGAGTCAAGGAGGGCTACAGGTTCGCACCTCTCAAGCTGGAAATGTTTTTTAAAGATGATGCCCAGCATGATCCATTCTGGACCTACGAACAGTGTGTAGAGGCTGAGTTGATCGCTGGCGGTAAGAAGATTGGCAAGCATGAACTAAACGTCATGGGTGAAACAGCTGTCGCTGTCTTTGAGATCATTGAGAGAGCCTGGGCAACAGTGGATGTCGCTCTTGTTGATATGAAAGTGGAGTTTGGAGTGAACCACAAGACTGGAGAGCTGCTTCTTGCTGATGTTGTGGATAATGATTCCTGGCGGATTTGGCCATCTGGGGACAAGCGTCTGATGCGCGACAAGCAAGTCTACAGGGACCTGCCTGAGGTTACTCAAGAAGCCTTAAAACAAGTCAAGAAAAATTATGAATGGGTTGCAGCTGAAGTGCAGAAGCTTAATGTTCATCACCCGGGACATGCTGTTGTCTTCATGGGCTCACCCAGTGACTTGGACCATTGTAAGAAGATCGAGACTGCACTGAAAGAGTTTGGCATCCCTGCAGATCTCCGAGTTTGCTCTGCTCATAAGGGAACAGAGGATGCTTTGCAGGTTTTACGATGGTATGAAGGCCAAGGCAATCCTGTCGTCATCATTGCAGTTGCTGGACGTAGCAATGGTCTTGGACCAGTTTTATCTGGTAATACAGCCTTCCCAGTGATCAACTGCCCCCCAATGAGTTCCCAGTGGGGTGCTCAAGATGTCTGGTCGTCTCTGCGACTGCCATCTGGATTAGGTTGCACCACAACTCTCAACCCTGATGGTGCTGCTCTAGCTGCTGCTCAGATCTTAGGTCTCAGTGATCATGTCGTCTGGGGAAGTTTGAAGGGAAAGAGGCTTAATACAGCTGTAGGTCTTACGGAAGCAGATCAGAAGCTGCAACAACAGTAACTTTCTACATAGCAGTGCAACCAGTGTCATGAATACAGTTTATAGACTTAGAAAGCAAACTAAAGTATAACACGAAACATTTGCCTGTTCCTTTGCTGTTTTCAAAGAACCACAACGTTCCTGTATTGTTTGCTAAAGCTAACATTAAAATAACCCTTGCTTAATGTATATCTGTCTCATTAATCATGATTGTTGTGAAGTTCTATCAGAAACTCACAAGGAGTGTTATGTTTTTCTGGTCATATATAAACCTACCATAGTTAAAAAAATTAAAAAAAAAAACAGGAGAGATGTCCTTGTTGTTCATTGAAGTTGGCAACTACCTGTTGTTAGCCTTGGTAGCTTTTTTTTTTTTTTTATGATTTGTTAAGAAGTTGGGGTTAGCTTTAAATAAACAATAATTTTTATTTTTTTTTGTTTATATAAAAATAATAAATATTAAAAAAATTTAAAAAAAAAAACTGATTATTTTTTTTTTTTTTTTATTAAAGTTGGCAACTACCTGTTGTTAGCGTTTTTAGTTTTTTTTTTTTTTACAGTTTAGTTAAGAGTATGGTGTAGACTTGCCAACAAGTTTTTCTAGACAATTTTGCCATGAAATTTAGTGGAAAAGCCAGAAAGGTGTCATTGGTACCTGTTGGTTATAGAGGGGGGTGAATAGGGGTATACAAATCCGCCGATCCGTTATGATTTATTAACCAAATCTGCCCTTCCATTTTCGCCCTGAGTCCGAAATCCGGGCAAAAATATATCAATTACACGTAAAGTCCAAACTCCGCGCCCAAAAGATAGATGAATCCGCAATCCGCTGCAATTGCAGGATCCGGAAATCCGTTAAAATCTCGCTTTGAATCCGAAATCCGGGCAAAAATATTTTCAAAATCCGCCGATCCGTTCGCCTATTCACCCGCTTCGTTATAGGAAGAGTTGCACTCAGGCCAGATAGTCATTCTGGCCAGGCCTTATCATAGGTTAATGGTAACAACTGAGTGCAGTAGAGTGATTGCTGAATGATTAGAGGGACCCCAGCACTGCATTTTGCAACCCCTCTTGTTAACACGTAATTGCAGAAATGTATGGTGAAAAAGGCATGAGGAATGAAAGTCTGACATGAGGGAATTCTGTAGAATATTTTCCATGTTGTCATTTCCTTATGAGAAAGATGACTTCGTATTCAATATTATTAAAGAAGTTTACTGTCAGCCATTAAAAAGCCAGCATTTTAGCTGTCAACTGTTGGAGCTGACCCCCCACCCCCATGCTCCATAATTATAACCCTCTAGTTATAGGCCTGATTGAATTTAGTAGAAATCTTCAACGATGTGTTCGAGTCTACAACCCACTGAAGTCACTACCTAAAAGGTACAGTCAAGAGGGTCAGTCAACCCTCGTTGAATTGACACCTGCTCGATACAGACTCCTCGTATTATTACGGACAGTTTACTTTGTCCCTTGGCAAAGAAGCCCTTAAATTTTCTCTAAATTCAACCAGCTTAATACGGACACTTCCCACGGCCCCCTCAGGGTCCCTATTAACGGAGCTTGACTGTATTGCTGAACCGGGCTTAAACCCATTGTAAAAGTAACCTGAGATTGGGCTTTATTTCCATTTCCCGACCACATAAGATATATGTATGAAATGTGTGTTAAAATATCCTTGTGCACCCAAATTCCAGCAACCTTGAAATCATGAAGAATTACCAGAAGTATAATCACGAAATTATTATTTTCTTTACTTGTGTAATTGGCAAATTTTTTAGTTTGCTGGTTTTATTTTTGACACAATATGAACATTTTCGACGAAAAAATCCCAGCATGCTTTTGGTCTCTAAATTTTCCCGCCAAAAGAGCGGCTTTGCCCTCTTACGAAGACATGACACTTTTAACCATCATTTTGACCTGAAAATGCAACGAGCTCGAACAAACAACATTGCAAGGGAGAGAGCTATAACAGAGAAAACTGTGACAAGCTTTCGTTCTATTAAAGTCAGACTCATCGAGAGTCGCGACTTTTCCAAGACACAGAGGGGCAAAAGGGAAAGAAGTGAAACGCGAAGGTAAGGACGAAAAACAAAATTTTGTACACTTACAATCATTTGGATATTGTTTTGGATATTATTAGACTTGAAGAAGACAAAAAACGCAAGTGAAAGTATTTCCTATACTTCGGGAATTTAACTCGATCGATTATTTAAAATATGCTTGTAGACGTTATCGCATATAAATAATGCTAAATGGTTACATTGATGTTGATGTAAAACAGGTAGCTGTTGTCCTTTACTCACCCCTAAACCTTGATTTTGTAGTTACCCAATTTCTTCTCTTCCCCTTTCGATTTAATGTACTTATTGAGGTCAACAAGGCAGGTTTCCAGACTAGTGACCTTGGCGTTCCTGTGGCTCACACCGAAAGGTGCCAGACGCTCACCTGTGTTTGCATTGCAAACCTATTGCAAACAAATCCTACTGCACCAACCGGTAGACTTGAAATGAATTCTTGGAAGGCGTATAGGAGTAATAAGAATAATAATGAACTTTATGAAAGTCTCGTGTGTTATACCTCAGGCACAGTGCCTTACTAACTTGGCAGACAAAGAACGTCTGCGTGCGAGGCTAACATTTGAGACAATGAAACAGCTTAGAAAAACTTACTAAACTTTTCAAGACTTTCACTGCTCTAGCAGGAACCTGTAAATAGTTCTTCATTGAATATAAATGTTCTTCATACAGTTACGCCATTGTTGCAAATTTCCTATTGTCCCTTTTTGATAATTGACAATTCAACCGGAAGTGCGATTCAAGCATGAAAGAAACAACAAAGCTACGTACCACGTGGAGTCAAATTGCACAACTGTATCGGGTTTCACTTGGCCGTCTGTATTTGGGATAACGGATGAGTTCGGGGCGAAGGATAGTCACTATTCTGGCAGATTTTGGTCGTAATAATTAAAATATCCTAACTGTAAAGCATGGATTATGAAAACGAGGGATGTCTCCACGAGATTTTCGATCGTCAAATGAAGAGGACTAATCCGACTGCCACCGCCGTTGTATCGGATGATGGTCGCTCCATTTCTTTTTCCGAGCTCGACTATCTCACAGATATTTTGGCCACAAATCTAAGACATAAAGGAGTGGAAAGGAACAGTGCTGTGGGCATGTATCTGGAAAAATCGCTGGAATATCCTATTGCTTACACAGCCATCCTTAGAGCCGGTGGTGCATACATGCCGTTGGAACTTTCATACCCTGAAAACTTGCTGTATTCGATTTTAGAAGATGCAAAACCTGCAGCGGTCATAACAACTGAAAACCTGAAGGAAAAAATCCCAAGCTCAGTTACTGTGATTGTTTTGAACGAAGGCTGGGCAGACAGACTAGCAAAGGAGAATGAAGCTGGACCAGTTTTGGAGGAAGTAAAAAGTACATTAGATGATTTAGCTTACATTGTTTACTCATCGGGGACAACTGGTAAACCAAAAGGTAAAGTGTAACGGTTCTTTTTTTAGAAAACTTTGACTCTTCCAAGAGACAAACATATTTACTTGAGTTAATTTACTGACAGTAATATATCTAACAGCAAGTAGTTTCTTTGCCTTTTATGAATTATTAATTTTTGTCTTAAAAAATGGTGGATCAAAAGATAAGAACATATGTCTGTGACGGAAATCCGTGCTTTCAATCAAGCTTTTCTAGTTTTGGTTTCAAATTTCTCTTTGGACTCTGCACTCATCACTGCTGATTTTTGACGGTGGTCAGCTGAGGGTCAGTGAAGGTTTGTTGCATATCGCCAGCTGTTGGATGTTGTGATGAAAGTTTAATGACCGGATTACCTTAAATGCAACTTTAATAAAGTGAGCAAAATGAAATTATTTTAATACGAAAGTGCTTCTCTCTTATTAAATTGTTTTCATTGATGCATTTGCCGCGCTCTTTTGGTAAAATTAAAGTGACCTTAGAAGCAAAGGTGAATCCCGCGTTTATCAAACAAAAACAAATGGAGGATTTTGATTTTAAAAGTGCTTGTTTTTTTTTTCTTATTTTCTTGGTCAGTACATTGAATAGCGGAAATTGAAAAAGTAGGTCCAAGACAACGTTCAATGAAAATTTTCCAGGTATAAAATTCAATGCCCTCTGCCCTGAATAACCTTGTGGGACAAAATTTTGGAAAATATTCTTTGCTTTATTTATTTCGCATTGCTGCTAATAATACATATGATATAATACATTGCTTTTGTGACAAATAGTTATGGTGAGTCCTGGGACTCATCTGGGGCGACTAAGAATTCAAGGAAACTGGCCCGGCTCACCATCAAGCACTGGAGTTAAGTTTCAGCCATGTAAACGAATTTGCATGTCTTTGCATCCCTGACTCTGGTATTGCTACTGAACCTGGTTTGGATCTAAGTTCTAGCCGTGGCTGTTATTTGGCTTAGCGAGAAAAACTTGATTTGGGTGGTTGATATCATTCACAATTTTTGGTTTATGTGGCTTGTGTCATTTTTTTAATACATGTACATGTAAGCAACACTTGGCTGAGGACAATGTCCGGTTAAAGTTTCTCTCTTATGTATTGTAATCTTACTTTAAGTTCAAATTTTCAGGAATATGTTGTCCACACCGTGGTGCTGTTTTCTCGTATACCTGGCGACATCAAAATTATCCATTCCAACCTGATGATCGTGTTGCTTGCAACATTTTCTTTACATGGGAGCTATTCCGACCTCTTCTTAAAGGGATCCCCTTGTATGCGATTCCTGACTCAGTCATTTATGATCCACCACTTCTGCTGAAATTTATGAAGAAGCATGGGATAACACGTGTCCTGTTCACTCCATCTCTTCTTGGTAAGAGAAATATTTGCTATTGTCCTTGTTGTACTTTGCTTACTGTCTTAGTCAGGGCAGTCACTAAGGGCTGTGGGTTTCCCCTGTCTGCCATGAATATGACCCCTGGCTAATTCTTTCATAGGAAGCAAAAGGGAGATATAACCCAAAGAACTTTGTAGTTGTTTAATTCCCTGATTACTAATCACCTGTTTCTGGAAACTTGAAATCCCAATGACAGCCGTGACTAATCCTCTGAAAAGTACCGCAAACTGAATTCTCATTGAATTGAAGAGCAGATTACAGCTCTGTAAAAGTGATGGCTATGTGGAGAAAAAATAAGCCCATTAATAAACAATCAAACGGGAATGTATTTCCCTCAGAAGTAGCTGCTTACCAGGGTGTCCAGGGATGAAATGTTTAAGAACCAGAAATTATGAAAAGGCACACCCTCAGATTGAGACCGTGGGATAGCTAGTTAACCAAATACTTGTTGTACACACTTGCAAGACCAGTTCCTAATCCATCTTGACCCAACAACAACTTTCGTCAAAGGATCAACTGCAGGGCTGTGCTCTAGCAGAGCCTGTTGGCCCCTGGCGCCTAACTTTTGCTCTTGGATGACTAGAAAATCTCAGATTTTTTATACAAATAATATGCTGGGCACACTGAAATTTAAAGGTTCCAAGCACTTGGCTCCCTTCAATCTTCCTTAGAGCACAGCCTTTAACTGCTCTCTTTAATCATAGCCTGTGCAGTCTTATTTTTTTAAAAATTTTTCAATATATTTTTCTAGAGACAATTTTGACTTGTGAAGACAGTGACATTGCTGGCCACCTTTCATCTATGAGAGTCATCTGGCTCTGTGGAGAAGTTGTGACCACAGCCCTGAGAGACAGGTGTATGAGGACTCTGCCTTGGATCAAGCTGCTGAATCTCTACAGCATTTCAGAATGTCATGATGTAGCTGTCGCTGACCTTACAAATTTGCCCTTCCAAGATGAAGTAAATAAACATATTGTATTGTAACTTTATGAAGTTTTTATCAAACTATCCGAAAAATATGTATGTTTGATTATTTTATTAGTTTTGCTGCATTATACAGTTTTTGCTTGTATGATTTGTTTTTTTATAATCATGTTTTCTCTTTGTTTCTTTCTGAAGCTGTCTGAAAAAGATGATATGAAGCGTAAATTCTGCCCAGTTGGAAAGTTGTTGCCAGGGGTCTATGTTGCTATCATGGATGATGATCTGAAACCATTACCGGTGGCCCTCCCAGGAGAGGTGAATTCAGCGTGCAAAAAAGTAGTGTCTGATAGCCCAGGGCTAGTAGATTTTGCAGATTATTGGACCAGTGAATTCTGTTCTTAACTTGCCCTACAGGGAATTAAAACTACAGAAGAACTGTAATCAATGCTCATCAAAAAAATTTTGGTGTGCGACATACGCAGACTGCAGACTGGCAGGTAAATGAGGTAAACCTGGTTGTGAATTGCTTTAACAGATTCCCTGTCCTTAAACTTTAAGTCTTCTAAGGTTTGTTGTAGAGACAGGGATTCTGTTAAAGTATTTCACAACAATGTTTACCTTATTTACATCTGCAGTCTGCATTTTTTCGCACGCCGTAAAATTTTTTGGGCTAGTTGAAATGACTTTTGGGCAAGTAGATGCTAGCTGCAGTTTGCCCAAATGGCAATTAAGCTTTAAAACTGACTTTCTTTGTCCCCTCTAAATTTACTATATTGTATGAAAGCCTATAACCCTTAAAGCTACAGTCAAATGATAAAAAAAAATATAAAAAAACATAACTTACATTTCTTTTTAGTTAGTTTTGTGTGTGCAGAATAACTAAACCTTTTTTTAGGTGACATCACTAAAAAAAAATAAAAAAGGCATGCATGGGTTGACAGCAAATTGCTCCTTAATGTTTACTACTTTCTGCTTGATGTCAGCATTATGTATTTTGCAATTCCTTCTGCTTTAGATTTTTGTTGGAGGACCTACGTTAGCTCATGGTTACCTCAACAGACCAGAACTGAATGCTTACAGATTTATTGAGTGTCCAGAGGAAGTTCCTCAGTCGGCTGGTCCTAAACTGTATCGTACAGGTGACTGGGGTTACTTGCTATCATCTGGCTTGTTGGAGATTTGTGGTCGCTGTGACTCAATGGTGAAGATTAGAGGATACAGTATTGAAACACAGGTAGGTATTGGTAGCCTGATGTAAAGATGCACTCATAACATAGACTGCGTTTACAGATAGCCATTGCAACTCCTGAAGGAGGATCATGAAGTTATCCCTATATTAGGTCTCTCTTTACAGATAACCCACCCAGCTCAGGAGAGGTTGGCCACACCACCGGGCTCTATGTCCCCTACTCTTTCCAGTGGTGTGGGTTCTTTTATGTCCAACAAGAACCAGATATATAATTGAAAATGCTGTGAGAAGACTAGAAAGTCTAACCATTTGCAGATGTCTTTAAAAAAGCAGCACTTTCTTCTTAGTTATTTAAAAGACCCTGAGTGTTGGTCCAGCAAGGGGTTTGAACCAAAGACCTCCTACTCAGCAGACATGGTGCTCTCGCAGAGTGTAGCTAACCAGGCCCAACTATAGTCCCAGCTTGTCTTCAGGTCTATGTATATGCCAGTGTCCAAAGTTTTTACTTGTCTCTCAGCATCATTTGTATAGGGCTTTTGTTTATCAAATTCTACATACCGTAATGATTCGATTTAGCGCCCTCCTTCCAATAAGCGCCCCCCTTCGAATGTGTTTTTGTTAATAAGCGCCCCCTATTCTAATATTATTACATTGCCTGTTATTGTTAGTTACCATAGATAAACTCATGAACATTCACCGTACTGTACATGTATATTTGTTACTGCTAAAATGAACAATTCTTTTAAAAGTAACTGAACTTTCAACAATTTGTTACTGTTACGGTTTCTGTTATTGTTAGTTATTTTAATATTTATTAAAGTTTTGTTTTGAACATTAGGTTGTTTCTCAAAAAATTAAATAAGCGCCCTGTCCCGAATAAGCGCCCTGTCTCGAATAAGCGCCCTCCCTTGAGGTACCAAAAGTAAATAAGCATCCCGGGCGCTAAATCGAATCATTACGGTAGTCATATTTCAGGTTTTCTGTAGAATATGAGACTTATTTTATGTGCGGTTCACTGCTGCATTTTAAATCTTTAGTATGTTTTTACCTCCAACAGGCTGTTGAAGCAGCACTTATTCAGCTGCCTATGGTTCAAGCCTGCTGTGTGGTTGCTCTTGGAGAAGAGGGGGAAGATAAGTACCTGGTGGCCTATGTTGTTCCACATAATGGAAACAAGGTTATTACATCTCTTTGTTTAGGTTAAGGTGATCTTTAAGAGAGACTCGAGGGAGTGGGGGTGGACATTCTCTTGACTATTTACTGCAGAAATCCTGAGGTTATTAAGCAGTGACAATGAATTTACAATGTATGTGATTTTGATGTGTTCTTGATATCTTGAGATGCTATTCATTACCATTTGGTTCAACTTGTTATTCTGATAGACAAATATTATTATGCCTCATTTGTCTTTGTCTGTTTTTGTTCCATTTTTGTCAGGCTTGCAAGAAAGATATCAGAGCAATACTAAAGAAAAGGCTTCCTTTTTATATGATACCATCTCATTTTGTTCTTCTTGCAAGGTTTGTTAAAAACAATTTTTGATCAAATAAGGGATTGTGTGTGTGCAACTGACTGTTTACTTAATGCTTAAATAGTGCAAACAAAAAAATTCATGTTTTCTTTATGTCTTTTTCTTGGTAGTATCCCTGTGACACCAGCTGGAAAGTTAGACAAAAAAAAACTTCCTCCTATTGGTTCAGAGGGAACAGATGAGGAAGGTTTGCCAAGCACTCCCACGGAATGTAGTCTTGTAAAGCTGTGGAGTGAAGTGCTAAATGTATCCAGTATAGATGTTCACGAAGGATTCTTTGATCTTGGAGGGTAAGACAAATAAAATTGTGTACCTCATTGTGTAATGGACACAGTGATTACTATCATGTTGAAACTGTCTGCAGACATGAGTTTTGTAAGAGCGTTATGGAATCATCCATTGTTAGGTGACCTCTGTTTGTTATTTGATGGTACCAAGATTTAGTGACAGTTCCTATTTTTGAGACATGCAATTGCTGTGTAAGACTACATATCATTTTGCTTGTGCTCAAGATGTCCATATTACTTTCATTAAGAGTTGGACCTGCCTTGAGGATATGAAGCATTTAAAGATGAGGGCAAACTGCTTAAAAATTAATTTGAAAAGAATGTCACACGGAAGATGTGGCTTCAGAAGTTTGCTTTTGTAGGGCCAACAAATTTTTCCTGTGGTACTTGCTCCCTCAAAGGCCTTATTTAGTTAGGTCACATGCCATATTTTTTTAAACAGCTGTTAGTGAAAGGGAAACTTTTTTTCATAATCTTTTTTTACAGACACTCTCTTTTGGCAACGCATCTTCTTCAAAAAGTAAACAAGGCATTTGGTACAAGTCTGACCGTACAGGACCTGTTTGCCTACCCAACAGTAGCGCAAATGGCGAAAAGGATTGATGAACTGATTCAAAATGGCACACTGCAGAGCAAGAAGTTAGTGACATAAACTTTTCAGTCCTTCATAATTTTTGGGACATAGTGTCTTATTCTCGGGGCCCTTACAACTTATGTCAATATGAAATTTATTGTGAAATATTGAATTCATATTCATGCGCCAGTCTGTTTCTTTGACTATAGTAGTGTTCAACACTCTAAACAATATTCAGAATGCTTTTAGAGTCTACTGGAAAGGTCAGTACTTCCAGTCAATGTAGTTCTTGCAGTTGTGATAGATTGCCTGACAAAAACATATAATATGAAACTGAAAAGTTATCCTGTCTGACATTGTTGGTTATTCTTGCTTTCAGGAATCTCTCAGAGGGCAAGGTTGATTTGCTTAAAGAGGTCAACTATCATTATGCCACTGATCAGGAATTCGTCAAGTGTGTAAACTCAACATCTCTTTCTATTACACTTCATGTCTAACATCAGACTCCACAGAAAACTAGTGTTTCAACCCTAGCACAATCATGTTTCCTACATGTGGTAAATGTAATGTAACGTCTATGCCTGCATCTTTCAGCCAGTAAAACCTAGTAATTAAAGCAATGAGTTAATTTTCACCTCAATTATATAATGAATTTTAAAATCCTTTCCCTTCCAGGAGTTCCCCTTAATCAAACATAACGATAATGTCCAATTTTTTAGTTGTATTAAAGTATTGGAAACAAAAAGTACCATGTGATTCAAGGACTGTTGAAGAAGTCCAAAGACTCAAAAGCTGGAACTAGATTCCGTGAGAAAAAATAAACAAGGCAATTATTTAAACTTAAGTGTATCTAAAAAGATTGCAATTTTTTATTCTTCTTTTGTGATAGCATGGACATCATGTTAAGAGCATTTTGGCGCTCTGGAAACTTCAAGAACTCTCGACGGTGGATGAGAGGGCGTGTACTGTTAACTGGTGCAACTGGCTTCTTAGGAATGTTTTTGTTGAGAGATTTGATAAGGTTTACTAAGGTGAATTTAACAAAACGTCTTGTATCAAAACCAGGAGTTTTTTGCATTCCAAATGTTAATGGTTAATTTTTTGTGATTGAAGGTGCACATTTTCTGTATTGTACGTGAACAACCTGGTTTAGATGTAAAGGAAAGGTTAAAGCAAGTTTTGCAAAAATTCAAGATACTTCCTTCAAGAAGTGACCGTCAGCAAATGACTGAAGAGGAGCGATATGTTGATTATGGCTTTGAACATCGAGTAACTGTTTTGAAAGGTATTTTTTGTTGTTGTTTTAGAGTTTGAGTGATAAGTTTCTATAGAAATTGTGCTACTGAACATTTCTGTGAACGAAGAAAAACATGAAAATGTGATTTCCTCAGCTGATGACCTGGTAATACAGAATGATAATTGCCTACAATAAAAAAGGTTCAGTTTTAAGGTGTTTTTGGCAAAGGCCCTGTGTGACTTGACAGTGATCTTAACGGAAATTCTCCAACCTCAAAGAGCAATAATAATAATAATGGCGGTAATACTCTTGGCAGTATTTGTAGCACTGTCGTGGTGCTGAGCAAATCAACATTTTTTAAGTATATCACCTCTTGACAACTGATTTTACTTAATTTCAACATCTTTGCTTTAGGTGATGTCTCATTAATAAAGCTTGGAGTGAGTGAGGAAGAGTATGTGCATCTCTCATCAGAGGTTAGTTCAGTGAATATAGCATTTTAACATTTTCAATGCCTTTAGTATGTATGTGGCAGATTTTATTTTGGTTCTAATCACTGGCCATTGAAACCTCATTTGATCTACTGTGGAACAAGTCCATGAATTTAGTGGCCAGAATGCATCACTTATCTAAGGTATTCTTTGTTATTTCTGGTTCCATAAGACTCACCTTGTGTATCACCTCTCTACAGATTGACTTAATCATTCATGCTGCTGCTGCTGTTAACATGGTCTATCCATACCAGGTCAGTTTATTTAGCTTGTCAGCCTGGGCCAGGGGAGGTTGTTGCAGTCTAGTTAGATTATAGTAATCTTGCGACTGTCTGTCTACTTTGAACAACATAACTCAGTATGTAATAAGTATGCATTTTTCACTTATAGTACAACCATTCATATTTTTTCCAAAGTGCATTTTACAATGATGTGTACTTATATATGGTGAAAGGGTTAGGTCTTCTCCTTGATTGTATTTGTTGTCTGTATTATGAGTGACTCCATATTTCTACCACAGGCTTTACGAGGAGCAAATGTTCACGGAACACAGAACATTTTGCTCTTTGCATGTACGAGCAAAATCAAACCTTTGCATTACATCAGGTACAAAAGCATTCTTCTTGAACGTTTTCTAAAGTGATTTTCTCAGCGATTAAACCATGTTAGCAATTAAGGCATTATTTTTCTTTCTGTGTAATACTTTGGCAAAGGTGAATACTTAACATCAAGCTGTCAAGTCTAGTGCTTAAAAATTTAATATCACCAGCTCTAGTTTTACTGCAGTCTTCCTAAATATTTCTTCAGAGAAGTAAATGGCTGTTTGATAGAGTGATGCAAAAGAACAACATCTTCAAAAACAGTGTAACAGAAAAGTAGCTTTCATTTGAGTGTTTGTAAATGGTTGTGATACGCACATAACCCTGTAGTTTTAACTTGATTGTTTTTGCTCCACTGCCTCCAATTCAGTACGGATGCTGTTTTTCCTCATGGATTATCAAACTGTTCAGAAGATGCAGACATGAAAGAATATGCCTGCAAACTTGATGATGGGTATGTTTGACTTGTCCTACGTAGCTAGATATTAAAGTATTCCCATCAATTCAAGATATCATGGAAGGATACCAGATCCAATGAATGTCCTTGCCTTTTATATGTTATGTTGCCAAATGGCAAGTGTCATTTCAAAGCATTGCATTTCCTGTCCGTTAAACACAGAAAGAACACACTAGTATTGTAAGATTTTGTGTACAATGATCATGTTAGATTTGTATCCTACGTTAACACTGTCACCCACGTCACTACTTACGACAGCAGTCTCGGGATAAGGTGATATAGGTTGCCTTTCAAAACCTCGAATGTATTGTCCAACATGAGAGGTATGGCAAAGATATCCTACGTTTGAGATTTACAAGCATCATCGTCCAATTTAGTCATCCTTTGAGAACGATGTGTCTTAGCCTTTCCACAGTTATTTTTAAACGAATTTTGCGGGCACGCCCTTGCGCTAGCGGTCAGTAAACCCCTTGCCGTTTACTTATTTTCATACAAGGATCTCAAGAGACAAAGTAGAGGGTCTGTAAACAGTCTACAGGTGCCTTATCAGTGCTGACATTTTCTTAAATTCTCTGTACATGTTTTATACCACAGTCATGTCATTGCTGAATGTTTTCTCATAGGTATTCCCAGTCCAAGTGGGTTGCAGAACAGTTGGTGTTAAGGGCTAAAACCAAGGGGCTTCCTGTTTCTATTTACAGATTAGGTATGGAACGACAAGCAATGTTATTGTCATGATTTTGACGAGACAAAGAACAACCGTAGGATGAGAAAAACGAGTGGAATGGGATTTTTTAGGACATTCCAATATTTCGTGAAAGTTAGGTCCTGTAAAGATAAACTCCCGCAAATTATGAAGAAAGAGAAACACAAAAATTCATATCTCTCTTTTTTCTATCGGACTCAATATTTGCGAAAATTCGTTCTCGCAAAACCGTAAAAAAATAAGAGGTAAACCGCGAAACTACCTCTTCCCACTTCCGGAAACAGTAAGTTTACATTACTTTACTTTCTTTTGGTTAATGTTATTGCAATCCTTCAATCGAATTTTTGATACTTCAGAGCCGGAACAGCCTCTTTCTCAGGCGCTTCGTTTTTGGCAAGGTAGAGGCGAGCGAATGGTGATGAACCGCAAGGGACCATGGAGAGGGTACAGCAGCTCCCTCCCGCCTTCCTTTGCGCGCACATTATCTGAGAGAGAGAGAGGTCTGGGTACGAGGCAGGAGCCGGAGTAATTCCTCTTTGACCCTTAGCATTCTGTATCTTGTATCTTAGGTAACTTGGCTGGTGATCGTGAACGTGTGCGGTGGAACCCAATAGATTTTATTCTTCTGATGATCAAAGGCATCACTGCGACGCTTTCTGCACCCGATGTGGACTGGATGGTGGAAATGACTCCAGTAGATTTTGTCAGTGAAATGATCGTCAAGATGACACAGGTTGGACTAGGCGTACATTACAAGACCTATTAAAATTAACCGTCTCTAAAACGGACATTGCTGAGCCCGACACCGTATGATAGAGGTGTTGGTCTTATAGACGAAAATAGTGGACCGAAGAATGTCAATTTCTGTAAATCAATAGGCCATTCAAAACGAGGATAGGTGCTCAGCCTTTGATATGGAAGTCATTTTTCATTCTCATGCAAATAAAACTCATTTTCACAAGAAAGGTTGTGCACCTAGCCTCGTTTTGAAAGTGAGAGTTTTTGGAACTCGGAAGTGACCTATTACCAGCACCTGAAAGACCACTTCTTGTGTGGCAATCTTGCAAAGTTTAGTTTGGTTACGTGCTTTGAAGAAAACGGAAGTGCACTGAAAATGTCGTTTTCACACTTAAAACGGTCTTCTGACCATAAGCATTCTGATGACGTAAATGTTATTAGCATTGCAATTAATTCACTTTTTGTATCACACAATTTAGGAGATGTCAATTTCTATGGGAAAAGTATTTCACGTCATCAATCCACAACCTCTGAACGCAAAGTACGTGTTGTCGTTTTCTTTTCTTTTCTTTTTCCCTAACGGTACGCTAATAGACTTAGGATTGCAGATAATTTACTTAAGTAAGGAGAATAATTTAGTTTCAAGGCAAATGAATATATTACAGTCTGTGCAAAAAGAGTATTACTTTTTTCCAGGTGGTTATTTCAGTGGATGAGTGTTCACGGTTATCCTTTGGACATTATTTCTTTTAAAGATTGGTGTAGTAGGTAAAGTTAATTCTTGAAATTCTGAGAATGCCTTTCCTTCCTTTTTTAATTACCTTGTTTTTCACTTATAGTAAATCTAGATTCACAAGGTCTAGTATAGACTTTCAAAAAAGTCCTTCGTCGGATTTCGTATGGCGGCAGCTTCGCGGCCAAACAAGGCTTGCTCCGCTCGCGAAGAGGTCGACTTGTGGCAAGTCTAGGTCTAGTAATGTTTTGAGCACTAGCAACTCGTCATGTTTTAAATCTCTTTACCATCTCACTCAGTCAATAAAACCAATTCGTGAATGATATTCTAACTGTAATACTTTGTAACTTCTGTAAATAGGATTGAAATCTTGTGTAAGAATAATCCACAATGCGGACTCATTCCACTACTTCGACTGCTGGAGATCTGGATGGGGTGAGTTTGTAGATAAACCATCTCTTCGAGTCATCTTAAAATATTCCGGCTGCAAGCCAATGACCTGCTTTTCTTGAGTGGAACACAGCTCTTTGATTAGGATCAGTTTTGACCAATCCAAGAGAGCAAAAATGCCTATTGTTTCAGATGCTAATCGAAGTTCTGGTTGGAGGCCAAACAAAATCGCAAAATTACTATTAACAGTTAAAATTATTTACGTGTTAAGAGTGGCACAGAACAGAACGGCTCCTAATTTGAGTCATTCGTAAATGAAATAGCCGTTCTTAAACCTTGGTTTCCATATAATTTCCGGTCTATCCTCAGGCGGTCGATACGATCATATGGAGACACCTTTGATGTTGCTCAGTGCGACACGGAACGCAATCACCTGGATTAAACTGGAGTCTATAAGGTTATCTGGCTGACTAGTTTCCATAGAATAGGATTCGGTCACAATGCTGATCCTCCCATCCCGTCTCGAACAGTATAAATCTGATTCTGTAATAATGTCAAAAATAACCCGGAAATTCAGGCGTCGGTTTTCTTTTATTTTAAACTGTTTAAGTTGAAGCCATAACTGCAATGGTTTGTAGGCATTACGTGCCCATCTCAAACTGACGCCTATTTTGTCCTTTTTCTGCAGGGATTCTTCGTTTCTTTCAAACTTGAGCACCTATACCATGAAGAATTTTGATGCAGCTATGGAGCATTTTAAAGTTACTTATCCACTCGTCAATTCCGAGCTTCTCACACACTACTTTTCTGCTCTGGTATCGCAGGGTGTTCTACCGAACCCAGAGAAAAAGATACGAGGTTTGTTTCCTTTATTCTTGGACTTCCAACTCTCCCTGCTAATCATACGATCGTATTAAAAGGTGTAAGAGTTTTCTGATGTATGGTAACATCATCGGATTTTCGAGAACTACAGTGATCCATAATAGACCTTACAATAGAGCTTTTGTTTACAGTTATCTCATCAGCATATGGGCTTCATTCCCTTACTATTACACAAGAGATAGCACTTACTTTCTATGAAAATTTTAGTTTTATGTACTCGCATTTACTCCGTAATGTGATGTTAAAATCAAAATTTTACTTAAAAAAATTTCTTTTGCCGTCCAGAAATTTTGAGGGTCACTGCAAACTCAAAAAATTCCTTACATCACCCGCATATTGGCCATAATCACGAATTCGTAATGATAGTATTTGTTGCCAAGCAACAAGTCCGAGAGTACACATCGTGATGTGTATATAGGGCACTTTGCGAGTTACCAGTTCCCCTTTTGATATCAGTGAGGTGGTTTCAAAGTGAACACTACTAAAAGATGTCTTTGTCCAACGGTAGCGTAATTAAGATCTCTAATTTACTAAATGTTTGTGAAGCTATAACAGTCTTCATGATGGAAATTCCTAGACTCAGTGTATTATTTAGCTCTGTGGCATTTTATGCTGCGTACTGCTCCGCTGTGTTTATAAAATGAGAATGTATTTGTGTCTATTTTGATAGTGCGTTTTCCATTCCCGCTAATTTGGTAGAGAGAACTGCCTAGTGATAACAGCCTTCTGTGACAGTCTTCAGTGACAAGTTGGCTTCTCCAACTGAGGGCCTTGATTAGCTTGCGAGTGAACCATCTATTTGAAACTCGCAAAAGTCAAAGTTAACGCACGACTGAGCTCGCCGTTTGTGCGTAACCCTTCACCTCGTGCAACAACAAAACAAACAACAACATTGTATTCATTAACAGAACTATAAAGTTTACAATACTTTATGCCCGAAAATAAATACTATGCTAATCTAGGCAGGAGAAAACTTTAAATAAAGGCGATATTAAATTACATAAGAAAAAAGGAAAAGAAAAGAAATACAATAGCATACAGAGAGAAACAAACACCTCACATGTAAATTCAAGAACAGGGATTTATTACTTGAAAATAGACTAAAATTACATCTGGAGGTTTATACAACTAATTACGTATCAGGTTAACTTCTTAAAATATTCTGTTAAATAGTTAACATTCAAATAATTATCTTCATTATCTAGAACGTTAAGGAGTAGTGATTGCATTCCTTTACAGACAATCGCGTATTATAATGATCCTAGCATTTACTGTGGTTTCGAAGTTAATGGTTATAAATATCTTTCTTTGATAATCTTTCTAGGTCCCAGGTCCCTAGAAGGAAAGGTTGCCATAGTAACCGGAGCGTCCAGTGGTATTGGTGAGAGTGTGGCTAGAACCCTTGCAGAACATGGTGCTAAAGTTGTTTTAGCTGCTCGGAGAAAAGAAAGGTACCTGATTGCACAACTAGGAAAGAACACGCGGATGCCTGGTGAACGAGCGTTAGGTTGATCATAGGCGCGCACTGAACGAAGAAAAGACCTCACGCAGCCTAGTAGTTTCTTGGATTTCTCTCCTGCGGCTTGAAAAGTTTGGGAAGGAATCCGTTTCAGCATACGTTAGGATGTGGGTTAGCAGGGTGGAGAACGCCTGGGGACTAGACCGGAGCTCGAGGTCACTGATTGGATAAAACTCAGTCTTGCGCCACTTTTTCAACGCACCAATCGTTCAAAGGGTGGATAACGCTAGCCACTCATGCTAAGTGATTAAATCACTATCCAGCGTATATAAACCCAATTGTTTCCCCTAATACTTATACGTTGGATAGCGCTATCCAATGTATGAACAGCTGGGGCTTAAGATAAGGGATAAACGAGACATTTTCTTGAGAAACTGGTGTCTGTAACAAGTGTTGCCCCTCTGACGAGTGTTCTCCCAGTGGCGGGTGTCGTCCCTGTGATGAGTGTAGACCCTGTTAGGTGTGTTGTCCCGTGCTTTCGCCTTGGTACTCAGCTGTATTGATAACGGAAGGAAATTGTCCACCGTAAAAAGATTCAGGTTGTTAGGGTTACGTTTTGTTCTTTTTTTCAGGCTGGATCAACTAAAAGATGAAATTGCAGAGTTGGGTGATGTAGCGGTTTCTATGGAAACGAATGTGGCCAACAGGCAAGAGGTATTAGAGTAGATGCTTGTATTCTGTGATGCGATTTCATGGTACCAATCTTAATTCCATGCACTTCAGGTTTTTGCTGGTCGATGTACTGTAGTCATTTAATTTGTAAATCTATCGATCACGTGATTACATGGCAAGGCAAACGGTATCTCTATTATTATAGTTAAGATAAGGTCAATCTTCCTCCTTCCTTATAAAGAGCTTTTGCTTTGACTAATTGAGGTAGGTTCATTTAGTGGAAATTTTCTAAAACTAAATCCTCGGAGAAACAACACTTGGACTCTGTTAGGCCATGTCCGAATTTCCTTGGGTCTTCTTGTTTAATACACAAATTAAACTCGTTTTCTTATGAATGGTTGTGCTCTGAGTCTCTTTTTTGAAAATAGGCCTAGAGCAACTTGAAAATGGACTCTGGTTTGTATTCGCTTTCTTTGTCAACAGGTCCTTGATCTGGTGTCCCGCACAAATGATACATTGGGGCCAGTGGATATCATGGTCAACTGCGCCGGACTGGGCTTTTATACATCCATGAAAAACTGTAATCTTGATGAGTGGGAAAAAATGGTTGATGTCAACTGTAAGGTACTCACTCAGCTCTATGGTGATCATTGTACTCTGCATCTTTATGAATGACTTCATGAAAAACTTTTCTAATCCTGTTTTGTCCGTAACTTTATCAGGGTGTTATGAATAGTATTGGCGCTGTGCTGCCGGGCATGCTGGCAAGAAAGAAAGGCCACATCATCAACATCTCGTCAAATGCTGGTAGAAAGGTATCAATATCTATCCGTTTTCTTTTTCTGAATTTCTGAATTGTTTTTTGAATTTCTGTTTCCCTTTTTAGCTTTCCGCTTTCCGGTTTGCTTGTAAGTTTCTCTGTTTTCTGCTGTCTTGTTCCTTGTTTCTCTTTTCTCCTGCTTTTCTGTTTTTTTCTCTCTCCTGTTTTCTGTTTTTTCTTCCCTCTTGTCAACATAAGTTCTCTTCCTTTTCCACCCTTGTTTACATTCTCCCAAAAGTTGGCTGCGACAAAATAAAACGAGATGCTATCTCCTCCTTTTGTCTCAATATCCAGCAATTCAGTGTGCCTCTATGATTTTCCGCTAAGTTCCTTAAAAACAAAACAAAAGATCACAGGTAGAAGTTATTTTGCTCATATCTTCCCGCGATATATTTAAATTTTTCAGACTTTCCCTGGATTGACTGTGTATTCTGCCACCAAGTATTTTGTGGAGTCGTTGACTCAGGGTTTGAGACTTGAGATTGTGGGCAGTGGAGTCAAAGTGACCTCCATTCAACCTGGTAATATAGCGATTTTTATTATATGGAGGAGAGTGTTTTACTGGGAACTAAACCACTCGTAGATTCCACTCGTAGATTCCATACTCGTTCGCTTCGCTCACTCGTGAGATATTGTTCTTGCCTCTCGAACATGAAATTCATATCTTCTCTCCACCGTGTAATATCCTCTATATATAAACTAGAAGTAATCACAGAATAGAATTTACAATATTTGAAAGCGAGGCTGGCCTGTTGATTTCTGAGCAATTGTGAAGTCAACGTGATTGTTCGGCATTTGCGTCGTAGTCTTGTGCCCCCTATGTAACAGTAGGGTCGATGGTAAACGCTGATGCTAATGTGCACAGTCCTAATCCTGGGCCCAGTTGTTCGAAAGATGGATAACTCCTTCCACTGGATAAATCCCTATCCAGTTGATAACGCAATTGGTTTCCCTAATTCTTATCCATTCGACAGTTATTTATCCATTGGATAGCGCTATCCAGCGTTTGAACAACCAGGACCAGATTCATAAATCTCTTGATGTTATTCTCTCCTAGGTGATGTCGCAACAGAATTTGGAATAGGAAACACCGATGAGGAGGTTTGCTATTTTAGTTCCTTATCGTACATATAAAACAACTGAAGGACCATAAGATATACTTCTAAGGGCGCTTTCCAAAAGTCAGAACCGGCCGGCCGGACCAGTCATTTTGACAAAGCGATAAGCTTTTTCCAAGAGTTTTTGCTGAAAAATCATCTCCCTCGTGCAAACTATTTAGGATTTAACATATCTGGCTGGGTAATTTTGATTAAAAGTGAAATTCTCATAACGATGGGAATGGTCTGGCCGGTCAGTTCTGACAAATGGAAAGCGCCCTAAGTTAATAGGGAATCAATTAAGGTTTCAGGGAAACTGCCCACCTACCGCTTACAAGTTTGATTCTATAAACAGTTCTAAGAAGATACTTAAATTGAGTTCTCTTTTGTGATACTACAAGTTTTTCATTTTTTGATGTGTATTTTTTTCTTGTTGTTGCTGTTTTTTCAGGCACGAGCAAAATATGAAGTTAGCGCCGACATTAAGAGACTTGACCCGAGTGATGTCGCGAATGCAGTAATTTATGCAGTGACTCAACCAGCTCACTGTGCCGTTAATGAAATCTTGATTGAACCAGTCGATGCTCCCTGTTGACGCAAATTTCATGTCCGCGCACTATCTTAAAAAGCGCGAGAGAACATGTTACCGGAACACGTGCAGTGTGCTGTTATACTATGTAATTCTTGCAACATGAATTTTAGGGCAAATTTCCTGTATTTCGTGGGATTTATCATCGGGAAAATGTTGCAGGAGCGCGGTCATAAGCTTTCGTTTGTACGGTTGTGCAACATGTTTCTGCAGTCGAACCAGTAGTTGAGCTTGTTAACGACAACCGCCAGGCAGGAATTATTGTTATTTATTTCGTAGACAGTATTATATACAGGCATCTACTCGCCACGTCTTACTGTGTTTGCGGACATTGTGATTCTGTCCCTGTTACATGTCTCTTGGCTTCAGGCCCCTTTACATGTCCTGGTGTGTATGTCCCTGCAACATGGTCCCTTGTGTTTTAAATTTTAATAAGTTTTTTATCATTTTATTACATTCAACAACCTGCAAAAAAAAAAGGAGTTAACAAATTCACACATCGCAAAACTTTACGAATTGGATGTGAAATGTATTACATGGAGGCATCCGTTAATGTTCGTACAGCCAGGTTAGTAAAACCACCCCTATTTTGCTCTTTGAAATAGTAGTCTTTTCTTAAGTCCTTATGGCGAATACGGTAGTTCTGCCGGAACTATTGGTGCAAAGTGGAACATTATTTTCCCTTTTACCCATGTCTATAATGGGGACACTTCTAATGCGAACACATGTAGCTCATGAGTTTTCTTGAGCTACAGTTACATCTTAAGACAAAGCCATGTCTACGCATTAGACAGGTTCCTTATTGTAGTGGTGAGGATTGTTTAGGTTAGATATTTTTTGGCCTGAAAACGCGAAACGCCCGCAGTTTCTCAGGCTAGATATCTATAAGTCCAATTTGGGAGGCGTTAAGAAAGGTTGTCCGACTGACTTTTCAGTTTAGAAATAAAGGTTAGATAGTTCAGATTATTTCAGAATGCAAACGTGACGTTAAAAGAATGCTTCAATAAATTTTATAAACGCGGTTCGTAGAAGTTTCTTAATGGTATACTACAGGTGACCACTTCTCATTCCAGCAAAACATTTTTTTTTTCTATCTTGTAATTTTTAGTGGATTCTTTGTATAGTTCATTTAATAGTCATAATATATAATTGTTTTATGGGCTTTTACATTAGTTAGAGGTTTGTAAATAGCAGGGTTCGCTGGGTGTATTGAAGGGGGAATAAAAATTAAAAAGGTACAAATGGGCGTTTTTCTTTCTTGTTCGGGTAACAGTCATTTTTTTTTCTTGGAGCGTGACAAGCGCTTTTAGCCTCCAACGCTTACCTTTTGCCTCTCCACGCACTTCAGTCTACTTAAGATCTCGAAAGGGACGTCTGTCCAGGAGGATGAGTTGGTGATTTTTCAAGGCTATACTTGAACTTAACGTTTCTCTGGGCCCATTCTAAAGACATTCTAAACCAACCAAAGTTGTAAGTTGTTGCCTCTCGGTAACTACTGTAAACTCAACCTCTTCATCCCGGCTGGGACATAAGACCGCAATCAAACGTCACCACTCAGCCCTATCCTGATCTTTAGACCCAGCTCCTCCAGCTCTTTCATCATCGTTCTCCGCCGGGTGGATTTTGGCTGGCTTCTTTTCCTCCTCCCAGTTAGCAACTTTGGGTATCCTGTCCCTGGGCCGTGGCAAAATATAAAACACTAAATATATTTCGATCCTGATTGAACAGCCTCTCTTGAGGGGTATTAATAGATGGTTTCTACGACGAAAAGAAGACCCGGGAGCCTTTTCACAGGCTACTAAATCTGCAGATTCAGTGAAGCACGATAGAACATAACCCCTAATTATGCATAAAAACAACAAAATGTTGAAAATTTCACGATAACGAACTCATCCCAATGGTTTTTTTCTTTACGTAATCAGAAGCTCCCGACGTAATAAAGCGCGCCCAAATTCTTCCCCTTCAACTTTAAGCGCCTGCCACGCAGGTCACGCAGGCTAATAGGGCTTTTGTCAGACATGCCAGAAAGACACCTCTACCTCTGCAGGGTACTCCGTCTCAGAAACCGCTCCGAAATCACCATTTTTATGTCTGACAAAATCCCTATATCCGGTAGAGTGTAGCCTTATCAGATACCCGAGCACCTCGAAGAACCCACATAGTACGGTCGAGAGTTGACTGAGAACGAGCGAGATTTTCTGCTTCTGCTGTTATTACGACTTATATCACGACTTGTCAGCGGATGTCTAGATCCCAGTTTTTCACGGCAATGCAAAAACAAGATGTCGAACTTTTTCTTGTCAGATCGCAAAGGTTCTCAGGCAAATTCAAGGAAAAGACAGGTTAATTCATCCAAGGTAAGGCTTCAAGTGTTGACAGAACTGTATTATTAGTCAATTTCTGTTGTTTTTTTTAGTGTTCAAGAAGTTTCGTTGAATTGTTTGGGATTATTTCTTCAAAGTATACGCAAGTGTAGTTTCACGTGGTCTTACGCGAGATTTCTGTGTTTTCAGTTCTCTGGTTCTAGGAACAAGAAACCAAAGGGTAAACAGTCATTTAAAAAAACTGATTACATAGATGAAGATGAGCTTGCAAGTGAATCGGACGTTACGAGGTAAATCGTTTGGTTTATATTTTGCTCAAAAGTTGGAACGTGACGACGACCTCCGCGTGGATCAATTACCCTTGGCTTGTTGTTTGGGATTGAACCAATTCTAAAAGTTTATTTTTCTTTCAGTGATGAGAACGAACAGACAGATGAGCAGGTTGTGGATGAGGAGACAGCTCAAGAAAAACGACTTCGTCTTGCTAAGCAGTATCTTGCTCAGTTGGAGAAAGAAGGTATACTTGCAAAGAGATATTGAGACTGGTTGACCTTGATCATGAAGCCTTAGAGCAGAGCCATCTGTAGTACAGTTCTATCAGAACTGTCTACGAAAGGGTGGATTTTTCATGTTGGCTTCTAGTTATGTTTTCAGCTGTTAAAGCATTCAAAATTAAGCAGTCATCGCATTGGCTGTTTCATTATTTTTCTTATTCACACACACAAAAAAGTAGATTTGGTCTGACCAGTGTTTTCTAAGACAGTGGTCACTGTGAATATTTACTGAACTTGTGTCCAGGTAAGTGCGGCAAATGGTATTGTTGAATAATATTGATATAATTTGATTATTTTTGTTCTTTTTCAGAGCAAAATAAAAAAGACTCAGAGGACATAGATCATGATGCTATAGCTCACAGACTGAAACAAGATGTTGTGAGTATGGATTCTTAAAGGTTCATTCCAAATAGTCACTCATTTAGAGTAGGAGAGCAGGCACACTCATTTTGTGTCTCAAACAGTGTGACACTGACTTCAAAAATTATCCTGAAGAGTTGTAAACTAGCTCTCATTCCCCTGTTTTCTACAGTTTGATGTGTGACTGTCTGTGGTCAGATAGCCTGAAGACATGCAAAAAAACCCCACCTGATCGAAAGTTGGCTATCAGACAGCCAACAAGTTTTTGGGAGAGTTGCTCTTAATGTTTCCAAATTTAAAGCATTTTTTTGTCTTGTTGAGTTAACCTGGCAGATTTTGATGTATTGTTTTTATTGCAGCTTGAACAAATTGGAAAACTGCAGAAAAGAATAGCTTCTCAGGTATCATAAATGATTATTGTATATCTTGTTGCAGAGTACATTTGCCACGGAGTTGACCTCTTTTCTTGACACTGATATACCTGCCAACTTTTTCTGAGTCAATTGCGTGAAATTTTTGGCTGTGTCATGACCAGAATTAAGATCAATGTTTTAAGTCCACAAGTGTGGGACTCGTGCATTGTGCGTGAGGGTTGGCAGGTATGCACTTATATGGTGATCAGCTGCATCGCATGCAGTGACTGTCTTCCCATATCTTAAGCGTATCAATGGTGTTTTTTTTTTCTGTCAACAGTATACACAGCCATCTCCAGATGCTATCAGAGTTCTGCGAGGACATCAGCTGTCCATCACATGTCTCTGTATATCACCTGATGACAAATTTGTCTTTTCTGGTTCAAAAGACTGCTCCATTATTAAATGTAATGTGGTCACATTTTGTTTCTTTCTTTTTGGAAAATAATGATTTCTGGGAGTGGTGTTTTTAGTCAGTGACACAAGTGACTCAGAAAAAACAAATCTGCATGCTCCCAAAAGGAGTTGAATCAATGGCCTTGTGGACCCATTTGTTTGAAGGGGGATTAGTGCAAGCCCAGGGTTAAATTTTCATACAGGTTTCTTTTTGTTTTGTTCAAAAGCATTTTCATGGGTAATTTTTTCTATTCTTTGAAGAGTATCCAATCTTCAAATTGTGGTGAAAGAGTGTTAAACTGAATTTGCTTTTTAAGTTTTTATATCTGAATTCAAATTTTGCACTAACCCGGGTTATCACCCATATGTTGACACAGCTTTGAACAACCCATTCCTAGTTACTAGTCCAGATGTTCTACCACTGACCTTCAAGTAACATGTTGCAACTATTAATGACCATTGTAGGGGTGGGAGAAGGGAGAAAGGAAGGTATACATCACTAGAAAAGGAACGTACCACATATAAAACATCAGAACTAGGAAACCAGTATGATTTTGTGCATTCCTTGACAGGGAATCTAGAAACAGGGAACAAAGAAGGGAAAATCTTGGGTTGCCACAAAGCCAGCAAAGGAAGCAAAGGACACTCTGGTCATGTACTGTCTCTCACTGTTACCACAGATAACAAGTTTTTGGTAAGCAATAAAATTAAGTCATAACGAACATCTTTTTTGTACAGTAACATATTAAGATTATGAATTATTTCCATCTAGAAAATTAGAGTCAAGTCAGTTGTAATGTGAAGAAGATATAGTCCTACACTCGTTTATGAATGTAATTAAATCTCACAAGCTTTACAACTGACTTGTGTCCATTTTTCTTGACTAAATAATGACAAAATTTTGTATTTTTGTTCTGTTTTGTTCACGTTTTGTTAATGACTTTTGTTGACATCTTTAAATGTGGTGTGATAATTCTATTTTCTACAATATAATAATTCATCTTAGGCTAGTGGTGGAATGGACAAAGTAATTCACATATGGGATCCTGTTTCACTTCATCATATTCACACGTTCAAAGGCCACAAAGATGCAGTGTCGGTGAGTTTATTTCTTTTTTGCAGAAATGTTTTTTGCTGTCTCCTACACTGTCTCCTATTTGGGTTGGTTGTGTAGAAAACAAACCACGCAAATAGCCCTTATGCATGTTTACGTCAGACGAGTAAATTTCACCACCAAGTCTCGTTTTCAAAATATAAAGTTGCGAAGTTTTGCATAAATGAATTCCCAGGGCAGTACAGTTGAAAAGAATACCCACGCATAAAGAGTGCAAATGCGAAGAATTTTGCTTTCAAACGAGGCTTGGTTGTGAAATTTGCTCGTCTGACGCAATCACGCATAAGGGCTATTGGCACATGAATGCTCACCAAATCTGGGGTGTCGGCAAAATACCAGTATACTGTAACTGCCGAGTCACGCCTTTAAGACTGAAAAGGTTTTAATTTTTGTTCTTTACAATTATTCAAAGCTGCTGAAAAAAAAAATTCTAGAGGTTTTTGAAAATGTCTCACCTTTTAGTAAAATCCAACTAGTGGTCTGTTATGAATGCTGCATTCTGATTGGTTGAGCTACTACTAGGCTATATGTTATAGCTCACAAGTAGTGAAAAGCACCAGCTTTGAAAACCAACACAATGGCTCGAGGAATAATTGTTAATTATTACAACATTTTTGTCTTTAGGGTGTGGCTTTTAGGCGAGGAACTCACCAACTATTCAGCTGTTCTCATGATCGTACAGTAAAAATCTGGAATTTAGATGAGATGGCATATGTAGAAACACTGTAAGTGGCACCTAATTTTGCCAGCTCTTAGTCATTCTTTTTGTCAACAGATCAATAAGATTTAACATATTATCATTACAGCTGTGAATTCAACCACCTCTGCTTGTACATGTTTTGGCCTGTTGCCATTGTTATTATATTAGCTTCGTAGACACTAAGGCTTGCTAATTTAAACAGAGTCAGTAACTTATGCCGTGGTTTAAGAAATCATTGGACCTCCAGATATCTTTCTATAAAGTGGGTTATTTTAAGAAGGTATGTTTCTCCTGTCTACCCTGTTGCTTCCATGAAACTGTTTACAATAACCGCTGTTCAGATAAATGTGTTGAGCAAATGAAAATGGCTTAGAACACAGTTTTGTTAAACACCAACTAAACTCCGTTCAAATAACCAGCCCTAAATGTGCTAGCCAGATTATTGTGTTTTTTCTTTAAAAGAAAAAGAAAAATTCTTACATCACCTCATGATATCCAATTAAATATTATTATTATTATTAATATTAGTGGCCCCCATGATATGAATGTTTTATCTGTAGTGTATTATTCCATGTGATAATTAATTAAGGGGTTTGATTTTTATTGTCCTCTGCAAACTGAATGATCTAGATTTGGACATGAGGACAGTGTGACAGGCATTGATAGTTTATCACGTGACAGAGCTGTAACTTGTGGAGGCAGAGATAGAACTCTACGTGTGTGGAAAGTAGTGGAGGAATCACAGTTGGTTTTCAATGCACAGGGAAACATGTAAGGTTTACAAACAAATTTTAAGCAGTAACAGTTCTTTATACAACGTTTATTTCAGAAAGTATAATAAAAGATATTAAAACAAAAAGAAATTGATAACAGGTGTAAGCATTAACATTTTTTGAAAGTTATAGACAAGCTCTGTCTTCAAAATTGTCTGCTTCCCAACCTCATGCACACTGGAACTTTTACTCACTTCACATGGTCATGTGGTTGGTGCTTGAGCGATTTAAGGGAGAAGTGAGACCCTTGTTAGGGGAGGTTTCGTATATCCCTAGTCTGAATTTCAGATCCTTTCATTTTGCGTATTGAGGAGGAAGCAGGCATTTAGCCATATGCTGAAAACTGGCCTTCCAGAAGGTGTTTCCCAAATTATAAGAGATTAAGTGAATTTTCCTTGTATTTCTTCCAAAAATGTGCTGTCACAGTTTTATCTTTATGTTGTTTGTCACCATTTCTGCTGCCCTATGTTGCTGTTTCGAGGGCATGTCGCTTGTCGGAATTTTACCCTATCAGGGGCCTCAGAAGTTGAATGCATTTTAACTGATTTATATTAAATTCTAGGGGGTCACTGGATTGTGTTCATCTTATTAATGAAGAGCACATGGTTTCAGGAGCAGATAATGGGTAAGTCTAATGTACAACTTCTGTTAAAACTCCTGAAAGTGTATATTCTAAACTTCTAGTTTGTGCCACTTTGCGTTTTGATCAGCTCACTTTCATTATGGAGTGTTTCCAAGAAGAAGCCATTATGTACAGTACCAAAAGCCCACAGTAAACCTGAAGGCAGTCCTGAAGAAAACATTCCTGATGAGAGTTGGATAACATCACTTGCAACCCTACGTAGTACAGATCTTTTGGCTTCAGGTAAGAACAAAATGATCATAATTAGGAATCACAGCCTGGATCAGGTCTTAAAGTCAGCCAGTCAGTCAAGTTTGCTTGTCAGTCAGTCAAGTCAACCAGTCAGTCAAATCAGCTAATCAGTCAGTCAATTAAGTCAGGCAGTCAGTCAAATCAGCTAGTCAGTCAGTCAAGGGCTAGTCAGTCAGTCAGCTAGTCAGTCAGTCAAGGGCCCCTTGTTTTTCTTGCTCTATATTAATGATTTAAATAATGTATCGTCGCTCGTCGAGCTGATTTTATTCGCTGATGATACTAATTTATTTATGTCCCATAAAGATCCTGTCTACCTGGCAGCCTCACTCAATTCCGAACTTAATAAATTATCCACTTGGTTCAAGGCAAACAAACTCTCCTTAAACCTAAAGAAAACAAACTTTATGTTATTTAAGCCTAGACAGAAAAGGTATCATTTTCCAATGCAAGTATGCATAAACGAACAGAGAATCGAACAGGTTAAGGAAACGGTCTTCCTCGGTGTAGTCCTTGATGAACATCTGTCTTGGAAACCGCACATTTCTCAAGTAGCTCGTAAAATCTCGAAATCAATAGGTGTCATTAATAGAGCAAGATTTTTTCTACCTAAACCGTGTCTAAAAACTCTTTATTATTGTTTAGTTTATCCTTATCTTCATTATTGTATTATTGTCTGGGGATCTACGTACAAAACCAATCTTCGCCGTCTTGTCTCTTTGCAAAAGCGAGTTATCAGAATTATTTCTAAATCAACTTTCGATTCTCATTCAGACCCTATTTTCAAAGAATTAGAGCTACTAAAACTTTCCGATATTAGACAGCTAGAATTAGGTAAACTTATGTTTTCTCTTAACCATTCTCTTTTGCCTTCAAAGTTCAACAATTATTTTTCTTTAAACAAACAAGTCCATAGCTATGCCACTAGACACGCGAACGATTTTCACCTTCCTTCTTGTAGAACAAACCTTCGTAAATTTTCTGTCAGTTTCCAAGGACCTACTTATTATAACACTATAGAAAATGATATTAAAAAATCTAATTCTTTCCACTTATTCAAAACGAAATTGAAAAAAAAAAAAAATGAATTATTAGTTATAAATCTTGTAGTAAATAGTTATATTTCTTCCATGTCTGATATTATTTTTTACTTATTGTTACTTGTACCATACCTTATATTTTGTCAACTCAGTCTATGTAATAAGTTAATTTATACTTACCTTCATTGTATTTTGCTTTCGATCCTGGCCTTACCGTTACTGTTAACTTTATTTTTACTCTGAGGGAGCCCAATGTCTATAAGCCTCATGGTTTCTGTTTGGGCTTCCTCGCCACTTTCATTTGCTTTTGTGTAACTGTCTTGTTTTATCGTTATTTGTATTTTGTGGTAAATCAAATAAAGTTAAAAGTAAAAGTAAGTACTGTAAGCTAGTCAGCCAATCAAGTCAGCTAGTCAGTCAATTGAGTCAGCCAGTCAGTCAAGTAAGCTAGTCAGTCAGTTAATTAAGTCAGCCAGTCAGTCAAGTCAGCCAGTCAGTCAAGTCAGCTAGTCAGTCAGTCAGTCAAGTACTGTAAGCTAGTCAGCCAATCAAGTCAGCCAGTCAATCAAGTCAGCTACCGGTAGTCAATCAAGTAAGCTAGTCAGTCAGTCAAGTTAAACTGTTCAATAACTGGATGCTCATTTACTAAACCAAAAATTCTTGTTTGTAAGCTAAAATATGAAGAAGAAGAAGAAAGAAATATGAACAAAACACATGATTTTTTTTTCGTTTGCCAGCAGGATCTTGTGATTCTTGCATAAAACTCTGGGAGTGTGGAGAAGGCTTCAGAAATCTTAAACAGCTCTTCTCAGTACCAATGGTAAGATACTCACAGACCGATAGATGTATTGAGTTAGGGAGTGTCTACAAGTACGCTCCTCAAGCGTTGCCCTTCCCAGTACAGCGTTTTCCCAGTCCCTATCGGTCAATTCATTTCAGTGACGTATGGGAATCCAAGGCTAACGGGCAGGAAACACATTTTCGCTTGGACCATGTGACCCGAAACGCTTTGGCCACACGGAATAATGAGGCCTAGGGACTAGGTAACCTGAAGCGTATAACTTGAAAAGTCATCAAGACTACCTCCTCAGGTAAAGTAGCGTGCGTCACAGAGTAATCTAACCCCAGTTCATAACGTCTACAAAGTAGTGACAATATACTCATTCACGGCACCCAACAGACTCAACAAATTACTGGAAATGCATTTCAAATTTCCCTTCAATCTGACTGGCAAATTTACAATAGGGGGGCTTTTTTAACAGAACAATCATGGTGTATACTCAACTCCTGGTACACAGTTGGAGACCCAGAGAAAGGATTTCTGCAGTGTTTCGCAGACAGACTTAACCAGAAATTTTCTTTCCTGTGTGACTCAGGCTACAGGCCAAGCCTCTTTGTCATAATTATTACTAATTTTGTGGAACAGCTTAATTTGAGGTATTGTCTGAAGGAATTTGGTCAATTAACACATGGTCCTTTATAGTATTAAGAAATGTCGTTGAATTTACTCCATTTCTCCATAAACTAAGTGTGGTTGGCAAAAACCTAGGATAAAATGGGACAGAACAAGTTGACCAAAATACTGCCATTATTATTACTGCATTTTGGTTTACAGGGCAACTCTCTGACCTGTGGTATTGCACCAAGTTCACTTATATGTCAATGGAACTCTCAGTTTTTTTGTTTCCTTGTTAGGTTGGCTTTGTAAATGCCTTGGAATTCTCTAATGATGGAAACACACTGATAGCAGGGATAGGACAGGAACACAGATTGGGACGATGGTGGAAGCTAAAAAATGCAAAAAACTGTTTATGTGTTATACCATTGAATAGAACAGAACAAAATGGACATAAGGCATAATAAAATGTTCACAAATGTTTTCCTGGTTGACAACTTAATAACAATAGTGTCAAATAAACCATCCATGCGCTAGCCTGTGTACAGGGCAGCTGTATTTGGACTCTTCGTGCGCATAAAATCTTACATAACTTTTAAGTGACTGGAGGTCTTGTTGATTCAAGATCAGCTTTAGGAAACAATGATGTTGTTTAATAACTGTTAAGTCTTACAATGATAGGAAACTTTGTTACTGCATTTGTGAAGAAAAGGGAAATTTCGTTTTTTTAATGCAGTTGTGTAATACAGCCAATTCATTGTTAACTTTTTTTTATTCATATCATATATAGTGAATCTGTAACAGCAAGACAATTTTAATGAGTTCTACATTTACGAACTTAAACTCCTTTCTGTTAGAGCAGGGTTATAGCCCCAGAAACTACCAGCTGTTCACTTTGTGATCACCTCTCCTTAGCTCTACTAATACTCCCAAGTATTGTCTTAGCTCTCAGTTGCATTCCTTTCCCATGATATTTTCCTTGGTATTCCTGTGGTGAATGAACCTAAAATGTTCACGCTATCTCTGAGTATGGGTATTGTTCTTCCATTTAAGGAGGAATGCGTTCAAATGGATCAGTATCATTAAAACAAGCTTCAAACACACTGTCCACCACATCTTCGGCTTCTTGCTTGCTGATGTCTCTCACACATAACATGGATTTTACTGCTCGTTCCTTTACACATTCCTGTCAAATAATTGTAAAATTAATATATTCTAGTGAACTACAATGTAATATTTAATGTCACAGATGAGAGGAAAGCAGTATTTGTACGTGTTTTGTTTTCATTTTTCACTAACGGTAAGTTGGCCACCAACAAACAAGGGTGCCACTGAGTGCAGATCTATTTTGTTCATGAGCTTACTGTGAACCCCAGAAAATGTACAACCAGATGTGGTTCAAGAGGAGGTAGACTACACTGCTGGGGAAACTTTCACTACATTGATGATAGAAATCCCCAGTGGGAGTTGAATCCATGATTTTAAGATTCTACTATTTGTTTTTAAGACCATCCATGGATTTGCGCCATTGTATTTAAGAGAACTTGTGTCAATTAAAAGATCAGGAAATTATAATTAAAGATCCTCCTCGGATAGTTTGTTGCTTGCAACGCCAACTTATAGAAGTAGGGTTACATTAGGAGACAGATCATTCCAGGTCGCAGCTCCAGCACTTTGGAATGTATTACCGCGTGAGATTCGTTCTATTACAGATCTAGGGATTTTTAAGCGCCATCTGAAACATACCTCTTTAGGGAAGCTTTTTATTAATTTATTAATTTTTAATTTTTATCACGACAATTACTAGTATTTTAACATATGTTGTATATTTTAATTTTATCATAGTATATTTTAAATAATTAGTAGTTACATACNAACGCCAACTTATAGAAGTAGGGTTACATTAGGAGACAGATCATTCCAGGTCGCAGCTCCGGCACTTTGGAATGTATTACCGCGTGAGATTCGTTCTATTACAGATCTAGGGATTTTTAAGCGCCATCTGAAACATACCTCTTTAGGGAAGCTTTTTATTAATTTATTAATTTTTAATTTTTATCACGACAATTACTAGTATTTTAACATATGTTGTATATTTTAATTTTATCATAGTATATTTTAAATAATTAGTAGTTACATACCCTTTATTAAGTTTTTATAGATAGAAATCATGTAATGCGCGCTTGATCATTTCATGGAAAGCGCACAATATAAGAATTAAATTATTATTATTATTATTATTATGATTCCCAGAAACCATTGCAGCACCCTAACCTTTGAGACATTATATAAAGATAAGCCAGCTAGGCCATTTACCATCATAGGTTCTTACGGTGTCATGTCCACTTTCATACTCGTCAGCTAGTTGGTACTAAGTAATGTGAAGAAAGTTAACTTAAAATGGCTTAAGTACAAAATACCTTTTGATGTCCTCTCCATCCAAATTTGAAGCGACCAAATGTCTCCTTTGAAAACCAGCAATCACCACTAAGATTTGCAGCCCGAATCTTTGCAAAAAAAGGAAAAAATCAGCTTCCTTTGGACTAAACGAACTAGAGGATTACATCGTTCTGAAATATTAGGAAGGCCACAGCATTGAAAGAAGTGGGGTGGACTATGTACATAATCTGCATTGAGAACAGTATATAAAAGAAAAGATAAGGGAATAATAAAACAAATACCTCGGTACAAGCTAGCATTCGGACATCATCAGGATCATATTTTATTCGACAATTATCGTAAGCATGTATGAGTTCATGGGTCAAAACATCTTCCATTGTCCTCTGCGAGTATATTGTATTCTCACACAAGAACATCTATTGGGAAGTGAAAAATAAAGAAAGTTAGTTACATGGTTGTGCAGTGAAAGCCAAAGTAAAGTTTATGAAGTATGTGTAATTAAATACATAGAAAAGTCTTACACTGTACAGCTGTACCTCTTTTTTATCAGGATCAAACCCTCCAAGAAGCTTCGAATTGCATGGTTCACAAACCATGTGCTTTTCTGGGTCAACAACACTGCAAAACAGATTGAATTTTCAAAGATAATTTTTATTAAATACTATTTGTATTGTGTTTTATACTTTTTTTCTTTGTTAACCCCTAGGAAAGGCCATGCCAAATACATCGATGATAACCCATTCCACACCAAAACCCCCTTTGACATGATAACGTGGCCATGTTGGTTGTCAATAAAATCCAACATTTTTTTTAGCCTGGAACCTGGCTCTGGAGTGGGAAAAAAAGGTGAAACAAAGAGTCTTGGGAGGGGAAAGGGCAGCCCTCCCAACCTTGCCAGTCTGGCACTCAGCTCGCTTCAGCCACTGATTTTTTGTTGTTGTTGTTTTACCTCATCTTTAAAGCTAATGAAAAGGGGAAAGAACATTCAGTGTCAATGCATAAAGTTATGCCTAAACAATATGTTGATTTCCTTGGATAATTGCAGGTTTGCAATTTGAGTACAGCTATCAGAAGCCAGCTCTAAAAACGGGTGTGGATTTTATAAGCCTATAGGCAAAAACATGGGGTGGAAAAAGGTATGTTTTGACCTGAAGCAGGGTCAGGATTTGGCCCAGGGAGGGGACTCCCATATAAAAGTGACGGGGATGCTCATTGTTTCACTTTGGGTTGTAAATTGCAGATTTTGGTCTCACTTAGGATGTTTGGGATGGAAAGTTACTATTCTTGCCCATTCAGGTATCGCAAAGAAATTTACAAAAAGTGCCCTAACACTGACCACACAGAAATCCCCCTTAGAGGATAGGTTAAGCTTGAGCCACACCCACAGTGGTCCCCTTGGGTTTAATTTGAATTTCCCGATAAGCATCCCTGTCACTTTTATATGGGAGTGCCCCCCGGGGAAATTTGGATAACTCCGTAGCACATCCCTTACAAAAATTCCTAGGAGTATCCCCACCCCGTCCGGCCCGGATAAGAAGAGCCATTGCTCTAAGGTACTTACCATCCTAGTTTGCTCATTGCCTCCAGCATAAATTTCACGTAAGCCGCTAACAGAAAAAAATAAATAACATCTTGTCATTTAGTAAAGATTAATCTGGCCTATCATATCAAGCTTAAAATCCGACATGATCGCATCACTCAGCAAACACTGTTATACATCACACCACCGGTACGTAGCTCCAGGCTCCAGATCAAAGGGCATTAATTGACCTTGGTTACTTACAAGATCGACAGGCTTTGTCAAGTCTCTCAATGCACTTTCTATGCATTCGTTCGTTCGATTCTGAGCTTGGTTTTCTCTTGTAATATTCTCCCTGTACATCGACAAATTCCGCCATTTTGCATGGAATACAATGCGGTGTTTCGCGGGCTCATAATTAAATTTTGCCGCAAAATAAAGATGGCGGACTATAGCTAAGCACACAATAGGAATGAAGTGATTGTTTCGGACTCTCTTGAGGGGCTTCTTGTCAAAGCCACCTGGAGTCATCGCATGTAGCCTTTCACTGCAGCCCCAACTCTCCAATTTTGCTGTTTATGCAAGAAACCATTTTGGTATTTTCATCTTTGATTTTCAATGTTTTTTTCTCTTGTCTCAACTCGTCACGTAAGAAAGAAGAGATGGATGTTCTGTGTTCTTTCTGTAACATCAGTAATGGTAACAGTATTTATTTACCACATCTTGGTCCTGGACAGCTCGGAGTTTCTCGCCGAATATGAAGATGAGTATCGAAAGTGGAACTCGCTGAAGGACTTGCCAAAAGTGTTGCGTTACAAAATTATTCAGGCCATCAACAGTAACAAGACATCATGCCCGATTTTATCTATTCAAAGAGGGCCTTTATCCTTGTCGTCGGCGACCTGTCGGTTACCTAGAATGCGAGAAGATGCTTGCTTATTTGCAAAGTCTGTCTTCACGACAGATCAGCCGCTGCAAGATTGCAACAGTACGCGTGTTAATTTGTGCAAAATGGAGAAAACCCCTGGGGGATTTTCCAAAGTGGAATGTCATACGACTTCTTGTGGGTCATCAGATATCATTTCTGTGGGTTTCATCGATCCGCACGACGGCTCTGTTACTTGGCGTCACTTTTCTTTCCTTCACGATGTCGAGAAGGCACTGAATAAGTACATCCAAACCACTCCTTCAGCGGAGTACTTCCCTTTTGCTTTCCTGAGGTGTGATGAATTTTGGAACCCAGCAGCCAAGACCCAATTGTTTATTTTACCACCGAAGAGTGCAATTGCTGATAAACCATGGGGGAAACCCAGAAATAAACCGATTAACGTTAATATTATTCTATTAGATTCAGTGTCGAGACCTCACTTCTACCGCTCACTTCCTCTTACTGTCGAGGCTCTCAGAGACATCAACGCCAAAACATCAACTCACGTACTAGATTTTGAACTTTTTCATGCTATAAAACCCAGAACGTTTGAGACCCTACAAGCCTTATTTTGTGGTGAACTTCTAGAAGTGGAGCAGTTCATAAACCCAGTGCCTATTAGAGCTGATGTCATGTTTGGCGCATTTAAAGAGATGGGTTATCAGACTATGTGGCAAGAGGACATGTGCTGGACATATGAATGGGGGCTGGTTAGAGACTTGAAAATCATGAACAAAAGTGTTCCTTTAATGAATACATGGAATAGATTAAAAACTGCATTAAAAAATAATTCTATTGATCATACAGGAATCACTCATTCAAGCTGTGAAGTTTTAAAGGGTTTTGCTGTTCCAGAGATATTTCATGGTCCTTCCACCATGTGTTACGGAGGGGAATACTATCACAGCTTTTTTCTGCATTTCTTGAAGGACTTTCTAGAGGACGTAAACTCAGATTCAGCAAAAAAGCCACTGTTTTCAATTTCAATCCTAAATGTGGGCCATGAGGAAACAGGATTAAGGATTCAGACTTTTGACAAATCACTCGCAACATTTGTAAAGAGCGTAGCTGCTGAACCAAACACTCTGAGCATTATACTTTCAGATCATGGGAACACATATGGCTCTTTTCCCAGGACTCTGAAGGGACGGCTTGAAGTTTTTCAACCACACTTGTTCATAATAATGCCAAGTGGTGTTGGAGACTATCTAGGCAAATTCAAAATGGAGGCCTTAATACAAAATCAGAAGAGACTGGTGACTGTTGTTGATTTACATCACATGTTAATGTCAATAGCTGGTGTCACTGGCCATAAAACACAGCTGGAAAATCAAGGTCTGCTTCAACCCATTTCTAGAAACAGAAGTTGTGAAGATCTTGGTCTGCTCTCCTCTACTGTTTGTATCTGTCAAGGATGGGAAACAAAAGTCCATGCAAACTCTTTTCACTATATCGTAGCTGAGTTTGCACTGGGAAAACTTAATGACAAGATACAAAGTCAGTACTTGAAAAACTTAAAGAAAACCAAGCAAGTGTCAGGATTTGGGTCCTGTGTGAGACTCAAAGGTGAAAGGTTCGACAATGTGTGGGAAAAGAGAGTTCACGAAAAACTAACAGTGTCAATGGATATTTATGTACAAAACCAGGAGCTGTTTTCAGTAGTTGTTCAAGTTATCAGTGGAAGTGTGTTATTGGATTTGAAACTTCTTCAGTTTACAAGGTTAAGTAAATATGGGATCTACAAGACTTGTTCAGACAAGGGAGTTGATTTAAGACTTTGTATCTGTAAACCAAACTTCGAAATTGAGGCTGAGAAAAACCAAGAACCACCAATACCTAACTGGAAAAGTTATGGTAAAGTATTTCACTCAGCAACAAAAGCAGACAACATGCATGAAAACTGCCTCTTCGTTCTTGTACGTGAACACAAAAGTGGTGTAATATTTGAGGTTGCAAACTTGTGCAGTTTTGTTTTGTACAAGATCAAGCTGCATCTTTCTTTAAGTAACATGCAAATTTCAGAACCCATTCCTTGTCAGAGAGAGGTGGGACCTGGTACAATTCACTTCCTGATTGCTGTTGTTCAAGTTGACCCTAACATCAACTGGAGCTGGACATATACTCTTGACTACTCATGGAAGATGTTGAGTTAAAAAGAAGCATCATTGAACATAACCCTAAGATCAAAAATTCTACATTACATTTCAAAAAGTAATGAAAAAGAAAATTCTGTACTAGGTAACATTCGTGGGGTTGTCTCCGACTCATACCTCGAACTGAGAGAGGGAGGACTAGAAAAGAACCATCCACCTGGGAATGAGGTTGCCATTTACTCGCACATGCTATGCACAATGGCAATGGTGCTTTCTGCACATCAAAGGATTGAATCCATCCAGACTCAAAAGTTTGAGAATTTTACAAACAATGCTACGAGTTATAGTACCATTAAAAAGACTTACTTAAGGGTTTTATGGTCATTTCATTCACCGTCAAGTGTTAGACGAACAATACATCTCTAACTCTAAACAGTGCCAAATTAAAAACAGATGGAAAAAATTTATTTTATTTACCCATAAAGCAGTGAAAAGCAAATGACACCTTGCTTAAACCATTTGAAGGGAGAAACCATTTGAACCATTTTAAACCATTTGGGGCTTAAACCATTTCAAATGTTCTTTATAGAGTATTATATTGACTTTAAGAAGTATTGTTCTATAATTTTGTTCATGAATCCTATCTACACGATCATGAACTTCTTGTTATATTTAATCTTTACAGCATTTCTATCCCGTTGTCCAGTAAGTTGATCCAGGCTGTTTCCAAGAGGCAGGAAACAGGGCACTAAAATTAAAGTTCTTGAAAAACTGAAGTCTGTGGCTGAAATGAAATAGAAAATGTGATTATTCAATGAAATGTAGAGAGGGACAGGACATTCCCTGTTATCACTCTTCATACTTACGTTGTAGTAAATTTTTTTTATCTTAGGTAATTTTTCTTTTTCTTTTGTTTCAGTTTCATTAGCATACATTACTATACTCAAAAACCAAAGAAAACAAAAATTACCCGAGAAAAAAAATCAACTAGTTACTACAACATTTATCTTCTTAACCGAGGACACCTTATTTTGTAACTGTGCACATGTTTTGCACATCACAGCAGAGGACGCTGGGGAAGTCAGGTTTGTTTATAATTGGAGCCTTCTCATACCAAAGTATTTTGTATGGCTTACAACTATCTGGCAGGACAAACAGAACTTAGCAAAGGCTAATAAAATATGTAGTTCCAGAAAATATGCATATCTTCCCTTCCCCATGAAAAGATTCTTTCTAAGACAACCACCCAATAGTTATTAATCATCGTTCACTACTTTTAATTGTTTTATCCCTCTCCTCTCCCCAGAAAATTTCAATAACTTCTGTGAAGGGGGGTGGGGGGTGGGTGGGAGTATGGAGAATTTCTGGCACCTTGGCAACCTTGCAGAAAAACGTGACATAATGTAAATATGATTCCCAAAATTATGTTATGGTTTAAATCCCCCAACCCTCAAATTTCCAATAATAAAAAATTATAATGATATTTCTGGATTGTTAATGTTTTATTGACTCAAGCACTTCTCGATTCATCATAATTCAATAATTTTATTTAGAGGGAAAAGGAAATGATAATAATAATAATTATTATTATTATTATAACTATGATTAAAAATTAAAATGTGCCTTTTCCATGCAAATATGATCAAAAGCACGTAAATCCAATATTGTGTTGTATGAAATCATGAAAACAAATCATACTATGTCTAAGTGCTGCTGAAGAGGATTCATGGGATTGATTATCTCATTCACCCAAAGGTCAGTCACAAGATAAAACTACATATTAACATGTTTCCATTATGATCAGGTTAGAAAACAAAACTTACAAGTCAGGTCTGTCAAATTCCTTTGTAGCTGGATAAAGTGCTTCATAGCATCTGTCATGTCCTGTCCCATGGATAGCATATGCATTAAGTTTCACCACACCAGGAGGAAAGTAGTCAAGAGGAATAGTAGCACTTCCTTTCCATTTTTTCTGTACATTATCTTTTGTAGCTGAATAACTCAGGGCAAGTTTATCCTGATGTCAAAATATGAAAGCAAATTTTGAAAAAAAGGTTTAAATTTAGGAAATAGATAGTCAAACAGTGGTTTCAGTCAAGGACAAAAAACCCAAAAAACTTCAAGACAAGGATGATGTAAATTAAAAGGTAGGAGGCAGCGGTGGACATTTCATTTACCTTGATCATGTTTCTCATTCCATTAAGAAGTAGGACAAGATGCTGGCCATGGCTAGAAAGAAAAGAACATCCAATTTTCACCCTGATGGACCTTTTTTCCATGCATAATGATGATGAGGTTTGAAGACAAAAATTTCCTCAGTTGACTGTCATTTGCCCCAGGGGAAAATGGGTTAATTTATGTTCCCACTGATATATATAACTATAATTAGAGGTGGGGAAGCAGGGGGGAGGGGGAAGGGGAGAGGAGGAGAAAATAATATTATTACTTATAACTCATTTCCTGTTATGAGAAACAACTGCAGCAGTTATTTTTTTCATGCCTGTACAATATAGATCAAGACAGCTGCATTTGAGCTGAACAAACGATAGAATATATACTATGTGAACTGGAATAAAAAATGACTTAACTTACGGGCTCAACTCCACCTCCAAATATTTATCATCTGCCCCCAGGAAGAATATCTCAGCCACTGAAAGGTCATTAACAGGTAGTTATAATTATGTACCCTACATCTAGGATCAAGAGGGGTGGGGTACTCGATGAATTTTTTGGGGGATACATGCATGCTGCCGGGGCTTTGAAACTCTAAACCACCTCAATAATATACCAATAGTAAGAAGAGAAAAACACAGCAAGCTTTAAAAAAGTGCAAGTCTTTTGAGTTGGCAAATACCACCTGACCTGTCAGGAGCCTATGGATGAATGAAGTGTTGTGGAAGAGAGGACAATAGCTTGCGAGCAAGCTCTCCTCTTTGGGCGAGCAAAGCAAGTCTCGCGAGAATGTGCGAACGAGCGGTGAAGCCCCGAGGGGCAGAGGAAAGGCCCCTCCTCCTCCTAGGCCCCTCACTCGTGCGTTCTTGCGAGGCTTGCTTCACTCGCCTAAATAGGAGAGCTTGCTCGCAGGCTAAGAGGACAACAGCGTGTCCTCTTACATTTGAATATTTAGTAAGCTTGGACGTCAGCATACAAAGGCAGCACTGGTAACTCCTCTCAGTCCATTTATGAGCTTCCTGTAACCTTCCCAGTCCATGACAAGAATAATGAAAAAACAAAACACAAGGTCACCACCAGTGATCAGGAACTGTGAATTAACATTGTAGCCATAAATATTCCAGCATGGTTGATGATTAAATTCCCACACTACTAATTACATTCGATCACTAAATTTATCCCATTTCTTTGGAACACCTAGCCTATTCTATTTAAACAGTTTTATACCATCCCTCACCTTCAAACTCCCACAATTCAGGGCAGGGACTTCCTGAAGGAGCAGGAGGTGGTCCTGGGTCATTAAACAGAGGTCCTCTCACATCAACCTTGACGGAGGTCTCATCTACTGCACTGACTTTAAACTCTACAGGACTGTGGTTTAATGGTTCCCCGTCCCATGTTGTTGCAATTGAAAACTCAAATTCCTGCAATTAGCAACTGAATTGTACTCACAAATGTTCCAGAAGGGTTTATGATTTATAAACCTGCAAGCTTAACTTCACTTCAGCTTCAGCAGATTCCCCCACTACTTAAGATTCAATATCGAAGATCACAGAGATCTATTTAAAATAAACTCGCACATACCTTGTTCATTGCTTGAACTTTGTTCGTTGGCTTCTTTGAAACTCAGCGGAAATGCCTTCAGCCTCAGTTTCATGTTACCACAACCGGAAGTTGAGATTTTCCGGGTGTCAGTGGATTGTGCCGTGTCAAATATCACATGGTTTACAATAATTCTGTGGATCGGTCGAAAAATCTTCACTGCCTGTCACGTCTATTTTCCTTGGACAGACTTGTGGTTAATTTAATGATGTTGGAAGACGAAGAGTCCCAGACTCATCTTGAACCACTTGAAAGGGAATCTGCTGAAGAATGGCGCACTGGCACTGGTAGGTGCGAGGTCCAGGCCAGCGAATTTGTACTTGTAGTGCTCATAGAATAGATTTTGAGTCTAAGCTTTTAAATAGCCCGCAAAAATAAATAAGAGGCAAAAACCATTGGGTGTGTTTGTGGGGTAAAATAGTATACGATGACTGTAAACAAAGGCTTTGCGTTCTAAACGCACAATCTTTCCTAACGTGACATCGAGACAGCGTGACCATAAAGACACCAGACGCTGGTGTGACAAGCGTGACCTCACCCACTGTTATGTGGGATTTTCACTTGAAACACTTTTTTCTAGTGTTCTAGTTAAGTGTGTAGGATTATTCACCGGCATTTTTGTTATTTATTTTATTTTACTGTCAATGTTTAAGGAAATGCATGGAATTTATTTGCACACTGGAAAGATTTTGTGATGTCAGAAAAACTGCTTACATCAATGGTACACATCTTCTATGCTATCCCTCCAAATTGGCCAAGGGGATCAAACAGGGAAAGGATCCTACCAACCATTATGGCAATTCTCATATGGCTAGCATTTTGCATGGAAATGAGCATCATTAAATTACTGTGGACCCAAGGTGACCAGGGTCATGCCGCCAATAAACACCCACCAATTGGATCTGTATTACTTGTTGTGTTACTGGTGTTGTCGTCAACAGTTTCATTTACAATCATGGTCATCTACTTCTTTAAATCAAGTAACAGGTTCCATCACTCCCCCACTAAACTCATCCCAGGATTTGAATTTGCACCATTAGGAAAACATCAAGATGTGACACTGAAGAAAGAGCACTGGTTGGGCGTGAACTTGTTCCTTGTGTTTGCAATCACTGGTCTTGGAACTTCCCTTTATAATGCAATGAAAGTCAACATCTTCTTCAGTTTCACTGATTTGCATGAATTTACAAAACAGATCAGTGATGTCCAAAGAGGTCTATACTACAGCACATTAGTGATACTGAACTGGGCCCACATGAGTTCCATACTTGTATGTGGTACCTTTTACATTGCATGTCGTAGTATCTCAAGTCACATTGATTTCACAGAAAAACTGCTTGTGTCACATGTGACAGACTTTAATTCTGCAAAGGAAATTCATGAATGCCTCCTGAAGTATTCAGAAAAGGTTTTAAAGTCACTTACCCCATGGTTTACAGTTCACAGCAGTTTATTTGGACTTGTAATACTGCTGACATTACTGGANTATCTCAAGTCACATTGATTTCACAGAAAAACTGCTTGTATCACATGTGACAGACTTTAATTCTGCAAAGGAAATTCATGAATGCCTCCTGAAGTATTCAGAAAAGGTTTTAAAGTCACTTACCCCATGGTTTACAGTTCACAGCAGTTTATTTGGACTTGTAATACTGCTGACATTACTGGACATAATGAGTACCATCCAGTCTTCACAAAAAGGTCATGACATCAGCAAAATCTGGTTATCCGAGGTTACAGCATCTTGGTTTGTAGCCATTCAGTTTGCATTCCCTTTTTTGTCTGCTAGCTTGGTAACTCGACGATATGAACAAATGTATGAGCAATTAAACAGGAGAGCCACAAATGTTACCAACTGTCACGAATTGGACGCCTTCTTGAACTACTGTCTGAGATGTAAATCAGGGTTTTATGTTCTGGGAATCAGAATCACCACAAGTCATGCTGTTATGTCAATTGCATCTGTTTTCATTGGTTTGTTTCGATTCTACAAGGAACTCTTTTAATATGCCTTCATCTGCTTCAAAAAACATCTTTTGTAACCCAGTCAAAAAGTTGTAAAAAATAGTTGGCAGGATAACCAGGGTAGCAGGTAGCAAATGCCAGAATTTGTGTTTTTTATTTTAAAATTATTAAATCTAACTGTAGAGAAGGCAGCAAATGAAGTGGCAAAATTAACAGCTGCTGACTCATTTTAACTGGGCTCCGTGATTTGTTCAAATTATTATCATAACTCTCATCATGACCACTACAGTCCTGGGCCGAGTTGTTCAAAGCTGGGTTAAGATAACGTGCGAGATTTGAATTCAGATATGAAAGTTTAAAAATCAGTTCAGTTTTAATTCTTTTTGTTGACAAGTTGGTTATTGAAAGCTTTAAAAGTGACAGAGAAAATTATCCGAGAAAATGCTTTTAAACACAAGAAAAATCAAGATATATTGATGAAAGAAGCGAGTGTGTCATCAATTTCTACCGATTTATTGATACAATCGCTATCTTTTATATTAGATTTCCTGACTTTAGTTGATTTATCGATTGACTACTCTGGGCTATACTGCACTGCACTGGAGGAATATGCATGCTCATAATATGGTTTTAAGGGTTCATTCTACAAGTAATGTCAATCAGATCATTGTAAAAAGAAGGATGAAGGAACACTTCCATAAAGCAATAGAAGCCACTTTATTTTACAAAATTAAGAACTTTTTTTGTCTGTTGAATAGAACTTTTTACAAAAAATGAACCAATTGATATGTTACACTGTAATGATATTACATAATTTCTCCTGTACAAAGTATGTATAACATGGATTGTAGATGTTTAAAATCCAGGAAACAAGGAATAACCGATGGTAATCATTGGTTGTAATATGCAATCTTTGACGTCCTTGTCTGTATAAACAATGCCCAATGAAAATTATATTTTCCTCAGCAACAATATTTTCCATGGTCACTATCATATTCACCTTAAATACATGAGTGTTATCATACTCAAACATTCAATATTATTTACATCTAAAAGATACTGTACATGAACCTTCCCCCCGAAACAAATCAAGTTTCACAAACAACTACATCTACTTAGTCTTTCCTAGAGATTGTCCTTTGTCAATTTTTTAGTATTATTAGGTTATGTTTTATTTAGACAATTTACAAAAAACACCTTCTTTCTCCATGTGAACATTAAAGCTGCAGTGGATCAAGCTACCGAAATGTATTGAATAAAAAAGGAAACAGGAGAGGAGATTGCAATGACAAGGTTGTCATAATACTGCATTCCTCAGTGTCATAAACTGCATTATTATACATTGCACTCACTATCTGTCTTCTCACTGGCTAAGAACCTACAGCTAATTTTGGAAATCAGCACAACCTACAGATTAGTCAGTTATTTGCTAGCAGATAACTAACTAATCTGTAGGTGCAGGAGCATTGCATGATTTCCAATAACAATATGAATTCAAGTTCCTTGCACTGTTTTGTTTGTCGTTATTTTCTTCGAAGCAATGTATAATAAAACAATAATTTATTATTAGATCCCATTTTTGTGATATCCTAAATAATCATTCAAGGTCTTGGTAAGTGTTATCAGCCTCGGTCTTCGGCTGAGTTGATAACACTTACCTCGACCTTGATTATTCCAGATATCACAAAAACCTCATCCAATAATATTATGGTTTATAATATATTGCATTCTAAAATAATATCATTTTAGAATATTTTGACAAAGTTATTAAGATAAAAGTAGCACTAATATTTTTAAACACTTTTTATGTGTATCCATGCACACTAACTGTGCCGTGGACTATTGCCAGATGATCCACTGCCCCCTGAGCCCGGGTTTTCCAGTTTTGGCAGCTTGCGCACAGCAGCAACTTTTTTCACAGGGCCTTTTCTTGGATCAATGATTCTCTGATTGTCTGGCAAACCAAACTGTTTAGGGTTTCTTAATTTAGCAGCCTGTAGCTGAGCTTCATTTTCTCTCTGCGCTTCACTCAGAGCAAGTCGTGTTTTAGTTTTTGTCTCATCAATGGTTGCAGCAGTCTGCAAAAAAAAAAATAATAAAGGTAGGTTCAGTCACAAGCAAGGCTCTTCTACATTACAAACTTCTGTATTTACTTAAGGGCATCCTTAAAGCAAGCTATATTACCACACTAACAAAACTATGACCATAAAGCTTGGAAGAGCAGTGAAACTTAGTTACTACACTAGTACATAAACATAAACTGTTACTAAGGTCAGTTCAGATGTCAAACATTTCATGAGCCGAAACCTAATTCGAATTAAGCCCGACCCAAATTATTTTGACTGGCTGAATTGATTCAGACGCTGATCTTAATTGCAGCTGAACTAAGATCAAAAGGCGAAAAATGCTCATTTCGGTCAAACTGCTTAAAAAATACATTATGATGATTTACTCATTGGGTTCGGTACATGAAAAGTTCGGCATCTGAATCAAAGCCATTCCAAAGTAACTCCAAAGGCGAAATTCCCGGTTAGGCCTGGGCGAAAAGAACGGCTGAGCTATTCCAAATTGAAAATAATAGGTGTTCCTAATTGATTCAGACACCAAACTTTTCATGTACTTAATTCAATGTATTAGGTTCGGCTCATGGAAAGTTCGGCGTCTGAACTGGGCCTAAGCTTGTATTTTTGCAGAGTTCAGGCAGGAAAGAGGTGGATTTTTAAGCACTGTCTCAACATTTTAAAGTTTCACAATGTTATTTAGGAAAAATCAAATGAAAAATGTCACAGTCAATGGCCAGACAATTATTAACAAAATAATAATACTCAAGAGTCATTGTTCAAACGGTTTGTGGATGTACTGAATCACAGAAAAGGAAACAACACATATAGACTGACCTCATCCAACTCTGTTAAATATTTCTTTCTTTCTTCATTTATCTTATGGTAAGCCTGAAAAAAAGACATGGAGGACATTAAAGGGAACTTGAGTTACCAATAAAGTTGATGTACCTCTGTTGTCCATTGAGATCTTCATTCTTTGTGATGTTCTCCCAACTTAGTATATAGCTAGGGGGCTATGACAAGTCTATCTAGTACAGAAACAGTATAAAATGCCAACCAACCTTAGATTCATTGTCTAAGCGCCATTCCAAATCACGCAACTGTCCTTGAAGTTCCACCTTGTCTCGCTCCAGCTGTTTCATAAGTTTTCTGATTTCTGCCTGATGGTGG